ACCATAGCACCTTTGAAGGCTTTCTTTCGTGCCCCCAGACAGATGCCCTGGCCTCTGAGTTTTCTACTTTAAAAAATAAGAACTTCTCTAGCCCTTCTAGAAAGAACATTATGGGACAAAATGTGCGGAGTGAGTGTGATGTGGCCACGTGTGTGTGTGTGTGTGTGTGTGTGTGTGTGTGTAATGCTGGCATGATAAGTATAAAATTCTTGCAGGTGGCTGTTGCTCTATTTTATCTTATGCCATGCTCCCCATGGCAGCCATTTTGTGGCTGGCAAGCCCAGCACTATCTCAAAATTTGAAATGTGACCACGAAATGTTTCAGAAAGGTTGGTGACTCCTGATCTAAAAGGATGACACTCAGAAGATGGAACAGAATTTGTCCTCTAGGGCTAGGAAAAAAAAACAGCTGGAAATTTCAGGGGAGCAGATTTCAGCTAAACGTTAAGAGAAACATCCTCACAGAACAAGCTGTTCAGCAGCGGAATAGGCGGCTTCCCCAAAAGGTGGGGAGCTTTCCTTGACTGGAGGTATTCAAGGAGAGGCCGCATGGCCATCTGCCACAGATGCTGTAGCTGCTTCATTTAAAAGAGGATTAGACAAATTCATGGAGGATAAGTCCGTCCATGGTTACTAGTCATGATGGCTGTGCACTGTCTCCAGCATAAGAGGCCTCTCTGAATACCAGCTGCTGGGGAACACGAGCGAGAGAGGGCTCCTGTTGGGAAAGAATGCTGAACTGAACACTTCCACCTGCCAAAGCATCACCAAAAGAGAGGACAAAGTATGATGCAGGTCTGCATAAAGGGGTCGATTTGTATGTAGGGAATGCACATTTAGAAACAACAACAATTTTGATAGAAATGCAGTGCATCTTACTATAGTTGGGGTGCATCTTACTATAGTTGGGAAGCCTGTGGAGAGCCGTAGCTACAGGGGGTGGGGTGGGGAGGCTAGCCATGTTTTTTTTACCCCGGGTGAAGCTTCTAGAGGGGCACCATTGAGACTCCCAGCCTGTGTGTGTACACAAATGCACATGGGGTGTGTGTGCCAAACTGGATCTTTGACCCGGGTGAAATAAAGCCTCATTTCGCTCCTGGACTGTGACTAGGTGACCTGAACATTGTCCAGGTTGCTACCCGTCAATGGGCAACTCTAAAAGGTCCTCCTCTCCCTCCTTGTGAGTTTTTCTTTTAATCTGCAATCTGGGCTTAGACCAGGCAACCCTTCAAACTGAGGGCTGACTATCCTCTGGCAGTTCTTCAGATGCAGGACATTGCTCTGTAAAAAACAACATACAACCACCCTAACTAGATAGACTTTTGTCTCATGTTCTTCTCATGTCCTTATCCTGTCCTGCAATTCACGCATGGAGCAGGGGGTTGGACGAGATGGCATTCAGGATTCCTTCCAATTGTATGAGTTGGAAAACACAGTGGGGCAAGCCCTACTTGTTGCACATTGGCCAGGTATCTAAAGCTGCCTGTTTGTAAAGAAAAGCCTCAGTGTAACTCTACTCCGAAGTGACTGAGTGAGACTCTGTCATGATAAATGTTGAGCTGCCTGTGCAATAATAGTTTGTGAAAACAAGTACCTCACAACACAAACATATTTGCTTTACGGATACCTAACTTCACAGAAACAAACATTTCCATTATTTGTATGCTCTCTACACTTATCAGTCAATATCAACATTGTGTCGTAACCATCTTTACCAAGTGATCTCCTTGACAGGGTGCCATGGTTGGAATGTACTGCTTTCTATGGTGCAGTGATTCATGCTTCTCCTCAGAGCTGTCTTTCCCATAGGGCTTAGTGGTGCGTCACGCCAGGGCGCCGGCCTCTCAGGGGCACCCCAGCAAGTGGGGAAACTGTGCGGCTTTGCCGGCGGCCTCCCCTTTCTCTGCATGCCTGCCAGCTGCGCCCCGCCAACCATAAGGCTGGCGGTCTTGCAGCTTCCCTCCCAAGCCTCTGCGGGGATCACTCTCCTCCCGAGGAGGCTTGGGAGGGAAGCTGCGCTCTCCTGCCACGGAGGCTTGGAAGGGGCACAACTTCACTCCCAAGCCTCTGTGGGGATTGCTCTCCCGCAGCGGCATGAGGGAGAGTTGCACCCCCCAAAAAATGGCTGGCATTGCGCAGCTAAGGCCACCCCAACACTATCTGTGGTAATGGGGGGGGGGCGCTGGGCGGATATTTGCACCTCGGTGCCACATCTGCTAAAGACGGCCCTGCTTCTCCTTTTGATGTAAACCACTGTGTAAGTGACTAATCTGGTCCCATAAGAAAAAGCCTCACAGAAACTTCTTCAACAGATCTTCCTTTTGTAGTAGTGAAGACAGGGCTTATTTTAAAAACGAATCTCCCTGTCTACATCTTCCATCTCCCAAACTGAATTATATCTGATTTCCAAACCCTGAATTCCGATTTTCTTAATTGGTTTTAGAGATGAGTGCCACATCTCTGGTCTTGCTCACTTGAAAATTATAAGGACAGTAAGTATCCAGAAAAGATTAGTGCATGATCTTGCATAGCCTCTAACACTCAGTCATAGTGCATAACAGGTCTTTCTTTCCTATTATTGTAAGAAAGGAGGGCCTTCTTGGTAGTGGCGCCTGCCCTGTGGAACGCCCTCCCACCAGATGTCAAAGAGAAAAACAACTACCAGACTGAAGGCAGCCCTGTTTAGGGAAGCTTTTAATGTTTAATAGATTATTGTATTTTAATATTCTGTTGGAAGCTGCCCAGAGTGGCTGGGGAAACCCAGCCAGATGGGCAGAGTATAACTAATAAATTATTATTAGTAGTAGTAGTAGTATCGAAGGAACATCAATGCCAACTTTTGCCCTGCCTAACAGAGCCATCTGCACACACAAACACAATCCATCATACTGAAGGGGGTTTAGCCAGACCTGCCTGGCTCAGCTGGTGAGGAGCACTGCAGTTGTACCTCCTCAAATGGAAGCCACTGCTGGCAGCATCCCCACTGGAAATGGAGATGGTGAGAGCAGGGCTGGCTCCTGAGCCAGCCCTCCTCCCATCATGTGACAGCAACATCACTGAACCACCCTGGGATCTGGCACAGCAAGGGGTGTTTCCCCCCCCCTGCCACACCCTTCCTTTCAACCTGGCTGGTGTGAGCAGTGGTGCTGAGGTTCAGCAGTGGCTTTGCTCATGCTGGTTTGGATTGCAGCAAGCCCAGGAAAGTGAAATGTCCTGTAGTATAATAAGAAAACCGTTCACAGCCACTGAAATGTAGCTTTTGCAGGTACAAAAATTAAGTGGAGAGAAAAATACCCTCTTCATTTATGTGAACAAGTGAATGTTATTACATTACCGGTATATATTTATTTATACCCTGCCTTTCTCTCTGACAGGGACTCGGGCCTGAACATGCTTGAACATGGTAATTGGTTACATACTCTGTGATATCTGGCCTGGTTTTGGGTGTTCATCTTCAAGTCTGGAGGAGAGGAGAGGTTTGGTAGGATTCATCTATTACTACTGGATGAGCATTTTTAGGGGTTTTGTTTTATTGTATTTTTATTTGATGCATTTTGGTTTTGAACATCAAGGTGTTTTGGTTTTCATGGATTTGTAAGTGCTTTGAGACATCTTCATGTGAGAAGATTGATGAAACGTATAAATAACTCTCTTACATTCAAAGTGGATTTTGTATTTGACAAAATGGTATCTAATCTCATCTTCAAAGGGGAAGATGTGAACAAGCTCACAGTGTATGGCTCTCATCTCTCAACTGGACAAAGGATTAGGCCAGGCCAGGCCTGCTTTGTTAGGATATTAATACCAGCTTGCTCTTAATCTGCTTGCTTAGGATTTGCTAGTTTTATGGTTGTACTGGAAAGGTATTGGTTTTATTTTAAATTTTTCCATTGCGTTGTACACCACTCCATTATTTTTTAAAGTGTGGAGTGACATAAAAACAACATTTAAATGTTTATATTTGAGGCACCCCAAGCAGCTGCAAAGAAGATGCTGATCATAATATCCACTGCTTGATTAAATGTTTTTGCTTTCCCCGAAGTTACCACTTGGGCTGGCTCCAGAAACAAGGCCATTTGAGACCCAGATGGAAACAGGCCTCCCATGCAGTCTTCATGAAGTGCTTCCCCACCCCAACACCTGTGGGACTTATAACAGATATATTGTTCAGCACAAATGTATTGTGATCAGAATACAGTGGTACCTTGGGTTACAGACGCTTCAGGTTACAGACTCCGCTAACCCAGAAATAGTACCTTGGGTTAAGAACTTTGCTTCAGGATGAGAACAGAAATCGCGCAGCAGTAGCGTGGCGGCAGCAGGAGGCCCCATTAGCTAAAGTGGTGCTTCAGGTTAAGAACAGTTTCAGGTTAAGAATGGACCTCCAGAACGAATTAAGTTCTTAATCTGAGGTACAACTGTAGTAGGATGGGCAGTCCTATGAGCCCACAGAACTTTTGAATACTTGGTGCAACATAGTGGCTAACAATAAGTGGAGTTGTGCGGCTGTTGCAAACAAGTCAACAAATGGGAACACCCTTGACTGAAAACTTCCAGTCGCTCTCAAAGGCTGCCCTCTTATTCCAAATGAGCCCCCTTTAATTCATTGGGGCTTCCTTCAGGGACGGACTTTGGTAATCTTTGATAATATGGTGCCCTGAGAGAGCCCAAAATCTGGCACCCACCAAATTTTGCGCCCCTTCAGCTCAGCACCTGGTGCAGGGGAACCACCCGCAGAGTGATAAATCCTGTGCTGCTTTCTTCCTAGGAAACATCATAGGTTTTGCGCTCCAAGTGACCCTCCAGGATGATTTGGTCCTCCACTTCCCACCAGTCTCAGCCAACATGGTCAATTCTGAGTGATGCTGGGAGCTGTGATCTAACAAGATCTAAAGGACATCTGGTTGGAGTGGATGGTGTTGGGGTTATAGACAAGCCACTCTTCCCCTCCCAGCAAGGTAGAGAAAGGAGCACAATATCAAGGTGCTTACGTTTTATGCGTCTCTTTCTTTATTGCCTCTGTAACCCACCTTTTCTTCCAAGGAGCTCAAGGCGGCGTACATTATTATTATTATTGTTTATTGAATATATATACCACCCTGTACCCGGGGGGGGTGTCTCATGCTTCCCGCTCTCCCCTTGCTACCCCCACAACAGTCCTGTGAGGTAGGCAGTGATCTCTGCGCTGATACCTGGGAATCGCTTGGAAGGAAAGCTCTACCTCGACGCTGCGCAGCTTCTCTCCAGCCTCGCCGAATTCCGCCCGAAAAGCGCAGCGACCCAATCAAGCCCCGGACTACAACTCCCGGCATCCTTCTCCGGACCGCGCACGCCGGGCAGCTGCGGTTCGGCGCCGCCGCTTTCACCCTTCCCACTCGCGGGGCGTTCTCCTGCCGGACGGGCTGGGCGTCGAGGCTCCGTGGGACGAGCGGGCTCCCCGGTTCCGCCAGCTCCTCGCCGCCCCGCGGCGCTCCGGGCGAGGGCGGCGTCCCGCGTCCTCCCCAGCCGGAGAAGGGGGAGTTTCCAGGAAGTGGCCATATTGGATTCATTCAGTTGCCTCAGCCCTGGGAGGAGGAGCAGGAGGAGAGGAGCAGGTTCCCGGCAAGACGGCTTCCTAGAGCCCCAGGAGCAGGAACCCCTTCGCCCTTCGGCCCCCGGATCTCCCTGCCATGGCTGCGACGGAGCTGGAGCGCTTCTCTGTGAGTAGCAGCCGCAGCAGCAGCCTCGTCTCTAGCCGGGAGGGCAGGGGCGCGCACGCCGCTCCCTCCAAGAGCTACGAGACCCCGACTCGCGGGGTCTGCGCCGTGGGAAAGGGCTCGCCGTGGGGGAGTTTAGGGACGGGGCTCCGGGCCGCTGCCTGTCTGAATTGGGCTGAGCTTGGGACATCAGGGATCTCCCGGGGAAGGGAGTCGCCGCCTTCTGCAGAAGAGGCTGCGCGTCTGGGCGCGCTCTCCAGCAGGCAGGCGTGTTGTCACTTACTCGCCAGATTGCCAGCCCCGCCACGAAACACGCGTTTGGCAGGGTGGAGGGGGGCAGGGGGGGCTTGTGCCTTTCTGCCAGGATAGATGGCGATGGCGGGACTGGAGTGGGGGCGACCTGTAGTCCTCAGTGAGCGCGACTCTGTGGGAGCGTGGGGGCTAAGGCTGCGTTTCCCACCCCTCTTACCTGGCGTAAGCCCCGCCGAATTCAGTGGGGCTTATTTCTGGGTAGGGTTGCAGCCTCCGGGGGGGGGGGGAGACTCCTCCATGGGTTTTGTACAGCGGCACCAGGCGCCAAGGCTGCCGCCGCTGCCGCGTTTTAATACATGTGGCCTGCACCCAAGGAGTGGACTGTCGTAGGTAGTCGGATAAGACCCACCAGCCGACTTTCTCTTTCCAAATTATCGGGGATCTTCCCATTCCGATGGACTTTTTGCCCTGCCCTGCAGTATTTGTTTAGGCTCTGCGGCAGGAGATGGGCAGCTGGCCTTCAGGAATGGAAACAGCAGCTGCAATTCAAAAAAGCGTCCTTGCAGCTCGATCCTGCGCGTGTCTGCATGGACTCGACTCCCACTGCTCACCTCTGAGCAAGTCGCACTGAAAACAAGGGCTGTTTCTTGTGGATGTTGTGTGCAGGATCTCAAAGAGATGAGCCTCTTTCATTCTGAACCAGCTGTCGCCCAAAGGGGATTCTTCTCGGTGCATTTAATCTTAATGGAGTGGGAAACCTTTGGCCCTCCAGATATGCTTTTTAAAAAAACAAAAAACCCAGCTCATGATCGTGGCTCATGATCAGGGCTCATGGGAGTTGGAGTCAGGAGGACCACAGGTTCCCTGTCCTTAATTTAATAATTCCTGGGCGGGGAAGTCAGATGCTCAGTAGAAGTATTACCCACATAGTTGGCTGCCAATATATTGCTGCGATTACTTACGCAACTCGAAACTTGCAGTGCATAACAGAGAGAAGCAAAAGTGAGCTTTTCTGTTTGCTAGTGGCTTTTACTCTGTGTTAGAAACTGGGAGAGAAAAGCTAGGAGCCAAATGGCTCCTGGGTTGTGGACGCCAAAACAGAGTGTCTAGTTGCCGTTCAGCAACACTTTTTATCTATTATTGCATAAGCATGAACTAATACACAATTCACATAAGTGACATATTGTTAATATCACATTTCTAACAGAAATTGTTAATACATGTTTAATTTGGTGCTTACAATAAAAATACTGGCACCATACTACAGTTTTCAAAACACTCTACTGTATTCTTAACATATTGTCTATCTTTAACATATACTTTGAGGCTTCAAAGCACATACATTTCAATAATCCTTGAGTGTCAGCCAGGTGCAAAAAAATGGCATCTAGACTTTTTGAGCTGCTTGCAAATGGAGAATCTTTATGCATGAAATGCACTTGGCTCCCTGCTAATTTCGAACCCTGCTTTTACTCTAGTAATGATGAGCAGCTGTAATTATGGGCCTGAACCTACCATTTCTACTGAGGCTAAATAGTATCTTCCTATTGACATAAGTTGATTATAGAAATGTGAACTGTCTGTTGGAAGTCCCATATGTGATGTTGACACTGCACATATATATATATCACATTATCTTGGACGTGAGAGTATGCAAACACAGTTCAGCTAATAGTCCAACCCTCTATCAGCCTTGAATTCCTCAAGTCTGTGATATGCATTCGCGCAACATGCATGAATGAAATTTCATGTCCATTATGCATTTAACCACTCTGTGCTGTCTCTTTCAGACACCTTTTATCTAGCTCTGTGAAAGAATGAGAGATCTCCTTCCCCATAAAACCCTGGGATATACTAGTTTTATGTATGCCTTAGTATGCTTACTAAAACAAACAACAATTTTTTTCTTTCAGAATAATTTCTTTTTTGAAGGCTGATTGTCAAACCTCTGTGTGTGCCATTATCCTGTCTAGAACACAGCCAATGTTTTGTTTGAGTTGCCAGATGTCTCTGGCCATTGCAAATCCTTAATTGTGTAAATGTTGGCATCTAAACAAGACAGAAGCCAAGGAATGGCTTTCTAAGCCAACACTGTGGGTGTCTCTGAATGGCAACATCATTTAAATGCACATTTATGAGGCACAAACTAAGACTGTGCCTTGTAGTGTGTTTGAAATGTCAGATGGAAAGTTTGGGAAGTGTTTTGTATATTTATGTTGGGTCTGCAGGAACCTCCTGTTAAGAAGAAATGAAACAATTACAAAATGTACAGCTGCTCTTATATATACATTGTGTACATATAACTGTATACATTGTATAATCTCATTGCACTCTATGAAAGGCACAGGTTAGTTAAAACGATCTGAAACTGCCTTGCATCTATGGGTTTCTAACTGCTCATTTGAGCAATTATATTGTGTCCTTCCTGGCTTTTAGCTTGTGCTAATTCACACAAGCATTTTCTCTGGCCATCTGGAGGTTTATTTATTGTGTTGCAGCCTATGGCATAAGTCAAGTGGAACTCTGTCTTATGAAATGAACCAACTCAGGGTTGGCTAACTCCTGCACTGGGATTTTCTGAAGATGCAAATTCTTTAAATGAATGTAGGGTAATATTCAGAGGTGTCTTTCTGCTGGCATAGCAGCCATCCCACTAGCCGGAACCCTTGTTAATAGGAACATTCAAAACCGATGGATGGTGTGCGGCGACATTTGCATGTGCAAAATATATAGTGCAACTGCGGCTGTTATATATGACAGTTGAGCTTGTGCACTGCTGCTGGCACTGTTACGGGTTAAGTTTGTTAGGAGCTGCTGGGAATTGTAACTCCGTGAAGGGCAAACTCCTGTGCCCAGAAATATTTGAGGGCAAGAATGTGCTTCAAATGTGCTTTAAAGGTACGGTGTGTACACAGCCTGGTAGTTGATGCCTCATAGGGGGAAATGAAAAAGGGGGAGAGGCATTGTAATGGGTGCTAGAGTGAAATTTATTTATTTATTACACATCTATACTGCCCTTCATCGGAGGATCACAGGGTGGGTTATACAATGTAAAAACACAAAAATACATAACATAGTAGCAAACAGAAACAATAAAAACCAGGCATGCACACACAGTTTAAAAGGCCATAGATTGTTTAATTAGCCAAAGGCCTGAGGGAAGAGGAATGTTTTTGCCTGGTGTCTAAAGATATGTCACAAAAGCGCCCGGCGAGCCCCTCTGGGGAGAGCATTCCACAAGCGGAATGATGGAAATTGCGTTCATCCCCAAGAGACAAACACTCCAGTCCAGTAAACTGAGCTAAACGGTGGTGCCTATATATGCCGGAGGACAAGAGGTATATTGGGACCTTCTGTGGAGTTTTAGTTTTAGCAAATCAAAGTGGGAGAGTTGAGATTAAAGCAAGAGCACAGTTAATCTGATGGGTAAAGCAGCCTGAATCAACAGGGCTTGCAGCATTTCCTCCTGAATGGAAAGCTCTTCCATGTGGGGGGAGGGGGGAGTGGAAAAAAGTATCATGTGATGATCACATGTCTGCTTCACTGATGGCATGCACACATGTACGGAAGCTGCACTTGCCCATGTGTGTGCAATGAAATGCACGTGTACATGTCACACTGTTGGTTGCAGTCTGCATGCAGTTCGCAAAAGAGAGCGTTTGAAATAGTCCACAGAGGAAGACAATCCAAAGTGAGAATGAAAGCATGCAGTTATGCGCAGGAGCATAAACTGCTGTTCTTGGGTACATCATGGCAGGACGGCAAAACTTGATACTGGAACAGGCACTGTGGGATTAATGGGATTTCCTCTGTCTATGCACACAGCCAAATTGCCCATCTTGAAGTGCCTGCAACGTGGACCCCCCCTCCCCAGTCCATCATAACGATGGAATTTCACTAGTTATAGCATAAATGCCAAATAATTGTGGCAATGCCAATTTTTTTGAGGGGAGGAATAACTTAAAAGTTCTGCTGTTTGTTGTTAGTGTTGAAAGCACATCCATGTAGGCATTGCTACAATGGGAATAAAAATAAACCGAGTTGAGGGTTTTGCTAAAACAGCAAGCTCAAGTCATTTGTATTCCCTTCCAGCGCCAGTGCCTTGAAACCTTGCCAGAAACTTGCTCTCAGTGGTTACTTGTGTTTCTATTGAGAGTAATTAGCTCGGAGGAAAATTGTTCCCGTGATAATGTTTGAACCACTCGGAATGCAAAACAAAGCACAAAAGTAAGCGCTGCTCAGGTTTTTGCTTTTGTGTGGCGTCAAGAAATCTAAAACATCATTTCTATTAGGTGAATGGTGCAGGCAGTATATGCGGAATAATTGCTACCAGAAGCCAAGCTGGATGGGATTTGTGTAGGTTTAAAGCTGCCATTGCCGGTGTTCAAAAGCTTATATGTTACTGTAGAGTTATTCAGGAGGAATTACAACGATGACCAACACCTTTCATTTTCATGTATCGGGACTAGCTTAACTTCCCAAGCTCAAGTTGTCGTAGTTTGAGCTAACATAATATATAGAAATTCTTTTCTCTCCACAGTTTGAGTGCATCCCTCCTGTAACATCTCCTCCTTCCCTTCTCAGATCTCTGAACAAAAATGTTGAGCATTCTGCATTAGTTTCAAGCCCTTACACAGCTCTGGCTATGGGGAGAAAGTAACGCATGAAATGAACTGGGCTGTGACCCATTTATCTGAGTGCTGCACAATCTATCCTTGGAAAACATTTTTCGATTCAAAACTGGGGGTCTGGTGATACTGGATTCAGCAACCCGGCTTTCGCTCCCACCCCCCTCCATTACTTTTTCCAAGGACCAATACTAGTTTGAACGTCAAGCGCCATTCCCCTGAATTGTAATACCTTAGGAAGGCCCTCTGTGAAGCAAGAGGAGCTCGGTGTTTAGTTATTATATTGTGGGAATTGTTCTGCATTTTGAAAATTAAATTTAAAATATTGTTCAGAACAGTTTGTTTTTCACTATCATAAATTTCGGGTATGTTTGTGTAAGACAGTGGAATGTGAATACGACCCCCACCCCCTGCCAGCCCCAGTTGTTATGTAAGATTTTGCTGGAGCATCAGTGTGTTCTGTCTGCCTGTGACCTTAATGATGGCCTCTGGAAGGGCAGATCAATCCTAATTTAATTAGAGATGTAGCCAAACTGAACATCCATCCCTGCACGACCATGAAGCTTGCTAGGTGGCCCTGAGCAAGTCACGATCTCTCAACTTAATCCATCCTACAGGGTTTTGTTGAGAGAATAAAATATAAATCTCTGCCCAATAGTGGTACAGATGTGGATTCTTTAGTTTTGTTACATTCTCAGGGCTGATAACCAATATCTGCTGAGTAACTTGGTGCCCCTGAAGATATACAGTATACACTAAATGAAATCCAAGGCTGCATTCCTGTGCACACTTGGAAGCAAGGTCTAAGGACCTCCATGTCCATAGAAGTCACTAGAAAGTTAGCATCCATCCATTCAGTTTGGCTGCTCATTACTTTGGCCGACTTTGATTTAGGTGCTGAATCACTTTCCTATCCTGTGATGCCAAAAGGGCGGGCAAAGAGTTGATTTGGTGCTCATAAAACATGGTTGAATAGCTACTTCACAACTGCACACCTGCTCTGACCCTACGGGAATTACAGTGCAAGCCTACATTTCTATACAGAAGTACGCCCCATTGAATTCATCGGGACTTGCTCCAAGTTAAGTGTGTGTAGGACTGCAGACTTAGCATTTCACATTTTGAATGTTTTCATCTTCATTGCAATAGCTGGTTTAAAACTTTGGCTGGTTCTGAAACCAGGTAACCATCGTTTCCCAGTCTGGATGGAATGAGAAGGTATGGTTAGCTGAAAACTTCCCAGCTTACTGCAGTGTATGCCAAGGAGTGAAAAGGTGGCAAAATGACAGAGAGCATGAGCAAAGGGCTTGTGCATATATTGGCTTGTTTAATGATTGTCAGAACCAGGCCATTATGTTACTTCTGTGGGGGAGTTCTGAGCTTCCTTTTTAAATACCAGTAGTGATCATTGAATCCAAAGCTGTGGTTGGAATAACATTTGATTCTCAATACTTCCAGCACTCCCACAGAAACCCTGCATGACCTAAAAGCCAATGTCATATGGGATCCTGATGAATAAGGACTCCCATCTCACACAAACACCCAGTAGTTAAGGTCTCATTATTAAGCCATTATTCATGGTTGCAGAACTGGAAGTGTGGAATGCATCTATTAAAAATAATTGTAATTTAAGTGTGATATGAAGAGTGTATCTCTGCTGCTTCTCTGCAACTCATCTTGGTCCCTTTCTCCTTAAAGCTTGATGGGAGCAACTTGGAGCATAATTTTTTTCCTTGAGCCAGCAGCTTGTGTTTAAGCTCTGCCCTGCAGGGCTATAGTTGGGCTTCGGGATATTTAGCGACCCTTCTGAGCACGTGTGAAGCGCCTTCTTGGTGCTTCTTTCATAATTCACATTGGGGATTTTGTTCTGGGTTTGTGTGTTCTGGGTTGTTCATTTTGAGATGGCTATATTGTGTGCCTGATGCCCTTAATACACACAACAGATGTCGGTTGGATTGAACACCCTTATGAAGCATGTCACTCTTCCTTGTCAACTGTTGACATTTCTAAACGTTTGTCCCACATTAGATTGTATGGGTTTGGGGTTTGTTTTTCATTTTTCTTTGGGAAGCTGCCTTCACTTCCCACACTATGTTTAAAACAAGCCAGCCCCTCTCTTCTCTGTATCCCCCTCACCCCCACGTTGCTAAATGCAAAGTGCGATGGAAGAAACTATTATAAGAAGCTGACAACTGATGTGGCACAATCTGGGGAGCTGGGCTTGTTCTGCTGGGCTCCCCCTCCCCCTGGTGCTAATGGTTTTACGCTTCACCCTCAGCTGCTGAGGTTTGATGTAAAGCTCTTGAGATGATAGGGTGTTCTTGGCAAATAAAGGAGTTAGAAAAACATTTCAGAAATGTTACCAATAGCTAAGGCAACAGTGTGAGAAGAGGTCATGTGTCTCTCTCTCATTTCATAACAGACCACAACTGTGAAATGTTCTGTGGAGGACTGCTGTGGGAAAGTAGATGGCTGTGATTTCCCTTTTGAATTGCCTTGGAGCCGGCTTGGGATGTTTCCTACCTCACAAAAGGATATAGGGCAAATAATTCCTTTGCGGAAAAGGGAGTTGAGCCAGAGCTGTGTTCTTAGATTTCCCACCACCACCGTGGAATTGGGATGACATGAGCCTCCCTAGATATTCTCTAGGAAAGGTGCCATATGTCACGTCCCCAAAGTGCCGGTTCTCCAATCACCATCCAACTAATTTAATTTGTTGGGCCGACAGCTTCCCTGAATGGATCTGCATGCATAGGCTGGTGCCTTAGCCAGATTAAAACCCATGGTTGCTGTGACCCTGTACTTCTCCCACCAAGGGGACAGGTCTTGTCTTGTCTTGTCTTGTCTCTGATGCCTCTTAGTGCATCCTACCAAGGGCAGCATGAGGGCAGGAATGGGGTTGTGTTGGCAGGGACAGATGGGAATTGTAGATCAAGGTATCTGGGCATCACTAGAATGGTGAAGGCTGTTCTACCCTCTTCTTGAGCAGGGAGTTGGAGCACAGACATGGATCATCCCTACAGTTGCACAGCACTTTCCAGGTTGTCATAATAATAATAATACAGTAATTTATTATTTGTACCCTGCCCATCTGGCTGGGTTTCCCCAGCCACTCTGGGCTGCTTCAAACAAAGATTAAAAATACAGTAAAATGTCACACATTAAAAGCTTCCCTAAACAGGGCTGCCTTCAGATGTCTTCTAAAAGTCTGGTAGTTGTTTTTCTCTTTGACATCTGGTGGGAGGGCGTTCCACAGGGCGGGTGCCACTACTGAGAAGGTCCTCGGCCTGGTTCCCTGTAGCTTGGCTTCTCGCAGTGAGGGAACCACCAGAAGGTCCTTGGCTCTGGACCTCAGTGTCGGGGCAGAATGATGGGGATGGAGATGCTCCTTTAGGTATACCGGCCCGAGGCCGTTTAGGGCTTTAAAGGTCAGCACCAGCACTTTGAATTGTGCTCGGAAATGTACTGGGAGCCAATGTAGGTCTTTCAGGACCAATGTTATATGGTCTTGGCAGCCGCTCCCAGTCCTAGAACCTTAGAACTGCAGTGTGACTGATGCAATGCAACTTGCAAGCCCTTTCAACTGCTCCTTTCCTAACTCTAAACTTAGGGTGGGGAGAAGAGAGATGAGACTGGCACGCATCATGTTTACCACTGCATGAGTGAATTTATGGATTCATGGCCCCTTTTTTCCACTGCTTGGCCCTCCGGATTTAAGGCACTCATCACCTACATCTGAATGACTATGTTTTATTTAATTTATTCATTTAATATATTTATATCCAAGGTGTGTTAACTCCAAAGATTTTTCAGAACTGCTTATGAAACAGACATTGAGATTAAAAGGGAAAATGCCAGAATATCAGCAACACAGGTAGTTATTAAATCCACATTAGCCATGTTCAGGGCGGCTTACTCCTAGGAAACTTGGTATATGATTGCAGCCTTAGCCTACATAATTGATACAGGGTACATACAGAACCTTTGTCTTAGGCTGCAACAGGAGATATTTATTTATATTCTAGTGCAGACTTGTCTAAACCTGTGCCTGGGAGAGAACTTGAGTGAACAGGAGATGAAGGGCAGGACCACTCTTCCTCATTTGCACCAGTGATAAGTGGATAGTATTTTAGTCTTGGACCTGAGTCCCCACTTGAACACAGTTCTTACCTTGGGCTGCTGCTTTTCTCTGACCTGGCCTACAGTTCTGCATGGATAAACCCTCTTTATACCACTCACCTTGAATGTCTTGGAATGGTGGGCCTTGCGCAAAAATGTCTTAATTTCCAAGGATTTGTCTTAAGAGTTTTGAATGAACAACTGCTTAAGGATTTGAAGTATTTAGATTTCAAATGTGTATCATTGTGTTATTCTGTTGCCGAAGAGCTTTGAGACTGGTGGCGAAGGGTGCTTTTAGCTCCTCTGAAAGTTCGACTGAGCAGGGGCTTGCTAACAGAACTGACTGTGGCCTTTCGTTTTCCAAACCAGACGCTGTTTATCTTTTCCAGCATGTACTCATTTGGGGAATGGAATTCTTGTTCTGCTGAAATCATGAACTTTCTCATCCTTAAGGTCATTCTGGAGGAAATGTCTTTCATTTTTTTGTTTCATGGTTTCCCTCTGTTTTTTTCGCTGACTTCTCCAAGGTCCAACTTACGTTTGCAGGAGTGTGTTCTGTGCAGCAGTGATAAGAGGCCCAGTTAATTTGGTATAACTGTGTCTGGCCTCTGCCACTTGAGGCTGTAGATGGGAGGGCCCCCAGATTTCACCGCTCCTCCAAATAAAAATAAAAACAAATCCCTGAACAGGACAGGGGGAATAGTGCTGGTATAACCTTCTTCCTTGTACGGTATTTTTCTAAGAACCGTAAAAAGATAAGTAAGTAAGTAAATAAATAAATAAAGAGCCTGCCTGCTGAAGTGGCCCAGGTCCAAGACAGGTTTACCACTTTAGTGAGAACTAGACCAGAGCAAACCCTAATTTTGTTCCCTTGTGCTCTCGCAACATTAGGCTGCCTTGTATAAATACAGCAACAGATCAGAAAAACCTGATTAAGTGCAACATTCTTTCACTTTGTGTAGGGTGGGGGAGCATCATTCCTGAAGCCTTACCCATCTATACAAATACTTGGATGGCTATTCTTGCAGTGTGCACACATTGACAGGGGTTAGAGTTTTGACCTGATCTGTTTATCTTTGGCTTATTTGTCTGGTCTAGAGAAGGGAAGAGGTACCATAACTCTGATCTATAGATGTCTGTCAGGTTTTACCATGAATGCTTTTAGAAAACATTGGAGAGGATTCTGGCAGGGGGGCAGTGTAGAGATATTTGACTGCTGTAAAAATGTGATTCAGGCAAGAGAACTTAGCACCTCTTGCAATTTGTGCCAAGGGGAACAAGGCCAGGCTTAAAAGAGACCTGCATAAATGTCAATATATACACACAGGGAGTTTCATGTTTCCCCTGCTCCCATTTCATTCCTCTGCACTGTGCTGCTGTTTTCCTCTGCTGGGGTTTCCCTGGCACCTTCTTGAGGATCACATGGGGCTGTAGTGAGAAGGGGGCACAAAAAAAGTCTACATGGACAAAATGCCATGCATAGCCTTTTGGATCCCATTTAAACTCTCCTCCCCAAATTTGGAGGAACTTGGAGTCTATCCTTTGTTTAGGTAAGGAAAATATTATAATGCAAAATTCCAAAGGGTTTTTTAAATACTTAAGGCATAATGTAATCCAAGCATGGCCAGTTAGAAATATGAGTTTGTATTTTGGTGTTGTATTGATGTGTACAAAACTGTCCTCTTTTATAGTCAAATACAGGTTGGTTTTTTTACTTTGCATTCATGCCTGCTATTGAAATTAAAAGCTCACCAAATGTCCTGTTTGTCAGTGTGGGAAAGAGAGAGCAGCTCTCCGCTGTCATGAATGGGATGGGCAACTGGGAGAGCATGTGTTTCTGGACTGAGCAGCTATTTCTTTCACAACGTAAGTTTTTAATACCTTGATCATCCTTCAGCTATGCTTAGCAATGAAGAAGTCGGAGATTGAGCAATCCAGCACATACCTAAGCAAAGATAAGTGACATATTGTTTGCTTTTTAAGGTGAGTCCAGAAACAGCATTTAGATAAAGAGGCTCAAATGTAAGATCAGCTTGCTTGGTAAGAGCCCCAGCCCATTGAATAGCCTTCCATAAATATGCTGGGGCTGTTGAGGAAAAGGCATTTTTGCCTTCCAGAGAACCCCATTTTGTCAGCATCAGAGAAGTGCTTCTAAAAGGTCTGAGTGGCATTGCTAATAAAGCTCTTGCTTTGCTGAGCAGAAGCAAAGATTTTCCTCTCGGTGCTTGCTGTTCTAATGGGTACAGCAGAATATGAGGACGGGGTTGTTGTTTTTGATCCCTTAAAGGAAAGGAAACAGCAAAGTAATGGGTTGGAACTTGTGAGCTTGGTGGGCCAACAAAGAGGTTGATTATCTTCACATTCCTAGTGAACCAACTTTTTGCAACATTCAGTGTGCATTTAAAACACATGACTTCCTTCAAGGAGTTGTGGGAATGGGAGTTTTTTCCTCAGAGACACAGTTACCAGCATCCTTAACAAGCTACATCCCAGGATTCTTTGGGGAAAACCATGTGCCTCAAGTGTGCTTAAAAAGTGTGGTGTGTATCTGCCCGCAGATGCCTGTAGTTGAAGGTACAAGAAGAGTATGAAATTTCTGTTGATGCATTGACTGGAGAAGGGTGGTGGGAGAATCAGAGAAGTCAATAAACATCCCACTCTGAAGTGGTTTACCTAGAGGCAGACTTTGGTCTTTCACTTTTCAGCGGCACATCATGAGAGGCCAAAAGTCGTCTCCCCCGGCCTCCTTCCTTTCTGCTCATTTCACTACATCATAGTCATAGCACCCTGCAGCGCCCCCTAGGCTCAGTACCCAGTGCGGCGGAACCAGTCACGCTGCCCAAAACCCACCTCTGGTTTACCCATTTTGAAAGTTGTACAGTTTGTTACAGAAGCTTGAAACAAAGCTTGAAAGGTTTGGTTGCTGTGCACTCCAGATCAACAGAAGCAGCATTGCAACGAAGTTGTTCGGAAGATTCTCCCTCCTTCATTCCTGATCTGCATGCTGAGATTGTACTGCAGCTTGCAAATGAAGGAGCTGAAGAGAATGTTACCCTTCCTGTGTCCCCCCCCCCATCTGCTCAAGTTGGCTACGAGTGTTGCTTAGCACAGATGCAGTCTGGGTTTTGGATGCTTGAAAGCGTTTGTTCCTGAATGGTGAATGAACTGATTCTTAAACAGCTTCATCATCATCATCATCAAATGGCTGATACCTACTTAGTTTCTGACAACAAGAGGTCTGCTGTACAAAACGAATGGAACTTTGGATTTCACTGAACAAGCTGCTGTAATAACTTTAGAGGGCCATTGAACGGCCTACCAATATAAAGGTCACATTTGGCAATTCATGTGGGCCAGAGGATCACAGCTAATTATCATACATAGCTGCATGTAATTAATATAAACCATTGCCTCTAGGCCACCCAAATTCCTCAGTAGCTGCATGCAACAGTCCTTCTTATGAGATATATTTCTGCTCTGCTTACCCACACCCTGCTTTGTGAAACAGTTCTCAAACTATTCTTCCTCCCCACCACCCTCTCTGTGTGTGTGTGTGTGTCTCTGTTTCTGTCTCTCAACTCCTGGCTTGGATTATGATGTGACTGCTTAACCAGTGACAATATCTTTTGCCCAATTACTGTACAAAATACCCAATTTATCCTAATCCTGTACTCTTTTTTTTATCAGGGTCTGTATTATCCCACTGAGCCACAGGATGGGATAGTTTGCTAAGCTGTTAAAACCTTTCATTCAGGAAGCAAAGAAGTCCTATTTAAATCAATGCCATTCCTTTGGAACACAATCAGAGTGTTTGAGGCATGTGCCACAGAAGGAAATGCGGAATGACTGAAGTAGTTTCTCTCCTGCTTTGCAGATGTTGTGGGACTGGAGGAGATCCTTAATTTCCCACTGAGCATATAGTTTTTTCCAGTGCCTTAGTCCAATGTCTGGAAGTGGTGCTCAAACTCTTTGCTCATAGGCGCAGTCTTTGCAGCCTTTTTTCATATTGAAAGGCAGAAACTGGCTTCCCCTTGTGTCCTTAGCTGGTATGACAGAGGGCTTTCCCCTTTGTAGGTGCTCAGGCAACTGTGCATGAGGTTTGTTATGAAAAATATTTATAATGAAAACCAGGCTTTATATTAAGGTAGGGGTTGGCACACAACAGATTGGGATCTACTGGTATATTTCCAGGGGGCTGCATTAGATCAGCATGGGTTTTTCCTGGCTCCCAGCTGTTTAAACATTAGCAACAATTAAATAACTCCCCCCCCCAATCTAAATTAGGCTGCTAAAAGGAAGAAAACTAACCAGGAATAGATATTTGTGTGAAAGGACTGTTCCCTCAGTTCAGTTCAGTTCTGATATTGAAAAATAAATTCCGAGGCTTGGAATGTAGTTAGAGGCACCCTGTTTTTTTTTTAGATTTAAACGGCGTGGCTTTTGCTTGTCGTTCTAATAGAAAACAAAGTTGATTTGACAACCATGAAGGCTTCCTACCCCTGCATAAAGGCATTCTTGACACCTCTATAAAAGCTTGACAACAGTAAATGCACTCGCTTCACAATCAGTTCTGAACATCATATATTTATTGATGCCGGCAGGTTTCTTAAAATAACAAATTGTGTGTGTTGCACATGCTCACCCCAATGTAGCCTAGCAAGTCCATGATTCTTGAGTAGGGCCAAGGCAACCCACCCTTCCTCCATGAGTTCCCTCACCTCATGGACGGGGCGGGGGGCAGTGGAAAGCAGCCTTTCTGCAGCTGTAGCAAGTCTTTCAGTTCAAGAACTATATCATACCCTGTTTTTGAAACTGTATTCTGATGGGTCCTTGATTGCATTCTGCTGAAAGTACAGTCGTACCTTGGATCCCGAATGCCTTGCGAGGTGAACATTTTGGCTCCCATACGCCGCAAACCTAGAAGTGAGTGTTCGGGTTTGCGAATGTTCTTTGGAACCTGAATGTCCAACGCGGCTTCTGCAGCTTCCGATTGGCTGCAGGAGCTTCCTGCAGCCAATCGGAAGCCGCACCTTGGTTTCTGAACATTTTGGAAGTCAGATGGACTTCTGGAACAGATTCCATTTGACTTCCAAGGTACCACTGTATGTTGCATTTATATTTATTTATTTATTAAATTTATAAACCACCCTTCACCCAAAAGTCGCAGAGCCGTTTACAAAATAAAAATGCAAAATGAAAACACAAGATACATAATATAATAGCAAAAAACCCCAATATCCTAATAGCTCCCCCTCCCGCAAACAGATTTTAAAGACCGTAGATTGTTTAACCAGCCAAAGGCTTCCTTGAAGAGGAACATTTTCCCCTGGTACCATGGACGGGAGATGCTTCCCCCTTCAAAACTGTGGATATGAGAAGGTGGCTATAGAACATGCAAGTTAAGCTGTAATAGAGGACATGTCACAATGCTCTTGATCTCAGGACTGCAGCCTGCCCTGACAATTCATGCCAACAGTTCAGTGGTCTGAATATTCTGACCTGCAGCTGTGCTCTAATTGGGCACCCTGAGTGACATTAACCGAGTCACAGATTTCCCTACCGGTGAAGTAATCAATGGATCCTATAGAGTGCCCTATATCTCAGAGATAGTTACTGTGCATTATGACATTTGAATTTACAACTATTTTTCACTTTTAAAGCCAACAAGCCTAGCTGTTCTTTATAAAAATGAATGAATGTCACGCTGTGTGGAATGTTCCATCTGTGCAAGTGTATCAGCTTGCCAGCAGAACAATGCCTCTCCCCTCTCCTGCACGCTGTTCTGGGGTTCTCCTGACCCCCAAGGATGGCCCAATACATTTGGGCCCCACAGGCGAACCAGAAAATGGTGCCTCCTGCCAGAGAAGAAGAAGGAGTGAAGATTTCCATCAGGAACAAGGGGGAGAGTGAAGACCAACATCGGGAACAAATGGAGGAATCAAATCAACCTTACCTGGTGGTTGAATCAAAGGCTCTCATGGTGCTGGGGGGAAAGGGCCCACCCTGAATCACACTGGGCAGGTGGAGACCCCAGAGGGCAGCCCCTGCCACTTCCTCCCCAGGCGTGGGAAGAGACCAGCAGTGCCTCCTGTCACTATAGATGTGGCATTGGATGTGCTGCTGAGGAGGTGGCAGATCTGACCTCCAAGGAGCACATTGCACCTGGCAATGCATTCCTTGGAGGCTGGATCTTCTGCCCCAATGGATCCTGCTGCCTGAGGCAGTTAACTCACTTTGCCTCGTAGGTGTGCTGGCCCTGTCTGACACACACTCCTGGCTCCTTTTGACCTATCAGAACCTATGCCACATTGGGCAGGTAACTAGTGTGAACACCTGGCCAGGAGTTTGGAAGACCCAAGACACCCTCTGAGGCAGAAATAGGGAGTTGATAGAAATGGCAACCAGGATTCCCCAGATTTTCCTGCCAGGCAGCACCTTTCCTGTGGATTCTGGAGATGATGTGCCTCACTCAAGGGAAATGGAGGCACGAGGAACCAGGCTTTTTCTTCACATTGACAACAAGGGCATGTGGCAGTTTCATGTGTGCTAGGCATAAAGCTTTGCCTAGAGAGCTTGCTTACTTGCTCTGGCACACCTTTTTAGAATTAAAGGCCCTACGTGGGGTCAAATGAGAGGACACTTAAATGACAACAGTTGTTGTTGTTTAGTCATTTAGTCGTGTCCGACTCTTCGTGACCCCATGGACCAGAGCACGCCAGGCACTCCTGTCCTCCACTGCCTCCCGCAGTTTGGTCAGACTCATGCTGGTAGCTTCGAGAACACCGTCCAACCATCTTGTCCTCTGTCGTCCCCTTCTCCTTGTGCCCTCCATCTTTCCCAACATCAGGGTCTTTTCCAGGGAGTCTTCTCTTCTCATGAGGTGGCCAAAGTATTGGAGTCTCAGCTTCAGGATCTGTCCTTCCAGTAGGAGACTAGATTTTTATTGGGCAGCGACTGGCAGAATCCGAGACCAGGGAGAAGAGTCGGTGGAAGAAGATTGGAAGAAATTTAAAGTTTATTTACAGAAACATTGTAAAATTAAGGAATTTTAGAAGGATGTTGGAATGAAGTAATGTGGTTTTAGCAAAAATGCTATAAAGGATTAAGAAAAAACAGATTGTTAAATGGTGAAAGGAGGGAAAGTAAAGTTACAATATATTAAGATAAAATAGAGGACAAAAACTGGGAAAGATGGAAAGGACTTGCTGAAATAGCTAACTGAACTAGAATACAAAAAAAGGGAGGTGTGAGGAGGTCAAGGAAACAAGCAAATGAAAGATAAATTATGGGAAGATTTATTGTATATATTTTTTTCTTTTTTCTTTTTTTTATTGTGATGTGATGTTCTGTTTTTCTGTTTAATATGCTGTTTTCTATTTTTTCTTTTTGTAATCTTTTAAATCTTAATAAATATTATTTTTTAAAAAATAGATTTTTATTGGGCAGTGAGTAAAAGGCTGGAGAATCAAGGGCTTAATAAGTAAAGGCTCTTTAGAGCACAATCAACAAACTAATTAGGTGGGTCTGGTCTTGCTGAGGCAGCACATCTAAAGTAGCTTAAAAACAAAAGGTCAGTCAGCTGATTATAGTCTTAGTAAAGATCCAAACACATTTCTCCCTTTTGTGTGGTTTAGTTCCTTTGTGCAGTGTGTCGAAGACTATCGTTTTTCAGTTCCAAGCCCTCCTTGATTAATTCATGTGCTGCGGTATTTCAGATATGTTGTCTGGTGGTTTTTTTCCTGCCCAAGGTGTGTAAGGTTTGTTTATCTTATTTATTTGTTGCATTTGTATCCCGCCTTTCCACCAAACGGTGCTCAAGGCTGCTAACAGCAGTGGCAAATGTTGCAAGTATTGTGTTTCTTGGTATCCACCATAGGAGTCAACTCCTAGGGTCTGATGTCCCTTCGCTCTGCCTCCCATTAAAATATTTGAAGGGGCTGACACACACACCCCAGAGTTGATGGGCACTGGCATTCAAATGGTGTTCGTGTGCTGGGTCTTGTGATTGATTATAGTGACAGATTGCTCCTGGCTCATCCTAAGAGATGTCCATGCAAGAACTGGAACGGGGTTTCTATCGCCAGATGTGACTGGCTCTCCCACGTGGAGGAGTTGATCCACCTGAATAAGTCTGTGGATTGCTGGATCAAGGCCTTTGACTGAGCTTTTATCGACAGCTGATTCTTCTGTTCTTTCTACTTCAGTCACAAGAATTGTTTGTTTGGAATCAGATGGAAAACTACAACAGTAAGGCCACCATTGACTTTCTCGTTGGTTTTACAGTATTAATTTTTGAGACATGGGCTGAGTAATGCAGTCTCCTTTTTGGCTGCTACTCAGAAGCAACTGTGAACATATTAGAAGAGGAGGGGAAACATAAAATAACTCCCAAAGCACATATTATCTTTTCATCTTCCCGATTTTGGATTGTCTTGGTTTTGCGATTTGGCTAGTCTGAGACAGAGCTTCCTTATAAACTCATAATACTGATTCTGGCTGTTGCCTAGGAACATGTCTCTGGTCTTTCGGGGCATTCATGTTCTAATCATAGCTCTCTGGCAAAACCTTGTTTACTTCCTTTCCAGGCAGTGTCAATGACACAGCCTTCAAAGGTTTTGGTTTTATGTTTATAACTTGTCTTTCATTTATGCTTTAGAGAGGGTGGGTGTGAGGAACATATCAGCCCTAGGCAATTTTCATTAAGAATACAGACTGCCAGCTGAAGTGATTGGATAGTCCATAATTCACATTTTCTATTTCGATAGTAAAAGCAGGCTTGTAATAAGTCACTCACCTGGCTTCCTTTGGTGAGGAGGAATAGACTTCAGATGACCATGAAGAGAAGCTTCTGTAAAATGGAAAAGATCTAGTTCTTTTCTCCCCACCTCCAGCACAAATGAATTAAGGGCCAAACTAAGTTCCTAGGAAGCTGTCTTGTACCCAGTCAGACCACTAGCCTATCCAGCTCAGTACTGTATGCACTGAATGGCAATGGCTCCCTAGGGTTTCAGACAGGGAACCTTTCCCTGGAGAGGCCAGGGATTGAACCTGGGACCTTTTGCATGCAAAGCTGATGCTCTGCCACTGAGCCACATGGCACAAACATGTAATAATGCATTTTTTAAAAGTTATTTGAATATTTATTTAGCATTTTGTGCATCCCAGCCTTCTTCCCTTTTGGAGCACTGGGTAGCTAATGACGCACAGTAATAAAAGCAGCATAAAGCAGAACATAAATTATAATGGCTAACTTACAAAAAGACAGTAGCAATACATATCTATAGAATACATCAGCTGCTGAAGAGGAGTGAAATTGTGACTGCAGCATATAGGAAGGAGGATTTAATCCTTTTCCTGTCTGTTGCAGTCCGGCTAAAAACCTCTGCCACCATCCTTCCATCTCTCAAGCTGAAATTGGCCTTGGAACAGAAATTTCCAGTCGTGCCAGCAGTGAGTTTTGAGTGTGTGGCTTACATCAGGGCGGTTGTGGTTGGGGAATGGTTAGACACCCCCTCGCTGTGCAATATTCTCTCCCTGCCTGATGTCATTTTCTTGCTCTCCCCTCTCCATCCCCTCGTTGAGATTTAAAGATATCTTTTTTTAAATGATACTGTAGTCAGTGGTGTCCAAACTTTTTTCAAAGAGGGCCAGATTTGCTGAAAGGTATTGACCTTTTTTAAAGGATTGAAGTTGTTGAGCTTTTTTTTAGGATTTTACCCCAGAAATAAACTGCCACAACTAACTGGATTCGGCCCCAGAAACAGACTTTGGACATGCCTGCCTTAGATGTTCACATTCATTTAATATTTGAGCCTACCATACGTATGTAGAGCAGGTTTTCAGGCTACCCAGTTTTTCTGGGCTAGTAACCTTTGTGAACACACTTGTACTGTGCATCAGCCCCACTTACCATGTATTCGCTGAACCCCTATATTATGTCCACTAAGTCATGCTGGCCACATGACCCGGAAGCTGTATGCTGGCTCCCTTGGCCAATAAAGCGAGATGAGCTCTGCAACCCCAGAGTCAGCCACGACTGGACCTAATGGTCAGGGGTCCCTTTACCTTTACCTATATTATGTCCACACAACGAAATCCTATGTACAAGTGTGTGTGCACGTGCCCATTGGCCCAGGATCCCTCTTCACATTGAAGAGCTCTGCTTAGGGAGAAGGGAGCTTAACTGCAACTTCCAGCTTGGGTGGCGTGCTAAGTGATACCATAACGTGGCTTACTGTGTTACACAAACAGGAGTCCTGAAGTGATTTACTGGAACAGCATCATACAAAATATACAGCTTTGAGTGATGGCTTCAATTTCTGCTGACAAACGCAGTAGGTGTAGATGAGTTTTTAACATGTTGATGGTGATAGTGGAGTAAACTGTTGTGGTCAGCCAGGGCTGTCTTAAGCATATGTGGCGCCGGGGTGCAAAGATCCACTCGGCGCCCCCCCCCCCAGTTGCCCAGTCCCAGGTGCGTAGGAGGGCGGAGCCGGCTGCCCACCTCAGCGTCTCACTGGCTTGGTCGCCCCCGAACTCATGGCACAGAGCCGCCTGCACAGAAGAGCCCGCTGCAGCGCTCTGACCGACAAGCAGGCTCTTCCCCGGACTCTTGGGCCCCGGACTCTAGGCCTGGCGCCCCTGAGAGCCCAGCGCCCAGGTGTCCTTCACTCCTAGTGCCTATGGGAAAGACGGCCCTGTGGTCAGGATATTTCTCTATCCTGAAATCCTGTCTGGAGACTCTTTGTGCTGTTCTTCATTTGGTGGAGGAAAAGGGAGCGGGAGCACAAATGTCGATCAATATGTTCCGTAAAACAATATGAGATCATTTCAGAAAGAGAGCTTGAATAGCAGAGTTCTGTCACAGCCAAGAAAGTTGTTTTTGGTGTTTCTTCTCTTGCCTTTTAAAATAAAGGGAGTGTGTGCTTAGTCTTTTGAAAGAGGACATTAAAATGCTTGAGCTGGTCTTAAGTTGAACAACAAGTTAATCTTTTGTTTAGTAATCTTGGAGAGAAGTCTCAAGGCTTCAAGTCCTTCACTGGAATAAATTTTAAAATTGGCAGCCAGTGAAGGTTTTCATAAACACTTAGCTTCTGTAGACTGTTCTGCCTGATGGAACATCAAGACAAGATTTATGCGGGTGGGAACGGAGAAACTCAATCCAGAAGCATCAGTGTTTGTACGTTTCCTACTCTCAGTTAACCTCCATATAGTTTTGAGGGATTAGAAGCCTTCCTCAGTTTTCACATAAGTAGACCCACAGGGTAGTCCTTCTGGGACAGTTCTCCAAATTGTTACTTGTGGAGCTACCAAACCACTGCGATCCTGATAATAAAATTATCATTAAATGAAAGGTGTATGCAGAGAAGTGGGTGGACAACTTTTAAAATAATAGATGAGGGAAGTTCCTCTTTTGATTTCAGATGGGAGTTGAAATTCAACAACATCTGGAAGGCCACCCCTGGTTTAATGTTACAGATAATGCCTGTGTTGATTCAGAGGACAAGCACTCAAACATGTACAATCGGGGTTAGCAACTGGGTGCCTGCAACTTCTTTGCTAATGCGACAGTATATGGAGATTTGTTTTGGGGTGAGGAACCCATTTCATCCCATTTTTTATAGTGCAAAAAAATCTGACTTTTGTGAAAGATCTGGAATGGATATACTTGATATTTTCAGTAGTGTGGCATGTGTACAAGCACCATCTCACTTTTTGTGGAATAGGGATGGTTTAGGTGACGGTCTGTTTCAAGGCCACTTCTCTTTGACCAGAGATGGCAGATAGCGACAACAGCAGAGAGTCAAAGTACTGCCCATGACAGCGATCCTTATCCTCAGACAAAATTTCCTCACGGTAGCCAGGTTCACTATAGCTCAGGCAGACATATAGGTCCTCTTCTAATCCTCTATTCTCCCTCCAGATCAGTACTCCAAAATACTAGGCATTAAATAAATAGCATCTGCCCTCATGCACATGCTTATAACTCCATTTACTGGCTGGAGGAGCGCAAGGCGGCGTTAGGGGTGTGACCTACAGCCATGGAACTTTTCTCAACTTGGTCATTACCTGCCTTTGGTGTAGAAAGGAAAACCTCACCCTCTAATAGTGACATATAAGCAAAGGTGCAGAGAGTCAGCTACCAAACCCACTCTTTAAACCGCCGGCTCAAACAGTAACTATCCCACTATAAATGGAAAGTGTGGAAAGACCCCCAAGATACCACCGTAACAAGAAAATCTGGTGTGGTCGCAGATGGCGAGGTGAGTGATGTGCAGCCCCCACCACCTTCGCGCCCCCCTTCAGGAGTGCGGGTGAACAAAGCTGCTTATGGCAGATTCAAAGGAAACAGATCAAGGGCTCCCAAAGCTGCTCCCCTTGGCTAACACGATTCAGATGCAGGAGACTTTAGAAAATGAAAGGATTAAGAAGTAATAAATAAAACATGCGAATTTGTCTCTTCCCTCCCCCGCCACTCCTTTGCACAGTGAAAGCCGACGGATCCGATTGTGTGTTGGTTTTCCTTTTGAAATGGCTTCACAGTTGAAGCCTCCTGTCTCTTTAAGACAATTCCTTGTTAGATCAGGGAGAGTTTCTCTCTCTCTCTCCCCCCCCTTTTTTCTGATGCTTGACTATAATTACCAGTATGTCTGGAATGTGGCATATAAAAACATAATAAACCTCTGTGTGGGCAGTGCTAGGATTGCTTCTGTGACTAGGGAGTCTGCTTGGCTTCAAGGGAAATGGTAGTGTGTTTATGGCTTTTATATTTTTCACCCCCAGTCTCCAGTTTCTGCTAACTTCCTTTCAGAAAACCCCTGCTAAATAATAGCACTCTCTTTTTTCTCCCCCCTGCAGAATGAAGAGAAACGGAATCTCGCTCTGGGAGGCCATGTTGGATTTGACAGTCTTCCTGATCAGCTTGTCAGCAAATCTGTAGCGCAAGGCTTCAGCTTCAACATCCTCTGTGTGGGTGAGTAAAGTGTGCACTGCAAACGAGAAAAGCACTTGGACAAAAACAACACGTAGAAGAAACCAACTTGTTAGAAGCCTGGGAGAGCCGGTCGCTTAGTGGAAGAACACCTGCTCTGTATACACACAAGGTCCCAGGCTCAATCCCTGGTGTCTCCAGTTAAAAGGGCCAGGAGAGATCTCAGCCTAAGATCTTGCCTCATCTGCTCTGACAGTAGCTCTCCTAGGCTAGATGGACAAAGAATTTGACCTGGTGTGAGGTAGCTTCTTGTGTTTTTCAGGCACTGTTTTCAAACCACAGCCTTCTGCCCATGGTGGCAGGTGCCCATTGGGACTGGACTGGTGAGGTTGAAAGCAGGGAGCCCTAGCAGTAGGTGGAGTCAGAGCCAATGACAGCTACCCTCCTTCCTGGTCTGGTCATAAGTAAGAAGGCAGGCAGGCAGGGGCTGAATGAGGGCATTCCCCATTGCCTTAATAGAGCAGTCCCAACACCTTATACCATGGCTGATGTGCAGAGCTGAATCTCCCAAATTTGAGATGTAATGTATTTTGTTGAGGCAAGGCTAAAACTACTATAGTGGTACCTCGGGTTACATACGCTTCAGGTTACATATGCTTCAGGTTACAGACTCCACTAACCCAGAAATATTACCTCGGGTTAAGAACTTTGCTTCAGGACGAGAACAGAAATCATGCAGCGGAGGCGCTGTGGTAGCAGGAGGCCCCATTAGCTAAAGTGGTGCTTCAGGTTAAGAACAGTTTCAGGTTAAGAACAGACCTCCAGGACCAATTAAGTTCTTAACCCGAAGTACCACTGTAATAGGATTTCAACACCATTCACCCTTTTTTTCTTTTTAGTGGGGTAAGGGCTTTGCTTGCTTTCTATATGACTGAGTTTCATGTGATATTGAAGAAGGCCATGACTTATACATTGCTTTCACAACTGTGAAAAAGTCACATTAAGAAGCTGGATTTTCAGGTAGCTTGCATTTCTAATGGCTGGACCTGCTCCTACGAGATTCAACCATTGGTTAGAATAAAACTCAGTGAATACAGGATTGGGTAGCTTGCACCATATGTTGTTGCTGAAGCTGCTGGCTTGCTTGCTTACTTGCCTTCTCCTCCATAGTCTGATAGAGTTGTCTCCCCTATCTTATGACTTTCACAGGGAGCATTAAAGTTACGGTGGTTAGATTGGAATCGGATTGGAATAATTTGCTTCTGGCAATGATAATTGGGGCCTTTGATCTTTGTTTTAATTTTTGAAACATGCATATGATTGCTGGGGAACAGGTTTTGGTCTCCAGAAGGCGACCTACAAGGCCAAATTCTTGCTTTTCTTTTTGCAGATTTAGCTGCAGCAAAAATTCCATAAATGCTTATTGTGTTAATTATAATTTTTCCCAGTCCAATCTGGCGAGTATTGGAAAATACTTTTAAATACATTGTTCTATGTGCTCATGGTTTCTGCTTAGTAAAATAGCTCAGGAGAGAATTTAATATACTCCAGGTCTCTACTGAGAGCTATAGGTATGTACAAAAACTTCTATGTGATTTTGTCACACTCATTGGTATGTTTCCCCTTTCCCTTATTTTTCACATCACATCTTTTTAATCAGCTAAGTTATTTAACCAGGGAAGCATCATTTATTTTCTGTACTAGAACAAATGGGGAGCAAATTATCGTAATTGTGGTGGGACTTAAAGAAACAGAGCGATGGAATTGGGATATTTTTATCCTTATTATTGGAACAACCTGTAGTTTTAAAGGTTGTTCAGACCTCCAAGGCCTGCTTTTCTGAGCCTGCAGCTGGATGGTATTTGGATATGTGCTTTCAGAAAAGAAGAGTTTGACCTTGATTTTAAGGAAACCCCCAATAATGCTGAATTCCTTTCTCTGTTCTCCATTCACCTCAGATTAATGTAACAAAATAAAGATGATCAACATTGATTCTGACAGGAAGACTAAGCATATACTGTAGTTGCGTAGGCAGCAGTATGGGCAAGCAGGAAGGATTAAGGTTAAAGGCCATAAATCAAAAGAAATATATAAAGACCCTTTCTGTGGCTTGGAATGTCTTGATAGAATCTCGGTTACTAATGGGACTGGGCCAGCCTCAAAAGCTTTCTGTTAACTCATGTTTCAAAATATACCCACACTTCAGTGCCTCTCTGACAAAACAGCTCCACTATTTCACAAGCTTGGGTAGCCGCCAGCCATAGCCAGGAGCAAGTATTCCCTGATTCACTTCCCATTTGCTCTGCCAGCTCTCCTTGCAACATGTCCTTGCATCATACACCAGCCCAGGGGTTTCTGGTGCTCTGCCATCTGTCAAATATCCAGACTAGATTGAAATTATTACACTATTCCACACTGATTCATGATCTCTCAAGGGGAGTTTGCCCATAATTAGAACATTGGAAGTTTCCTATAGGGTTGCGGAGAGATCGTGTTGACATTCTGTAAACCTTTCCCTTATTAGTCTTCACATCTCGCTGCTCTTTTCAGTTTTATGTCTGGAAAAGCAATGCTAGCCCGTGGCTGCTTAGCAGCACAGAGGATCGAACTTAAAAGAAAGTGGCATGTTTATAGAAAGAATATTGCCTCATGCTATTAATACTGCCTTTTGCTCCTAAAACAAAGGAAGTGGGTGGGAGGTGGGAGACACCATCTGTGTTTTAACAGAGATTGAGGAGTTGCACATACTGAAGGTTTGTTTTGTTTGTTAGAAGCCTTTGGGGAGAAAGCTGTAGACAAATCAAAGGGTCTTTATTGCGAACTCCCTGAAATCCATTTGTTCTGAAATCATGAGAAATATTTAGCGGGGAAAAAGACAATGATGCATCTCCTTATTTCTGGAATTTCTCAGGTGAAACTGGTATTGGGAAGTCAACGTTGATGAACACTCTCTTCAATACAACATTTGAGACTGAAGAAGCCAGTCACTATGAGCACGCTGTTCGCTTGCGGCCACGGACTTATGACCTGCAGGAAAGCAACGTCCACCTGAAATTAACCATTGTAGATGCTGTGGGGTTTGGGGATCAGATCAATAAAGATGAAAGGCAAGTCACTTTCCGCTTTGGTGCAGAAAAGTCTGCAGTGCTTTGACGTGTAAAGGAATGTCTTGGGAATAAGCTGGGCCTCACATGAGAGTGGCCATGCATAATGTGATCAGCTGCTTTGGGCGGCCTTCGCCAACCTGGTTCCCTCAAGATGTTTTGGACTACAACTCCCATCAACCTCAGCCAGCACAGTCATTTTGGACTGCAACTCCTATTACTGGCTGGGGCCAATGGGAGTTGCAGCCCACAACATCTGAAGGGCACCAGGTTAGCAATGGGCAGCTTAGGACACAATGATTTACTAAGCTTATCCCATTCACAGTTGGGCTTGGTGGGACATTATGTACTGGCCTTTGGACATACTGGCTGTATTGATTATTGATTACTCAACTCGGTGGGTTACACCTAGGTTGATGCTTGAGGTGCTGTTCCTCCCTTCCATTAACTGCTTCTGTCTATCCTCCCATTGCTCTAAACAGTAAGCTAATTGGTTCTTAAGTTTTGCCCTGACTCATTTGCAAAATGGCGGCTTATGTGCCTCCTCCAGCGTGAGGGAAATAACAATTTGGAGGAAGGAATCCTAGGTCCATAATGGCACTGAGCATCAACAGGAGAGGGCCTTTCAGTCATGCTTGTGGGCTTCCCAGAAGCATCTGGTTGTTCACTGTGGGAAACAGGATGCTGAACTAGACGGACCTTTTAACCTGCTCCAACAGGGCTGCTCTTCTCTTCTTGGGCAGATGATAAACAATCAGTGCTTTCTCTGTTCCTTTGTGACCCTATCACTTTGCATGTAGCCCCCACCCTTCTCTGGCTTCCATTCTTAGAAACAAGTAGCTGAGGACAGTTGATGTCTGAGTAAAAGATGCATAATGTAATGCAGACTTGGACCCCCCTCCCATGCTCTTTTTCTTCTCCCACACTTTTTTTTAAAAACCCCAATAATCCTTTTTAGGCTGTGTAACTGAAAACACTTGTTTAAAACTTCAGCGTTTTAGTTTGTAAGGATCAAATCTCTTACCGATTTTTTACTTTTCAGGGTAGCTTGTGGTTTTCCTCAGCCATGACGAAAACTAGTTGCAAAAAATAAATAAATACCCACCAGTTGGGACCTTATGGTGAAGGGTGGGTAATGAATTGAGTAAAGGACTCTCAAATATTTATTGCATTATACTTTAATTATGTATTTCTTAGTTTTATTTGTATCCTGACCTTCATCCGGGGAGTGTGGAACAGTATTTTAGCCTTGCAACCACTCTGTACGGTTGGTTCATCTGACAGATGGTGACTAACCCAACTAACTCTGTGAACTCCGTAAATGAGCTGCCATTAGATGCTCACTTGACATATGAACAGTGTGAACATCCTTGGTTATAACTCAAGTGTGTAGTGAGTAACTGTGGTTTCATGTTATCACTTCTGCTTTATAACAAAGTTATCAAGTTCAGCTCATCAGCATAACACCCCTCCTCCCCAGAAGTGCTTTTGGCCTTATTTCCAGTTTCACTTCTTGTGTGTGCACCACCTTCTGCCTAATTTTAGCTTTACCTCATGAGGTAACCTGTCATTAGTTAGCACTAAAGGTTTTTAACATCTCTTGCACTGAATTATTATCAAAGCTTGGCAGATGGGGGAGACTGGGCCATTCCTTTCACAGCATCCTTGAAAGTGCCCAGTCTTTCTTTGTTAACTTTAGCATTCAGGTTGCTAATGGAATTCGTTTTTAGTTACAGGCCGATAGTAGATTACATTGACACGCAGTTTGAAAACTACTTACAAGAAGAGCTCAAAATCCGGCGTTCCCTCTTTAATTATCATGATACAAGAATCCATGTCTGCCTTTATTTCATCACTCCAACTGGTCACTCGCTGAAGTCCTTGGATCTGGTAACCATGAAAAAGCTGGATAGTAAGGTATGTGCTTTACCTCACACGTCCTACGAGCATTGACTTTCAATTAAGTACAAGCTTTGGTTGGCACCTTCAACCACCAATAACTGTGTAATTTAATTTATTTGCTTCAGTTTTCTGTACGCCACTTAGAGATTGTTTTAAAATATTAAGAGGCATAGAAATGGTCTAAATCAATAAATATAAATGTTTATTCACTTCTTCTGCCAAGGAGGTAAAAGACTCCCTGTTCTCAGCAGTTGCCTTAGACACTATCCTTCCCACTTCATTACACTCATTCTAGGCCACTTCAGCGTTATAAAATTTGTTGTTGTGAATGTCTCTCTTTGAGCAATCCAGAGTGCATCAACAGTGCTGAGATATGCATGGATTGGGGAAATAGGTTAGGGGAAGGAAATCCTGTAGGCTTATGGAATTTATGTATCACTGTTCTGATTAAAGTAAGACAGCCCTGACTATTGCGTGTGGGAAACAACTTAACAGAAGTTATAAGAAGATGGTCAACGCCGTAAATCAGTTTGTGTTAACGGCAGTTGTTCTGATGCAGTAGTCATTGGGATGCATTGTTCTGGTGAGTTCAATAAGGCAGCAACCATTTGTGGCTGTAGCCAGATGTAGACCATCTTAGCAATGCTGATAATTGCTTCCATGCAGCATGTGCTCAGCCAGCCAACTCTCCTCCTAGCTGATGACTAGGTGTGTGATGTTCAAAGTGAAGTCCATGCTGTGAGGGGAGCTTGAGGCAGAGGGCAAAGGTCATTCACGTGAAAGGATTCATGTTCAAAACAAAAAAGTTCACATTTTTATTGGGTGACCTTTTTAACTTTAAGAACATAAAACATTTTAAATAACCAAATGATATACTTTGCTAAGGATTAATTGGAACACCGCATCTGCTGAGGAATAGAGATGAGTCACTTATATATTTCGGCTCCATCAGCTTGAATCCTGAGCTTCATATGCTGAGCTTTGCCCACTACTTTTGTGTGTTGCTGTTTGGAGGCTATACTATATCCCCACCCCACCCCCCAGCAACCACTTCTGACACTGGCAGAATCCTTAATCCTGCATGCATAGATATTTAATCAGATTCATATGTGTATAATGCTCAAGTATGCATATGTAATAGAAAGAGAGAGAGAGAGAGAATCAATCCCAAGTAAACATTAAGGTCTGGTTGATAGCTCCAGTTTAGTCTTTGTTGGCATATGAAGTGAGTATTTAAGATATCGAGATCTCAAAGCATGGGGCTGACAATAAAATAGTAGAAATAACAAGTAGAAAGACAAGTGGCTAACTAGGATTGTGTGCTTCCATTGCAGAACTTTGTCATGTTTTGCTCTCTTTCATTACAGCTCACAGGAAGTTCTTTACAGGGGCATAAATATTAATATAATAATAAACAGTACATTTCTGGTGGCCAGAGAGGTATCCTAATTTTTCAGAATGGAGTGCCTTGGTAAAGAAAATGTTATGATTAAGTGTAGTCTGAACCTCAGAACCCAGGTCTGTGGGATACGTAGGAAATAATGCTCTCAATTTCCAACTTGCTCTTTGTCCCTTTCCGAGAGCTGCTCCTGATTCAGATGTGGCTTGGATACTACATTGGCTTGAGATCAAACATCTGCTTAGCAAAGATGTAGGCATCTGAACTGGCTATGCATTGATGGGGAGGGGGGCAGCTGTTCAACAACTCTGCAATGTCAGCATGGTGATGTCAGACACTGGGTAGACTGTCTGGGTTTCCTGTGATATTAATGTATCTGGTTCATCCAAATGACTTCACCAGGCTTTTCCAGGGTGGAGGATCATTCTCCGCAGTTCTCTCTCCCATCATGCACTGGGGTGCTGCTGAAGTCATAACCAAAGGATCTGTTGCCTACTTTATCTGATTACTTCCAGACAGCCAAAAATGGTCTTCAAAGCTGAATTACTACATTAAATAATAGATGGCTGAGATTGCACCATGTCTAGCCGTTCATATCTTGACACTCACAAGTTAAAAGTATCCAACCCTATCTCATTTACCACTTTATCTTAACTCAGCATACATTTTGGCGCAGTAAAGTACAGCTCTGTTTTGGAAAACCACCTGTTTCTAAAAGGGCTTTTATGATACATGTATGTTTTATTATGTTGGCTTCGATTTTTAGCATGCTGGTGTTGCATATCTTTAATCTCATTCCATGCTTGCTCTTTCCTTGTGGTGGCTTCACCTGATAATTCAGAAGAGAGATTCTGGCTATGTTTCCAGCTCTGGAAATGGAATTGGGAGTGAAGGTCAAGAAGATGCAATTTTGGATGCAGTTTTGCGAGGACAGATTGATTACCTGTGGGGATATTTTAAGAGAAATCCCAAGATAATGAAAAGTTGTCCAGCTTGCTCTATAATTCACAATATAGTGATGGGAGATGGTGGCTGGGCTCCAAAGAACTGAGTGGGCTTGTACAATTGGCTTGGGTCAGCCAAGTGGCATATTTTACTCTTTTCAGCAGCTGACTCTCAAGCTAGATCACAAACTGCTTTTACAACTCTTTATTTTCCAAAGCAGTTTGCACTGAAGGTGTGAGGGAAGCTGCTGTTTAAGGAAAAACAAGCCTAAAGCCTCCTTTGGGTGAACAGACTAGTTTTGCAGTTATTTTAATCCAGGCCAGCACTGACAACTGTGTCTTCTTGATGACCCTGACAGTGCTTTGTTGCAGCAAAAGAGCAGTAAGCCATGCACCTGCCAATTCATTGCAAATAGAATTTGTGGGAATTTTGTTCTGTAGGCAGACATGGAAAAGCCATTGTCACTCAAGTACCTGTGTGTTGGTGGGCCACCAGGTATTCAACTTTAAGCTCAATTTCCCTGAAGTTGCCTGGCTTGCTTTTTCATGCTGATTTTTTAGAGCGTGCTTCTCTGTTCTTTTTGGAACACATCCATGCTCCCCCCCCCCCCAATAAATTCACCTTTTTAAAAAATCAGCACCTCTGCATTTCTTCAAGCTAATTGCTGGAATCAGTGAATGCATGGTTTAGCAATTAGGTTTAAGAAATAACAACATTTTAATTGGCTGCCAGTTGCTTATAAATTCCATTTGTTCACAACGCCTGCCAGGAAATTAAAGCAAGGGGAGGCTTAGATCTAAAGCACAACATGCTCTTTTCCAACAGTAGCATCCAATACCTACAACCTGTGTAAAGTCTTACCTGAGGCAGGGAGCTCCCAGAGTTGCACCCAAGAGGTTCAAGGGGCTGCCATGGAATGGAAGTATTATTCACACACATTGTGTCTTTTCTGTTCGTATGGAGGGGGTTATGAATCCTGGCCAAAATCTCTCTTCATTTGCCTCTTGAAAGCAAACTACTGTTATCAGACAGGATTAGAGCAGATCAAAGTAGATCTCTGCTTTACTTTATACCCATGGTACAGTCTTGTTCATCCAGATGTTTTGGACTACAACTCCAAGCTAGCTGACTTACTGCAAGGCCTCAGAAAAAAATATATTTTTGTGATAGAAAGTCAATTTTTTGACACTGGTTAGATTTAATTGTGTCAGATTGACTTCACTCAGAATAGTTCTTTTTTTCCTCTTGCTTTACTTTGAAAGCCCTAATCATACTACAGTGGACACTTGCGTTGCAGACGTGATCCGTGCAGGATGCACGTTCACAACCCACAACTGTGCATCTGCACACGTGCGGGTTGCGATTTGGTGCTTCTGCGCATGCACAAAGCGTGATTTAGCGCTTCTGTGCATGCGCAACCAACGAAACCCAGAAGTAACGCGTTCTGGTACTTCCGGATTTTGGCAGTCCGAAACCCGAAAAAACACAACCTGAAGCGTCTGTAACCTGAGGTATGACTGTGCATACATTAATATACTTGGAAGAATAATGTAAATTTCCTTGGATATCTGAATGCAAGAGAATACATTGTGGCTGAGGGTGGCTAAATACTCCATGCCTGAGTGGTAACACTTACTAGTTCAACTGTTTGATTTGACAGACTTGCATTCACAATGCTAAGCAACATTCTGCTCTTAGCTGGTGCTCCAGACAGCTTGTATTCAGCTAGCTTTTACTCAAGAGTAGACCTATTGAAATTAATGAACAGGGCTAACTTAATTAATTTCAACTATACACACTACTAGGAGGTTTTGAAATGGGTGGATTGGTGGCAACGGGATATTAAAGAAGAGCGGAGACCTAATTTAATGTGCTTATACAAATGAAGCTGGGGGAGCCTAGTATCCCTAACACAGTGCAATTAATGACAGGCCTCCAAAACTCTTTGGGGGGGGGAAATACTTCCATTGGTTTTATTTCTTTTGCAGGTGAACATTATCCCTATAATTGCCAAAGCTGACACCATTTCCAAGAGCGAGTTGCACAAGTTTAAGATTAAGATCATGAGCGAACTGGTTAGCAATGGAGTCCAGATCTATCAGTTCCCCACGGATGATGATGCTGTGGCTGAGATTAACTCTGTGATGAATGTGAGTAATGTGCTTACCACAACAAGTTTTTATAGTTTTGTATTGATAGCAGTGACGTATCAAAACTGAAGATTGTGTGAACTGGTAGACTCAGTTTGTAGTGGTGCTTTGGTGCTATTAGTCCCATTTCTCAGTGGAGCACTCCTTGTTGTATAAGGAAACAGTGGGATCTTTAGTTGGGTTGGCTTTTGCGACGGCGCAACGGCCCTTTTCCCCCTGGTGCCGTTGGGGCATACTCACTTAAAAATAGAGTGCGCCTACCTCACAGAACACCACTTCCACGAATTCCCTCAAACTACCCCAGATTATCTTGTGGGGGACTTGCGTGAGGTAAAACTTAATAATTAGGAGTCTCAGGCAGGATTTGTTCAAATAAACAATAACGATTTTATTTAACAAGGAAGTTTATGACACAAGTGGATAAAACTTAGGATACTTCAGTTTACAATGTTATTTCACTTCAAGGTTTTCTCAGTTGTTTCACACTTAATACTTTGGTTCTTAACTTAATACTTTGGTTCTTAACAAGGTGGTACTTTCTGTTAGTTACACACCCCCTAGACAACCCTACTCCTGAGGTACTCCAAGTAATAGACCCAAGGTTTCACTGGTTTGGGAGTCTTCTCTTACTAGAAGACTCTCTCCCCTCCTGACTGGAATGAGACCTAAGTATATTGTCTCTTTACAGCCTCTACTTTTCCTGTCTCAGCCTCCCAGTTAATTCCTGGCCTAATTACTCTTACAGGACACCACACACTGTCCTTCACACTAAGCTCAGAGACTCCTTTCTCTAGCTTGTGATATTTTCCTCAGAGTGGATGCTTCTATCCAGAACCAACTCTCACTCCCTCTCTTCCTGCCTATCCTCCCACTCTCAATCCCAACCTACTCCAAAACCTCCTCCCTCTCTCCAAATCCTCTCCTTTTCAATTCCCTACCCTGAACAGCCAATCAGAGGCTGTCATACATTAACCCTTTTTTGGCATGGGGAAAAGAAAAAGAAAATACTTGGGGACCCAACCAGCCCTAGCAAAAACAAACTTTTCTGTCGCAGCTATCATCATATACAATAAATACTCATGGGTATTACCAAAATTACTTAGTACTTTCCCAAAAAATAGAATGCTGAAATGTGGTACACAAATAGTCCTACACAATCCAATTACCTGAACTGGACACTCTTTTTAAAATGCCTCTTTCTTAAGCTTGCACTATGGTCAACTTCATAACAGCAAACAGTGCCAGACAGAGTAGAGATATGGAACATCCCTTTCACACTCATTTTTGGAATGGGGAGTGAATTTGCAATGCTATCTTCTAAACATACTGTGGATGTGACAGGCTCTACAAGTTGCCTCTTCCCATACCTGAATAAGCTGTGGATTGTGGAAGCTGAGTGAGTAGGAATACCAGACATCCAGAGTACTTTCCTTCTTTCTTTCTTTCTTTCTTTCTTTCTTTCTTTCTTTCACCTTGAGTTGTGTCCATATAAAGACCCTGTTGGGTGGATCAATCTCAGATATAAGAAGTCATTGAGGCAAAACCTGTTGCTTGGTCAGTAGCTTGCCTACAGTTATTTAATAGTTGTGATTCACCCCATGAGTCCCATCTGTGGAAGCCCTGAGCAAGCAACGTGATAGTATACATCTGAGCAATGAAGAGTCAGGTGGGATATGGGATATATAATCTACCCAAAAGCATTCCTTTTGGCAAAGGTTGTTCATGGAGAAAGTCATTGTGTGAAATCTTCAGTTCTTGGTTTATAGTTGAAAATGCTAGGTCCCCCCCCTCCCTTTGTCTTGTTTTAGTGTAACAGCAGAAGATTTTTCAGAATAAGTTTCTTTCTGCTGTCAGCAAAAATGCCAATACCACAGATGTGGGAAATGTGATTCTGTGCTATGAGGAGTTGAACTGAGGCTGAGGGCGCAAATGACATTTTATATTTTGCACTGAATTCCATGGTTATGTGTCATTTTAGGCTCATCTGCCGTTTGCTGTTGTAGGAAGCACAGAAGAGGTAAAGGTTGGAAATAAAATGGTGAGGGCTCGCCAATATCCTTGGGGTGTGGTACAAGGTAAGTCGGAAGCCAAGCCTCTTGACAGTGTTGTGTAAACTTTCCTTGATTGTTTCCTGCTCTTGTAGCTGTATGGGCTGTAGTCATCATTATTCGTCCTCGGAGTAAACCCATTGAAATGAAGGGACATGACTAATGGACCATTAATTCCAATAGACCTACCCAGAGTATGACTAGCCCAATGGGTTTACTAATGTTCAATTTTATGCCAAAGTCAGCTTGCCCTCAGCTCCAGGGAATGTCACAGTTCTGTTTCCTATAAAAGTCTTTCATAAGGAACATTCCTATCATGTCACCTTTAGATGACAATTAGGGTTTTTTTCCTAATTGTGCTTGGCACCATCTAATTTTTAGCACCTGGCAGTTTATTTTGATGGCTGTTCTCTGTTTTCATTACTAGGCTGGTATTTTATTGTGTCATTATACATGTTTTTATTTTTACTGATTATTTGTCAGTTGCAGTATCTGTGGAAATGTTCCCGGGGGGGACGGGACTTTAAAAGCACACACTAAAAATATGCATGCTGATCTGGCAAGGCTCTGTGGTGTTTTATTTTACATTTGTTTTTGTAAGCTGATTTTCCAACAACAAAGTTGAGCTGAAAGTGGTTCCCAAAGATAGCAAAGCGCATTAAAAACGGATGCTGTTGCTATTTTTTCATTTATTAATTGCTTCCTATGAAGAATCCCAAAGTGATTTTACAATACAATTAATACATTTATAAAACAATTGCATACATACATTAAAAATAAAATACATATAAATACAAAAACAATTAAACAATACTTCAGGTGATCTATTAATATAAATCAAAAGCAGATGGTAATAATGCAATAAATACATCTATACACAATTAAAATACAGTTGAATACAAGGATACAAAAACACCCTCATGGTCGCCACAAATTCATGCTATATACTCACTAAGCTGCACCATGGTTCAAGGCTTTGAAGCATGGTGGCACCAGTAGTTTTAGGAGACTGTTCCTGATTAAATTATACAGGCACCTAAAATTCTGGTGTTTATCTGTTAAAAACATTTTTGTTTCATCAGGTATTTTTAGAAAATTTATTCAGTTCATTGTTGGTTCTGTATTTTTTATTTTATGATGTTTTGATGATTTTATATTACATTTTTGGTGTGTATCACCACAATATTTTCGATAGAAGCTAGTGGTATATAAATACCATAATAAAGAAATGAAAAACATTTTTTAAAAAAACCAGTTTCACTCAAATAAGTACCAGACACAATCATTTCCTGCTTCCAAATAAACAAGCCTAAAAAAAAAATCACCATAACAATAATATGGATGATATCCTGCATTCCATATTTATTTATACAGAGGCAGCAATCTGAAATGCAATTGCTAGAGAGTAAGCCCCTTTTGTACCCAAGGGTGACCTCTGAGTAAATTTGCATAGTATTTAGTTACAAGGTTTGCTGATTGGACGGCACAAAGCTGTCCTTCTCTTAACGGAGGAAACACTCCTTCAGTTCTGCTTAGAATGTTACACCAATAAAGGAAACCCCAGGATTTTGAGTCAAGTTGGTGTGTATAAAGCATGGGTAGGCAAACTATGACCCGAGGGCCGGATCCAGCCCAATGGCCTTCTAAATCCGGTCTAGGAATCAGCGTGTTTTTGCATGAGTAGAATGTGTCCTTTTATTTAAAATGCATCTCTGGGTTATTTGTGGGGCATAGGAATTTGTTCATTCCCCCCCCCCCCAAATATAGTCTGCCCCCCCACAAGGTCTGAGGGCCAATGGACCGGCCCCCTGCTGAAAAAGTTTGCTGATCCCTGGTATAAACCATCCATTTTTTCACAATGGCTATGCTCCTTCTCTTCATTTGCTCAGTTGAGAATGAAAGCCACTGTGACTTTGTAAAGCTGCGAGAGATGCTGATCCGTGTCAACATGGAAGATCTGCGGGAGCAAACTCACACTCGCCACTACGAGCTTTACAGGCGGTGTAAGCTAGAAGAAATGGGCTTCAAAGATACTGATCCTGACAGCCAGCCATTCAGGTGAGAGAGCATCCTCTCCATTCTTGCTTTCCACTGGAATACCTGTACAGGTGTGTGAAGGCTGCAAGTTCTGTCAGAATCTGGGGCACTCTTGTAAGCAGGATGACAGTAATGTGTCATGTCCTTAATGCCTCACCGCCTCCCTCTTTGACACATGCATGCGCAGCACATGTACATAGGTGTAGCTTTATAGCTGCTTATTGTCTTCCGTTGTTTTTCAGCACCTTTTAATGTCTAAGTGATTTGAGGTTTGTGTCTTTTGTGTCTTAACCAGCCTTCAGGAAACCTATGAGACCAAGAGAAAAGAATTCCTCTGTGAGTTGCAGAAGAAAGAGGAAGAAATGAGGCAAATGTTTGTGAACAAGGTCAAGGAAACAGAGTTGGAACTGAAAGAAAAGGAGAGAGAAGTGAGTGTCAGAGAATGGAATCTGGGCCACAGAGTCATATGGCCAAACGTAATAGGGTGTGTGGGTGTGTGTATTCCTATGACACTACAATTATAATATTCCAACACTGAGAAGCAAAGAAAATGAGAACTACCTTGCTGGATCCAACAGAGGCCTGTCAAATCCAGCATTCTGTCTCCATTGATATGAGCAGCCGGATCCTTCTAGGAGCATTATAGGGACATTCATCCTGTGGGGAATGCATTAGAGGGTTAGGATTGCTCCCTAATTTGTTTAATCCATTTTTAAAGGCTATCTAATCTATTGCTCTTGACCATACCTTGCAGTAGTATATTCCTTTATTCTTGTGTGTGAGAAACTTCAAATTCATTTCATAGGCTGGCTCCAACTTAGGAATTTTTATTTGATATGAAAGCTGTGGGGGAAAGTCTTACAACTTCTGAATTTTTGTGTCTGAATTTATTAAGATCTACTCCAGGGCTTTCAGTATCTAAAACCTAGATGAAACAATCCCAAAATGACTGCATCAATGTCATACCTCCAGCATTATCTTACCCTAGCTATGAGCTGCTTCATTTTTTGTAAAAGAAACCTTTCAACTACAGTGGTACCTCCTGTTATGTACCGTCCCCCTTACAAATGCTGCGGGTTACATGCTCCACTTACCCGGAAGTAGATGCCCCCTGTTGCGACCTTTGCAAGTGGAAGTTGCGCTCTGGCAGTGCAGCAGCAGTGGGAGGCGCCATTAGAGAAAGCACGCCTCATGTTATGAGCAGTTTGCTGTTACGAACGGATCTCCAGAACGGATTAAGTACGTAACATGAGGTACCACTGTAATCATGAAGGCATGTTGCTATCCTTCAGGAGCACAAGGGGCTAATCTGACACATGAAGGTCAGGCAAGTGGGTGTCAAATAATTGTAAACCTTTGTTCTTCAGCTGGAACTAAGGGCCGGGCCACATATTAATGGAGTGGAGGAATTGCTGTTTTCACTATAGCGGTCGCTCCACTTATGTCTGTGGAAAGAACCCGTACAAATCAGACAGAATTAGTCCATCCCACATGGATCCATTACGTGGATGTTAATCAGAGCAGCGCTGGATCCAGAAGGGACACCTGTGTTTCTCATTAGGGTTTAACTCTGCCCTCTGTGGTGACCTATAGGACACACTTGCTTGGATGGTAGTGCCTTGCTATAGGTCAGGATTGGGCTCTACTTCCTGACAGTGGAGGCAGCACTGACTGGGTTTTTTCCTTCCCTCCTTTGGCCAGCTGCATGAGAAGTTTGAACATCTAAAAAGAATGCATCAGGAAGAGAAGAGGAAAGTGGAGGAGAAGAGAAGAGAGCTGGAGGAGGAGATGAACGCCTTCAACAGGAGGAAAGTGGCAGTTGAAACCCTGCAGTGTCAGTCTCTGCAAGCCACTTCACAGCAGCCGCTGAAGAAGGACAAAGACAAGAAAAAGTAAGCAGTTTGACATGAACTTCACTTTGTTTCCATCCTTTCCCAAGACATTCACACCCAAGTCAAGTCATCTAAAAATATTGCAACAGATGAGTTATTATTATTATTTTTTAAAGTGGTGGGAAGGAATGAGGAGGGGCTCAAGAAGTGGTTTAGACAATTTCCAGAATTATAAAGAAGCCCCAATTTCCCATTCTAACAGAATAAGCCAAGGAAATGTATAAATTTTAGCCATAGTTTCGCAACCATACCAAAGATTTAAGGAGGGAAAAGACCTCCATCTTAGACTAAGGAAGATTGATCCAGTAAATGCCTCTTCTGGCCCCAGGATAGTCTTGTCACTTTTTCTTGAAGTGCATTAGCAATGAAAACAAACATAAAACAATTTCATACAAAAACAAGTTCATACACACACACACATCTATGCACACATATACACACAACTAGTATTAATTCTTTGTCTACTGGCCACCATGAAAGGGAAATAAGAGAGTTCTGTATAAATAGATCAGTATTGTTTTATGTAGTGTTGACATTAAGCATCCCCAACAGGGATTCTTGTTCCATGGGATCTTGAAATGCAGTTGATTTCACTTTTGGTTAGAGTAGGTTCTGTTCTCCATGTAGGTCTACTCATTATAGTGGACAAATTCAGTGTTCAGGCTGCATCTTGTGTTATACCTCCACATGAACTTGTGCAGTTGCCTTGATACAGAGTCAGACCATTAGCCAATCCAGCCCATTACGCTGAGAAGCAGTGGCTGCCCAGAGTCTCAGGCAGAGATCTTTCCTACACTGCTGTGTGAGATCCTGCTAACTGGAGATCTTACAGATAAAACTGGGAACCTTCCCTCAGGCAAAGCGTATTCTGTACCACTGAGTCATGTTTCATCCCTCCAGGTAAACTGGTACATGGGACCCTAGCAATTACCTTGTTGGAGCAGATCAAAGGTCTTCTAGTCAAACAGGGGCCAGCCATGTCTCTGGGAAGTCTAGGAAAGAGGATATTGTGGAGATACCACTTTTGATCTTTGTCTCCAGTGTTTTGATCTTTGTCTCCAGTGTTAACTGGCAGACTAAAACAGGACTTCCATATTCAAAATATATTTGTTGGCTCTCATTGTAAAGCTGTCTAAACCAGTGACCACACTGCATCTTGTGATACTTAATTCCACAAACGAGTTTTCAATATCCGAATAAGCACATTTTTGTTTTGAATCAGCTGCTAAAAGTGTTTCTCCGATGTACTCTTCCGGCAGGTTATCACCTCTTTATAGCTGCTACTCGTAGTTGAGCCAGCTGCAGTACAAAATGGGGATAAACAGGGATAAAAACCATACTACTACTTTGCTACACCTGGTATTTTATACTTATTAAAATATTGAAGTTCATGGAGGTCCAAGCCTTGTTTTTGGTAACCATGCATCATAATGATAATGAAGGTGAGAATACAAGGCAAGGATTAGCTCAGTTCAAGTTTTAATTTAAGTACAGTTTCCTGCTACCTTGTGAGATTGTTTGAAGACAATGAAATCCCTCCACTGCAAATTAATAATTTTCCTGCTTAGAATGTACTGAAACTTCTGTGGCATATTTATTGTTCTTCTTCTTGCTAATACTTCTTTCTCTTGCTAATACTATGGAGGACGCCTGCCTCTCATCTTTAGCATCTCTTCTACTTGATCTAGGATCCAAGAGCTATAGCTTGTTTTATGAGATATACTCTGATTCACGTCCGACGGTTTTCAGTGATCTGCTGTAACGCAGTCTTTGCTTCAAAGTATTGCCATGTGTGATACGGTTGCATGTCCAGCCTTTGAGATTAAAGGTGCCCTTTACTTAAAAAGGCGAGGATAATGCTGAAACGTCTTCCTCAACCTACGCTTGCCTATGAATACTTGCCAGCATTCATATGCATAGCTAGCCAACCAGCTGCAGAAGTTATGCGTATCTTCTCCTTCTGGTCCATTCAAGGACTTGTACGACAGTTTTGATGCTTTGTTAATGCTAGAGAATGTAACATGCATTCTAGTCTCTGCTGTGGTCTGTACCCTCCCCAGACCTCTGCCCCTGGTTTTTCTACCCTCAGTTCAGTCAGAGGCAACTCACCTGTTCAGGTATTCAGAACCACAAAGCAATAAGCCTGTGAGGGAAGAGAGCAGGACTGTCACACTGTGCTGGTTCCTCCTGCCCCACACCGCCACCACTTCCCAATGCTGTCTGTGCATGTTTGCTGAAGGTTCTGGCTCACAGGGAAAGCCCACGTGTCCATCAGGCATTGCAGACATTCCCCCAACACAGAGACAGAATTGGAGAGAGGCTAGCATGGATGTGGAGGCAGGGCAAGGGTGCACAGTCCTATTTTTCTTTGTCGTGCAATTATAGTCATGGTTGTGAAGGCCTTTGTAGACCTGAAGTTGCTTAGCACATACGTTGATATCCTCATTCTGTTGTTAGAGGTCAGGGTCCCAGACGATGCTCAGCTGATGCTAGCTGCCAACTTTTCCAGATTCTTATTCTCAAGAGTGGGCTCACGTGTTACCTTTGTAGCATGAAAGCCACTTCTGCCTGGACCCAGGGCACTGCTAGATTAGCGACATCTGTAAAGAAGGAACTTGCGTGAGTTAGGATTGTGGTAGGGATCCTTCTTTCCTACTGTTGTCAGGAAGTGGTGGTGACATCACTCTACCATGTGAATGAATCCTCCAATGATAATATTGTGAGGGATGTCAAATAGCCCGCCTTGGATCCGTGATCTCTGTTAGTTGCTTATTACTGCCCAGATACAATGCAGCTTGGGCCCTAGGAGTAATAATGCAGGTTTTATAAGAGATTTTTAATGATCTGTGTAATACAAGAACTGTTGTCCTTGCAGCTACAGTGTAAAAGAGAGGAATGGATGACATTCTGCAAGTGGCATATAGTGTACCAGAGCTGGGGAGGGTGCAAAAAATGGTGTAGGCAAGGTTGTGGGGGGGGAGCTCACCTGAAGCAAGTTGATGTGAACTTGACAGCCAATGACTTTCTGAGCTAAGGTGTGTTACAAAATTCTGGCAAGTTGCTTTGCCTCAGAATGTTAGTAGTTTTGCATTAACTATTGAACTTCAAGGAAAGAACCTTAGTGTTTTTATGTGATTTATATTCTTTATCTATTTTAAAAAAATGATATGATTGTGTGACTAAGCTATAGAACTGATCAACAACTACATAGTCTCAGATGATGTAATATTTGCTGTGTAATACACAGTGCAGTCTATTTTTTCCATGCATACTTACCCTAGGTAAGTGGATGATGACGATTGTAAGATAAATTACCCATCTCTTACTAGTAGTTCAAACTAAAACGTCTAGCACAAGTTGTAGAAAAGTTACAGAATTGGGCTATAAGATTGCTGTAGGGGCTTCTGTCTCACATACAAGTGGCTTCTTTGTTCTTTACTCATGCTAAATTTCAGCCTCTTGTCTTCCATGAATTAAGAATGCTGGTGATGATTTGTGCTTATGTTAAGCTTAATATGATGTTGTATCCTTTTGACAGATGCCTGGTTATCATGATTAGTTCTATCTAACATTACTAGTACTTATTTCTTTTTATTTTTTAAAAAATTCAGCAGTTTTGGTGAACAGTCTATTTATATTTCTGTATGAATCTTATGGAGCAGCAGCGTAACTATCCTATTTAGCATGAGCAAGATGACTTACAATATGATGAGCTAAAGTGAGTCACAATAGCCTGTCTAGAACGCCAGTGTCAGCCACCGCCAATCCAGGATCTTGAACAGACCCCAGTCCTTCTAACAGAGATCTTAAAAACAGAAATGCCTGAGATTGAACTAGATGACTCATAAGTTTAAAAACCTGTGGTCTGTTATTCAGGTAAACTGATTAATCTTATCTCTAGTGCAATTAATTAGATTTTTTGTTTTGTCTTTTTTAAAAAGTAAGGCAAGAACGATTTGATTTTGATCATGGAGTGGTCTGGTTTACATAGAACATTAAACCATGGTTTAATGTTATGTGGCCAAACCTTCGCAAGCCCAAGCAAAGAGTCAGACTCACTCACATCACTTTCCTTCTTCTCCAGCCAGGAGTGTGACTTCTGCTGAGCTTAGTTTAACTTGCAAATTAACTCATCTTAGCATTACATGTGTACCAGCAATCCTGGTTGGAAACTAGTAATGGTTAGTGAAACAAGCCAGCTTCATAATCCATAGTTTGAAGTTGGCTTGTTTAGAAACTAACCATGGATTGATTTAAACCAGGATACCGGGTTCATATGTAACGCTAAGCCAATATTTTCTGGAATTGAAACTAAACTCAGCAGAAGTTCTATTGGCTGCACAACAGAGGAAGGGAAGAGAATACTTGCCTGATGCTTTGCACTGGCTTGGGGAGGCTTCTTCACACAACACTAGACCTTGGTTTAGTGTGGCATGTAAGTCCCAAAGGATCACATTGCTTTTTTGCCACTATTGTATATGATATTGCTTTACATTTTCATTATGTTTGATTTTCTATCGTTTAATTTTTGCTTTTTATGTTTTCGTTTCAGTTGATCTCACACACAGACTTGTATGCCAGGAGCGGACTCTGTGCATTCATATGTTTTAGTTGCTTACTTTTCCACCTTGTGAATCCTTCTGTCATACCATTGTGCAAGTGAAACAGCATGAAAGAAAAACTGACCATCTGGTGCGTTTTTCAGTGACTGGATTGTGACTATGCAGGATGTTAACGTTTTTAAGAAAACATTTGCCTTGTCTTTGCAGATTCCCTGTGGAAAATACTCGTATTGCTAGTTCTGATATGTCAGGGGTTTAATTTGTTTTAAACCCAATGAATTACTATCTATTTATAAAATGGCCCTAACTATATCTAATACATTTTTTAAAATGCAATCTTGATGAAAGAGTTCCATATAAAAGTTTCTGTTGGGAACCTGTTTATTTTCATTTTTCAAATTTATTTTAGGTTAAATATCACCAATATTTTATTTTTAACAAAAATTGCAATCTGAATGCGTTACGAGCTTGAAGTGACACTTTAAATTTATTATTTGAAGAAAGCAGTTTCTGCTTCATAACGTGCACACTAGTGTGCAGTTTAAATAAGACAAACATCTTGTATATTGTTCTGCTATTTATATTATGTTGCTGAAGTGCAACTCCTTATTAAACAGTAGTTCCTTTTCTTTCACTAGTGTATGCTCCTGTCTGAGTAGATGTTCATCCTCAAACTTACTATTTTTAATAATAAATAAAATAAAATACAACTCCATAATCAAAAGTAGAACCTAGAAAATTGCAGTTAATGTTTATAAATCACTCTCTGCATCCATCTCCACTCTGGATGCTACTTCTGCCTTTAATGCTGCTCCCATTTTTTAAACCTGTTGATTTTGACTATCCTAAAATGACTGTAAAAACAAACAGGATTTGGATATTTCAGTAGCTGGAAGGAGATGTTCTCCTTTTTATGGTGGCGGTGAAACAATCAGTAAAAATGGCTTTGCTAGAAAGAATTCCCTGTACTTGTTGAACCGAAGGCAGCTATCAGTTAAAGTAATCCTGCAAACACCTAGATGTGAATATTTTTAAGACAATGTCTTTGTGCAGATTTACATTCTTTAGCCAAGCTCGCGCACATGAGTTGACCAAATCCAAAAAAGCCCCTTTAGACTCTTTAGACAAAATTAAGAGGGCTCCTTAACATGATTTGCTTTTCCAAATGTATCATGCCTTTTTGCCACATGCTTTGTGGAAGGATGCATTTGAGACAAGGGCTTGTGAAATGACTGCAACTTTTAGGAGCGTCTCAGCCTGCCCGACAGGCAACCCTGATATCCAGCAGGGTTGCTTGCTGTGAGTGGGGATGCCAATATATGTTGGACACCTTCATGAATTAAAAGTGAAAATGGCAAAGTTCCAAGTCCAGCAGATCTCCCTGTAGTGAGGAAAAATGAGTTGCATGGCCCACTTAACACTAATTGGGCTGCAGGGCAACGATTTCTCAGGTCATCTATGAACTTCCACAATGTTGCTGAGCATCACATTTTATTCTTTCCATCAGCTTTGGTGAGAAAACCCATGTTCATGGCTAGCTGTAAGAGCTTGTTTGCATAGAGAAGTACAGATGGGAGGCTGGAAGACTTACTAAGGCTTGTGTACACACTCCTGTTTCCTCTGCATTTAGTGGGTGGGCTCCCACCACTGGTTTGGGAAGCCATGGATGACAAAGTTAGCCGCAGCCTGTAGCTCCTTGTGGAAGACTGCATTTTTTTTCCTGCCTGCCCCAGCCCTGCCAAGCCAGCTCCCATCTGAGCCAAGAACTGCTCATTGGGTAAAAGTATCCCTTTCCTGTCTCCAACCTCAGGTGGGAACATTCAGGTAGGAACAATATACCAAGGCATGCTGATGTGTACAATAGCATGCAAATGCAGTTTTGAAACACAATGAAAAAGAACAACCCTCCGTTTTAAGCCAATAATGTGTACACAGCCTGAGAGTCTCCTGACAGTTCTTTTCTGCTGTATTGTGCAAACCTGGGATTCACCTGTCACCCACAGGGAGACATGGACAAGCCAGGGGTCACACAGTTGCCCACCACCACCTCCCCCCATCTCTGTGTAATGTTAAGTGACAGTTCACATCTCTTTTTTGCTATGGAATTAATTTAACCTTCCACTTCAGTTCTCTTCAGTGCTGTAGCATAGCCCGTTTTTAATTTTTAAAAGAGCAAAAGGCATCTTTTCTTGCCTGTCTCAAAGTAGCATTTAGCTATAGTCCGGGTCTAAGGTTCCTCATCTTTTCCCACAGAAGCCCATTACACATGCTCAGATATTGAAACCCTGTCTTTTGTTTGCTTGTTTGTTTTTCTCTTAAAAGGACAACGTCTGAATATATTGAAAAATATGTTACAGTATTACTTGATAATTGTAAAAACCTCATGAAAAAATTATACTGGTACTGTTTAATAGCAGACCCACCTAATGGTGGTATAGTGGATAGTTAACCATTTTTTAGGCGTTTGTAGTAATCTGAATTTAATAAATAAAAAGGCTGTGCCTCTATTAAGCTAAATATATTTTCTAAAATATTAGCTTTCAAAATAGTAGGGAAGGGAGAATGGTTGTGCACAGGATCAAATATGCTGCATTAGGTACACGATGACAATCCTGACACACGATCGATTAAAGTTGCAAAAGCAAACCATGTTCGCTTGTGTGAAAACAAGATTTCACATGAGCCTGGAAATTAATTAATATGAACAAGGCTGCAGGGTTGTGGAATAAAGGTGTGGTTTTTAAAATCAGATATGTAAACTAATATAGCATGGTAAGTTTTCCAGCAGTTGCATAAGGCAGCAAGATCATCTATGCAAATATTTTCTTTCTGATTGGCTTTCTGGCAATCACTTTGTTTCAGCCCTATTTGAAAGTTTATGAAAAAGTGGTAGCAATAATAAAAAGATAAAACATGTAGACACATGGCCATAATGGCAATATATTTCTGATGAAGACATTCAGAATGTATGTAACAATATATTAAATACAATTATATATATATATGTATGTATGTTTGTGTGTTTGTACCTTTATGTTGTGCTGACCATTTTGTCATTTTTAGTGAAATACTGGCCTCAACGTTTGCTGGCCTCAGTCTCTTTGTTAAACTTTCTGCAATAGTCTTCCGCAGTAGAAACCAGTATCATTTTTCTCAGCTGGGATAGTACTTGACTTTGCATTTTTTGTATGAGACCAAATTGCATATAGTAGGTTCTATATGTTGTTTCTTATTTAATAAGTTCCTGGTTATTACAATGTGACACTAATCTTAAATTAATTCTTAAACCTAAGCTTGAAGATTCACCTCTTATGTTTGAGGTAAGAAAAACAGGAAGACAACAATCTGTTCAAATCTCTCCGTTCTGTATGTAGTTTGACGAATGGAAAGACCACTTTCCAGTGAACATGCATATTTTTCTGTTTTCAAGCTTGCATATTTTAGATGACTATTCATTTTGTAGTTTGCATATTTTGATTGGAGCAAAGCAGTTATTTCCACCTGGAAGATCGTACTGAATGAAACTTACAAGGAGGCAACAGGAAAACCTATGGAACTGATTTCATGAATTGCTAACATGTCACTCTCATTTTTGTTTTACAAGTTTTTTTAAGCTTTCACTTTTTCAGTTTCCTTTGTACTTCTTTCTTTTTATTAAATGTTACATTTTATTTTGAGTTCTGGTCTTTTTATTTTGATATATATATTCCTTTCAACCTGTATCAATTAGACCAGTATAATGGGGGGGGGGGATAATTTAACAAATCCAATTTGCATGTAAAGCTCTGCTCTATCATCTCCTTAAGCTGATGGGATGAAACCATAATTTCACTGATTTCAGTGGGTCCAGACCATTTTACATACACAAACACTTGGAATTAGGGTTTGTCTGGGTTTTTAAAGAGTTGCATTGGGTGATATTACATACTTATATATCAGCTACCTTGCTCTTTACAGAATTGTCAAGATGGCACAGCATAATGCTATAAGGCCAAACTTGCTCAAAAGAAACACAAGACTTCACTTCTGGTCAAATCTAAGGGAGATGAGGTTTGGCTTGGACATGAGGCAAAGTGCCTAATATGCATGGTGTGTGCAAGGAATAATCTGGTTAGAGAGAAGTTTAAGGAAATTGCATTGTCATGTATTATCAGCATTGACTTCCCATGATAATAGTTTTAACTCTGAATTATAGAATGTATTGGCAACATAAAGGTGCCAAGGTAGAGAATCTGAAGAGGCCTTTCCTTTACAGGTAAAATGAACTAAAGTAGTAGAATTTCAAATTTGCAGTTGTTGGGGCAGAACAACTGAGGATGCTTGCATGAAATCTGCTTCTTCACAATGAGCCAGCTAATAAAAATGGGACCAACAGGCGGTGAAAATACTGTACCTGGAAACTAGGGAATCCAACATATAGTCCACCAGATGGTGTTTCCTTCTTTCACTTTAAAAGGGTCTGAGCTGTACGCAGGGCAGGCCCACTCAAATGGATGCTGAGTAGTGACAATGTGTTTTCTACCAACTGCTTCAAGTTATAGTGGGAGATGCATGCGCTTTGTACAGGTCCAAGAGATTTCACACTTCATTCACAACACCTGAAAAATACATCTCTAGAACAAACATAGAAGTTTTCTTAAGTAATGTCTTTTTACAAATGATAGCATGAGTAACTGAACTTTGAATGGCTTCTGAAGCATCACAGTTGCTACAGGTATTGCAATTCAGTATAAGGAATACACGTTTGGGGGTGGGGAAGACAGGGCAAGCATGTTAACTTTGCCCCCTCCTCAACCATGGAGGGAGGAAGGTGTGAAGCAGGTTCCCTTCCGTATCCATGGCAACTTCCTGCGTGTGTAGGAACCTTGATCTCATAGGGTTCCCAAATGCACAGTGCGCCTCCCCACACTTGTCACCTTTCGCTTATTTTTACAATGTAATGTCTCAAGAGTTTAGCTATGGGACTTGCCTTCTTAAGTCTTACCATGGTGTCTTAAATATTGGAGTGACTTGGGCATGGCTTGGTCTTCTTTTAAGAGGCAGGGACATCTTGTGGCGAGTGAGGACAAAAACAGGCAGAAAGGTCAAATAGTTGGTTACAGTCTGATAAAGTTATCCGTCGGGCCGTGGATCCTTCCGTCTTTAATGGAAACAGTAAAAGCAAATTAATGGTTTTGCATATAGACTTTGTATGTGTAGTTAGGCGAGGAGAAATAAATGAGCCAGTTGGCTTCTTTTGGACTCTCCTTATGCTATATTCCAACGAGTGACAAGAACTGTGGGAAGGGCAGATGAGCAATAAGCTTCGCAGGTTGAAACCAGATCATGGCCAAATGTGTCAGGGAAGGGTTCAACAGTGTTGCTTAAGGCTGCTTCCAGATTTGGGGGCAAAGTGCATTCTGATATCATGCCTATTATACTGATGAACCCCTCAGGCTTTCTTGGCTGTGGTGGCGGCGGTGGTGACAGTAGCAGCAGCTGCTGCCATTTTAATTTCCCAGAGTGCCCAGTGCTGTATCATGTTGGGAAATTAAAATGGAAGCTTACACACCTGGCTGCCTGATGGGGCCCTGTTGGGGTACTGACAGCCCAGAGGCTGATCTAGGATTCCGGGTGGCAATATTGATCCGCAAGCTTTATTCAGGTTCTTTAGTTGTATTTGCTGTCTGTCCTCTTCTTTCTTTTTAAGTCTGTTTGAATCATTGAGAGCAGGTTACTTATGAAAGTATTTTTTTTGTATTTGAAAGATGCTAAGTGTGGGATGCAGTATGGCTTAGCTGTTGCTGTACTATCAAACTTAAATATATCTAGCTGCATACACTTTCCTTTTATATTTTATCTGTTTAGAATGGTAGTGACTACAGTATCTCCCTTAAAAGTTCAGCAGCAGGGTTAAATAGGGTTTAATTCTTTAAACAAGACTGTAGAAATTTCCATGCATATAACTGGACTTCTATATTTCCTTGAGTTGCAACCATGTGGTTTCATGCTATACACTTGATGTAACTGAGTGAACCTGCAAGCTAAACACTGATTCTCTCTTGTTCTTTCTGTAGCTTCTTTAGTCTTCCCAGTTCGCGCTCCATAACATCAGGAAGATATGTAAATTAGAAGATTTATTAAGGCCAAAACACCTCATGCAGAAGAAATTTAATTGGTGCTTCTACTTTTTTTATGCTTGCAATGTATTGCACAGAAGAGATTCCAAAGCAAGAAGTGATTTGGACAACATTGCCTTGACCAGGTTTCTTGATTAAGTAGACCTCTGATAATTCAACCATAAATTGTTAATTCCAGCTAAATGCATGGCATGCACTAAAACCAAAGAACTAATCTTCTTACATGATGGGTGAAAGAACCCCAAACAAAAGTTTTCCAGTGGCAGACTGAACACACTTGGCATGTGTTCAGCATGAAATAGATGCTGCTTTAAACTGCCGTTGTAAATGGGAGCTTGATATGTTTGTCTATAAAATTGGCTTTGGGTCTATAAAGTAACAGTGTGTCCTAATTATGCTTCATAGACAAAAGTCCCACTCCTTATAACTTCCTTTTGTGGGACTAATAATAACTGCCCAATGTATTTCAGATTGGGGCTTAAAATACCAAATTTTAACTATCCCTAACCTTCCCGTGAAATTTTAGAATCTTTTAGCGCTAACTATTTTGCAGAGGTTTCCCCTATATAAAATGTATTGTCAAGGTATTTTCTATGGAAGAAAGTCACCCAATAGTTTCCTAAAGAGAAGGTGCCTAATTTGATAGAGGGAGGCTCCTCCTTGACCCATTTTCTTCTCCTTCCTTACTTCTGTATTTACATCTGTTTGTTGTTACAGGAAATGGCTGGAGTGCCCCCAATCTTTTCCTATCTGCAAATAATAAATTGAACTTGATTGTAAAACCATTTTAAAAGGACAACTGATTGGGGAGGGGAAGAGGAGCCAGGAAGCATGTGCAAAGTGATTGCCATAGTGGAACTGAGAGGGTTGTGTTGTTGCCCATGCTCTCCTTTTAGCAAACAGGGTTTATTTTGTAATACAAAGGCCTAAATTCCTGCCCTGTTCAGAGATAAGATCTAAAAAAGACACCTAGGAAGCAAAATAATGTTAAACATTCTATTAACAAGCTGTTACTTGGCTATCTCATTGTGTTAAGACAGAAAGCTATGTGGATAGGGACCGATATGGGCTTTGGTGTATTTTGTAATTTATTTATATTTTTAGCAAAATAAGTGAAACCCATAAATAAAATTGGCATGTATTGGAAAGGCAAAATGTGAGAACAATTGCTGTAAAGTTGGTGCCCTACAGTATTCCTAAAATGCAGCAGTTCTCTGGGAGGTCATTCACAGCGTGCACTGGCCACTCTTCCCCATTCCTCCTGACTACGGGTGGGAGTTCCCACCAGTAATTCCATAGAGAAATTCCTGTTAATGGCCAGCAGCACCCAGTGTCTCAATAGCTGCTTACTTTCTTAATCTCAGCCACCTTTCTTGGTATCGCCCCGAAATGTCTGAGGGATGCAAGCTCTATGACTGTATAGCAACTGTTTCCAGAGTTTTCATGTCCTTGTGCCCTTAGATCTTGATGAGCACGAATTCAAGGGGAGATGTTGTTTTGTGTTGTGAGGGCTACGAGTAAGGCACCAGAAGATGAAGGCAGCAGCTGCAGTGTTTTACAAATAAGAAACAGCCTGAATTCTGTTAGGTAGGTGACAGAAAGTGGTGTAAACATGGACAGGGACAGGGGAACGTGTCTCTTTGCAGTGCCAGCTTCCAGTCTAGCAAGAGGCCCAGATCAGGTCTGTTGCCCTCACCTGACAGCAGCATTGTCCACACAGGATCCTGCTCTGGGCTGCCCTCAATGTTGCCAGAGATGCCAAACCACGTGCAATTTTGGGAAGCACACTGGGGTGCTCATTGATGGGGCTCCCCCAACGAACAGCAAAGCTCCTCAAACCAGAGCCCCAATGTAGGGCCACCTCCACCCCATCTGAACCAGTTCCATAACGGCAGATCAGGGGAATGGGTTACTCTCCCCATAGCTCAGTTGGTAGGGCACGAGACTCTTAATACCATGTGTTTGAGTCCCATGTTAGGCAAAAATAAATCCTGCATTGCAAGGGGTAGGACTAGATGATCCTTGGGGTCCCTTCCAACTCTATGAATATACTGCATATATTCCTATTATATAGCATTCACGTTATTTAATACAGTAAATATAAACAATCAACAGAGTTCAGTACCATTGCCATTCAATGATCAGACTGAAAGAAACTGCAGAGATGTGATTCCGGGAAAGAAGAAAAAACACAGACACAATATTTCAAGTACATTTTTATATAACGAAAAGGGAGCGGTCACCCACATTAAAAACAAAAAAAATGTTTTCCTATATTAAAAATATAAACAGTCAAGTCACAGTTTGTGATCAAAGAAAAGGACAGTGCTTTTGGTCCCATAAAGAGAAAAGCAAGACCAAGGATGTTTTGTTCCAAGCTTTCCCTGAATAACTAGACTAGAGAAACTCCAACTGATTTTGCAGTTTAACATGCTACATAATTAAATTCCTCGGTTCTTAGCTTATTTCCTATGTATCAGCACCACTCCTATGCTGCCATGCTGGCAAGGTATTGCTTTGAGTTCTTAAGCACTAAGCATAACATTCACAGTTTGGAGGTTTTTTTGGTAGCTTTCATGTGCTTTCCTGACGTATTCCAACACTTGCTGCAATGTACACCTGCCAGGTGTGCTTCAGGGCCTCTTCACGCAACCATCAGGCATGTGGTTACCACAGGAAAAGTTTCTGAGAGAGCCGTGTGAGCAAGCTGAATGGAAGCATGCACACTGTGGCAGAAACACGGACTGCTAACATAATGCAGATTTTGTCTCACAAGCAGCTGCAGTGTTGTACCCACATCCATCTGGCGATAGGCTGGGAACCAGAATATCACCTGTGGTTTTTCCATAGCTACTGTGTTCCACAGCAGCTGTGCAAAAGATCCCTTATTCACATTCGATCTTCACATTGATGTGACTTTTTGCTGAGTCTTTAAAAAGACTTTATGCATATATTGCACTATTGATCCTTCTGTCCCTTGCCATTAGGTAGGGAGCACCTCAGTAAGCACAGTTTGGGGGACCATGAGCAGAGAGAGCAAAAATAGTCAATAATGAAGCTGACTGACATTTTTACTATGTGCGAAGGGGTATCATTTGGTGCCAAAGTGTGTATCTGGGGCCATCTTCACCCTCACGTCATTCTTTAAAGGTAGGCCCAATGCGGTTGCACAAACGGCTTTTAAGGATTTGGGGCTAAAACATTTAAGGGCTGCCCCTATTAATGCGTTTAACTTGAGAAACAGTTTTTCCAAAATGCTAAAGACAATTGCAAAATGCTAAAGACTGGGCTGGATGAATCCCAAGCCGGAATTAAGATCGCCAGAAGAAATATCAACAACCTCAGATATGCAGATGACACAACCTTGATGGCAGAAAGTGAGGAGGAATTAAAGAACCTTTTAATGAGGGTGAAAGAGGAGAGCGCAAAATATGGTCTGAAGCTCAACATCAAAAAACCAAGATCATGGCCACTGGTCCCATCACCTCCTGGCAAATAGAAGGGGAAGAAATGGAGGCAGTGAGAGATTTTACTTTCTTGGGCTCCATGATCACTGCAGATGGTGACAGCAGTCACGAAATTAAAAGACGCCTGCTCCTTGGGAGAAAGGCGATGGCAAACCTAGACAGCATCTTAAAAAGCAGAGACATCACCTTGCCAACAAAGGTCCGTGTAGTTAAAGCCATGGCTTTCCCAGTAGTGATGTATGGAAGTGAGAGCTGGACCATAAAGAAGGCTGATGCTTTTGAATTACGGTGCTGGAGACTCTTGAGAGTCCCATGGACTGCAAGAAGATCAAACGTATCCATTCTTAAGGAAATCAGCCCTGAGTGCTCACTGGAAGGACAGATTGTGAAGTTGAGGCTCCAATACTTTGGCCACCTCATGAGAAGAGAAGACTCCCTGGAAAAGACCCTGATGCTGGAAAAGATGGAGGGCACAAGGAGAAGGGGACGACAGAGGACGAGATGGTTGGACAGTGTTCTTGAAGCTACAAACATGAGTCTGACCAAACTGCGGGAGGTAGTGGAAGATAGGAGTGCCTGGCGTGCTCTGGTCCATGGGGTCACGAAGAGTCGGACACGACTAAACGACTAAACAACAAAAAGACAATTGGCATAAGCACATGCACATGTGATAAATGCACCTCTGCTGCAGCATTGATCAGGTGTGGGATTCTTGCTGCAGAGTTATTTATTGATTGTTACGCCAAGTGGGACTAGGGACAGACTGCTCATCTAGCAATACTGGACCTGCAGTAAGTATCTGTACCTATTCCCTTATCTCTCCTTTCAACTGCTTGCTGCAGACTAGAGCTGCCAATGTGACATTGATCTACAGTCTCCTTGTGGTATCCAATCACAATTGAACTATTTTTGCTCCACTGTACCCGTCAGCGTTATAGAATCTGAGCCTATTTCTGTGCACAGCTCAGCACTGTGCTGTTGTACATCTTCCTGCTGAAACAAGGGTTTGAGCTTTCATAGACAGGGCTCTGTATGCTTTTTAACATTAAAGCAACATGCTCAAGTTAATATGAATGCCGCATCAAGAAAAGCTAAAATCTGTGAGACACTTGAAAATGAAGCATATTCACGGCTTATTTTGCACAACTTACTTCTGCTTTTGTGGGAGGGCAATAGGCGATCCAGCTGCCTGAAATCCTCCTCTGCATCACTAGAAAACCTCCTTAGCTTCCGAGGAAATCTGTGTTCAGATTCCCACTTAGACTTAGTGACCTTGGGCTGCAACATTCTCTCAGCCTGACCTATAGGATTGTCCCAAGTATAAAAACAGAAAGAACTATGTGGGCTGCTTTGAGCTCTCTGAAGGAAGCACAGGATACCTGATTTTATCATTAAAAGACAGGGAATATATCTGTATAAATAAAAATCCAATAGAACTACAATGGTACCTCTACTTACGTTCACCTCTGGTTACGTATCCTTCGGGAGACGTACGCGGCAAACCTGGAAGTATTTTTCCGGGTTTCGCCGCATGCACAGAAGCAATCTGGTCTACGCCGCACGTGCATGCACAGAAGCGGTCCCTCCAGTTGCGGAAACCTTGGGATCTGACTGGAGCTCCGAAACAGATCCCATCCGCAACCGGAGGTACCACTGTATTGTCTATATCAGTCCTGAACTACATGGCCCATCAAACCAAATACAGATCACCAGAGATGGTGTCCCTCCACAGCAACAACAATTTTAATTGCCTGCCAGCGACTATAATTGTAAGAGCAATGAGAACTATTTGGTAAGCTACAATACATGGCTGGGGGTACTATGTTCAACTATGTGAGTCACAAGTTGTATGGGTGTATTTTATGTCCTTTCATAGGGCTAGAATCTTATTTTAATTTTTTTAATGAAAAAGATTCTGGGGTGGTGAATTCTGCGCCATTCTACAGTTCTATGGCATAACTGCGGAAATGTGGCTACAGCATCCTTCTCCAATGCTATGTGCAGAAATGGTGGCCCCCTTCCCATAGATAAGAGTGCCAGAAGCCAACATTTTGTTGCTCATCCAACCTCATTAGCAAGCGTATTTCACATCAACACAGGCCTGCCCATTTCTTGCATTTAGGAATAAGGCACCAAGTACTGAAGGACTTCACAATTATCTACTCAGATGAACTTTGCATGATGCTTGCAGTATTCATTCAGAGCTGGATTGCATGACCAGATACAGGTATGCTTCAGCTGAGCATGTCATTGTAAAATAAACCTAATACAGGATGGTGATGGTGTGTATACTAATGGTTAGCTCACTTGAATTTGAGCTGTCAGCCCTGACAACTGGAAAGGAAAGCTTGCTCCATACATAATTTTAAAAATGAATCATTTTAAATGCTGCCCCCTTCCCTTTTTGCTAAATGTGACCCTTGAATAATTTTACTGCAATCTCTCCTCTAAGGACAACTTCCTCTGAACTTGTCGAAAAGACCTCATGGCAAAGAAGCCAGAGACACAGTGTGAAGAAAAGTTCCAATGTTTTAAGAATTGTTCCATAGTCCAGTAGGGTTGAAATCTGATGAGCACTCCAGTTGTCTTTGATTTCAGAGTCAGTCAGCAGGGAGAAAAGTTTAAATTGTTCAGCAAGGGTAAACTCTTCTTGTAGCACAATTTCACTAAGGTTGAAGCCCAGCTCACACACCTTTATCCAAGTGGTGTTCTATTTTATCAACGCCTGGAAAATGTCTTCATGCCGGCCCCTATCTAAGCTTAGTCTGAGCCTAGTTGCATGTCATTCATCTACTCATCCCTACAACTAATGTTCAGGACTCATTCACAGCTCAGTAATGACGTACAATAGGTTAGCTTGTGCAGGAGACCACAATTAGTGTCTGAATAAAAACAAACTATCCTACTGTGTACACAAAAGAAAGAGGAACCTAGGAAGCTCCCACTCCTCCCTGGAATAAGGCTTGATTTGTATTTCTAAGCATAGCACATAGCCCAGTCTGCTAAATGCTGATCCCTGAAGTTGTGTATTTCAGCTGCTTCTAGATCAGGGTTTTGTTTTTTGTGTGGGTTTTTTTTAAGTTTTCAGTCTCTCTTAGAATGTAGCCATATCAAAACAAAGGTAAGAGCTGTTTGACAGTGGAGTGGTCTCCCTTGGGAGGTTGTGGACTCTCTTTCCTTGGAGGATTTTAAAGCAGAGGTTGGGTGGACATCAGTCATTGATGCTTTGGCTGAGATTCCTGCATTCCCTTGTTGGGGTCCCTTCCAACTCTATGAAAAAAGGCATGCAGGGTTGCAGAAAGAATTTTAAAAGGTAGAGAGTTAAAGGTTTCAAAAATAGGCAGTGCTTCTTATTAACAGCTCTACTGACATCTGAAATAGCCTTTGGAACTAACTGGTCCCATGGTGCTACACAGAAATCAGTCCATTTGAGGAACAGGCTGTAATGGTGGACAAGTGCTGTTGCTTTCTTCTTGCCTCTGATTATCACTGCCACCCATACTGCTGGTCTGCCCAGCTTCTGGGATCTCATCTTCACTGTACAGGTATTTGAATCCATCATAGAATTCATCAGGCTGCATGTCATCTTCATGGGTTTTGGCTCTGAGAAGTATGAAAGCTGATGGGCCTGGCCCGCTCCCTCTGGCTCCTGAGTTAATCTGTGTCGTTTGCTTCACTGTGGAATAACAGCAGGGTAACCTTTTGTCCAAGTGAGTTTGGATGTTTTGGTTTGCAGGGTTGAATATATAAACAGTATTGGATGGTTGGAAGCCCAGGAGGTGCTGATCAACAAGCTCTTTACAGTGGATGAATTGGGTGCTGTCGATCTGTAATGCAATATATAACACAACTATTTTTTTCTCAACTTCTGAAATTATTAGCTGTCATCAATTTTCAGTTCCAGTATCTCCAGCTGTACTAAACTAATGAAGTCAAAGTCTATTTCAGGGGATATGCATAACATGTACTAGTTTCTGTTGCATATAGCAAATGTGGAGTCTGTGTATATCCTGGCTGGGTTCAAACACAACAAAAAAATATAGTTTGTTTTGTTGTCAGCCTAACACAAACCATGGCTTGTTTGGTGCCCACAAGCCAGGATCTGGAGCTACAGTTTGAAGCTGGTTTGCAAACCATAGCTGCATTAACTGTGGCTTGCTGTTTCTGAATTCACAGACCATTGACAAAAGCACAAAGAGCCATTGCTCTAAGCTGATGCACCACAGACTGAAGTGCACTTATGAAGCATGTCCTGAGCAGATGGGAAAACAAAAGCAGACAAGCTGCTCAAAACCACTGTTTGCTCAAAGTATAGTGGAAGTTCAGCCATTGATTAATGCTGTGTTTGAACCCAGCACGTGACTTACTGCTGCACAGGAACCTACCAAATGGCATTGTGCCAGTGGAGAAAAAGGGAAAAAAGAGTCACACGGTAACTCCACTCAGATCATTGAAATTTGACTCTTGCACAGAAATATCCCCTAATACTTACTATAGAGCTTGAAGGGGGCAGGGAAAAGCTGCTATAGCAGAAAAGCCAGAGTTACACCTGGTCTCTCCCCTAAAGATTAGTATGGTAGGACAAGGAACTGGAGAGTAAAGCAAGGCTCAAAGTTCTATGCTGTACTGTTCCTCACCTACCCCAGGGTGGTTTTATAGTGCTTTCATTCAGAACACTTGGGACTACTCTGCCCCCCTTCTTCACAGCAGGATTGCATTGGTGCCTAGTGCCAAACCTAATTACTCTTGAATTCTCTAGGTCCTCATTTAGAGCTTGGCTTGGGGAACTGGAGATAATAATAATAATGATTTTATTATTTATATGCCACCCATTTGACTGGGTTGCCCCAGCCACTCTGGAAAGCTTCCAACGAAGTATTAGAACCTCAAACGTTTTTAAAAAACCTACATGTACAGGGCTGGCTTCAGATGTCTTCTAAAAGTCAGATAGATGTTTATTTCCTTGACATCTGGTGAGAGGGCATTCCACAAGGCAGGCACCACTACTGAGAAGGCCCTCTGCCTGGTTCCCTGTAGCCTCACTTCTTGCAATGCGGGAACCACCAGAAGGCCCTCGGATCTGGATCTTACTATCTGGGCTGAACGATAGGGGTAGAGACACTCCTTCAGGTATAATGGGCAATGTGAGTTTTTAAAGTTTGGGGTGTAACAAATTGTCAGAATGAGAACAGTGGTGATGCTCTATTGTTTAGAGCATCTCTTGAAAGTGTGACCCAAATTAAGCACAATGTCATGGCATCGCATAACCCAATAATGGGCTTGGAATGGCTGCCCTTCATCTGAACCCTAACTTTCATTACACTAACATGGAATTTTGCATCCAGCGGTGGAAAAAATGCATCCTAACAAAAGACACCCCAGCACTCCTGAGAAGTACATGAAAAAACGTACATTAAATGGCTTTAAAGTATTTGTGAAGTTTTTCCATTTTTCCTTTTTCAGTCTTTGTGCTGGCCTCAGGTTTGTGCCAAAGAAGGCAGTTTGACTCCTACCTGTGCTTTTTTTAGCAGATCAGTAATTACAGGAAACCAGTCAGGAGTCAGCCTCTCCAACTCTAAGGTGATGATCACCAAAGCCAATGTGGAGCCCTTAAACTGCAATACATGGTGGCACGCCATACAGTGCTGTAGCTGCCTGGTCAAGAATGCGGCGTGGCGGGAAGGATTCCTCTGAGGCAGCCCATTTAGTAGATGGGGCCGCTTGGACATCACCATGGCATGGAACTGGAGAGAAGAGAAAACATTTATATCACACACACACACACATATATATTTAAGCACACACGCACATTTATTTATATTTATTTATATATATACGTATATATATATATAAAAAAAACAGAACTGAGGTCAACTGTGAACTTTGTACGTTTTCATATGTCATTGACCAGAAGTGCAAACTAATCCTTATTCATGGCAGGAAACCTCTTATGAAGTTTTGTTATTATTTTTTTGTCCTGCTGTTACCATTTGTGTCGTATTTGCCAAATATTGAAATGTTGAAGCTTCTACTGAATGTAACTTAATTCTGAATTCGTTGCATTGTTCGCAATTGTCAATTCAGAAGGTTTTGACTTCTCGTTTGTATAACTGAGTAACGGTGATAATTCAAGCCAGCAAACAGGAGAGAGAGAGAGAGAGAACAACTGATGATGCTTGGAAGCAGAACTAATGCAATCTCATCATCCTGGTTCTGATCAGACATTTCCCCCCAAACAATCCTAATGCCAGGATGACCCAGGAATCCACCCTTTGCTATAAAGCAGGGTTGGGGACTCTGCAGCTCTCCGGATACTGCTGGACTGTAACTCCTGTCACTGCTGACCACTGGCCAGGCTGGATGGGGTTGATGGGAGCTGGGGTCCAGCCACATTAAGAGAGTCACAGGTCACCCACCCATGCTGTGAAGAGATGAACTCTGAGAGACATTATCACACGACTTTTGCCTTACTATAGCACATGGTAACTTCTTAACGGGGAGTTTTCTTCCGGAAAATGTTTAGCAAATAAGATGTGACTTAAGTGCCAGATCAGAATGATCTAATTTGCCTAAAAATGAGGGTCAAATGTTTTTATGCAGGGTGAGGAGTAAAGAAAAGCTGATCTGAGATGCCCCATTTGTGAAATGTAGCAAAAACTCTGAAAGCTTTTTATGTACAGTATTGAGAGTGCAGATAGTTAGAAATATTTTTGCAGTGTATATTTAAAACAAACGGAACAAATCTCTAGTGGTACAGTATGAGCTCTTTTTAAAAGTCAATTATTAGTTGTCCTTTCAAAATGGGAGTCTACATTGTTTGTAAATCAAACTTATGGAATAGTTGGGTGTTCAAATGGAATTTCAATATCTTGAACAGTAATTCACTTCAAAAGATTTGCAGATAGTTAAGAATGAGTGGTCTGCGAGGCTAACTAGAAGGGAATGTATGTGCACCATTGCTGTTTTCTAGTCTTATTTGGTAAAAACAACAACCCTAGTTTAGCCTTTTGCAAAAAAGAAAAAGAAAACATGTCTAGTGCTTACAATGTTTAAGAAATCGATTGATGTTGCTGTGTAAAGATCCCAGTGAAGTTTATTGAGTATAATTCTTTCCATTCTCACAATCTCAGCTGGAGAACATTTACAACCACTCTGCACTGCAAGCTTCTTTACCGATGGTATTATCTGTTTTAAAACAAAAGGAAAAATAATAATAATAAAAGAAGCCCAAATTCCTATGAAATTTTGTATGGTGTGGTGTGTGCGCCCTACTATCACATAAATGAAATGCAGCCTACTCAACTATCCTCTTTGGGGTAAAAACCAAGAGGCCCTTGAAATAATCCCAATATTCATTATAGCACCATGTTCTCAGATTTTAATAAAAGTAATTCCCCACCCTTGTGAATTCTCTTATGTATGTATAAGACTAATTCCACTGGTCATGCATCTTGAGGATGTATGAAAACAACTTGCCTTCAACTTTTTTTGTGTTCTGAAACAATGGCTGGATTCTTTGAGGGGTTCTTTTCTTGCGATTTGGCTATCTTTATTGCATATTCATCTTCACTTCTAGAGTACTAACCTTAAAGCCAGAGAGGGGGACTTCTGCAGGCCAAGGGCCACATTGATCCACGGTCAACTCTCTGAGGTCCACATGTCAAAGTAGGTGAGGATGAAGTGTACAGTGAATGTGCCCCCGCTTTTTAAAAAGGACCATGCTTGGGGTGGGTGGGGGGTGTCTTGAGCAAGTCACACAAAAAACTTTTGACACTCCAGAATCACAGTAGGAGACCTGCCTGAGTAATCAGTAATTTTATAATATGTATAAATACATAAATATAAGGGCTTGGGGTTGTTAATGAACATATTTTTGAAGGATATTGGGAGGCACAAATACACTTTGGTATTACAGTAGAGTATCCATTCTGTTAAAAAAAGGTTTTTTTAATTTCCTTTTGTTTTTTTAAAAAAGGACAAATTTTGGGGTGGGGAGGGCAAAAATACCTCTTGGGGCCTGTGGGTAACAGATTAACCATCCCTGGATTAAAGTTAAGTTTTGACACCAACCCTAAAACATACACTGAATGAAGGCCTGGCTAAAGTTCATTATGAACATTTCTGAGGAAGTTTACTCCTGAGCTTTAAATGTCAGATCTTGTTCAATAGCAGAGGCCCAGTTGTATTCTAGCTTCTACAGTGACTTTGTACACATAGCATAAAATCAGGCCACTAGTACACAGTTTTTCAAGGATTCTTTGAGAAAGGAAACAATTACTATTTAGAGCCTGTTTAACTAAACAATAGAATTTATAAGAACTTGATGACACAATCAACAATCTAGTGCTCAAAGCAGAGTTCAGGATTCTTCAGCATATCCAATGCAGAAATGCCACTTAATTTATTTATGCAATGTATTTATATCCCACCTACTCTTAAGTCGGGATCCAAGGTGGCTTCCAACATTTTAAAAGCTTCATTATAAAATACAGAGCAATAAAAATGAACTAGTTAAAAAGAATAATCAAAATTCATTACAAGACATTAAAAACCAGCAATTAAAAGGTAGCCCAGTGATAACCTTCGTCTGCATCAAGGGCTCTGCCACACTTCTTTATGCCCCATGCCTAGAAAGTACAGGTCCAATCAGTTTTCTGTTTGCTCCACAATTTCTAAGCATGGGTCCTTTGCCCTGCTGCTTTCCCCTGGAAAACCCGCTATTTAGTGACAAATTGGACCAAACCAGATTGCCATGTGTTCCAGTTTAAAGATCAGGTTTTCCTGGGGTAAGCAGTGAGGCAAACAGAAATAAGCACTTTGAAAACTAAGGCCTGTCTGAATAGGAAGGTCTCAGCTTGACGGTGGAAAGATAATGAAGAAGGAGCCAATCTAACCTCTCTTGGGAACGAATTCCACAAAACAGGTGCAGTCACAAAAAAGGCTCTGTCTCATGTCACCACCAACCATGTTTCTGATGTTGATGGGACTAAGGGAAGGTGCTCATTTTAGCACCTGAGCAGGTTTCTATAGGGAAATGCAATCTTTCAGGTAGCGTGGACCCAAGCCTTCAATTGCAACTTGGTGCACTGTTTGCAAGCTTGTCCAGGATACCATGTGGCCATCGAAGCATGGATCGGTATGATTTCATCGGCAACCACCATGCATCAATAGATGCAGCATAGCAATGAGACAGGCAACTGAAAAACGGAGAGTGTATGATCCAAGCAGACTAAGGCAAGTCTGAGAGTGACTTACCTAGATGTTCTACAGTAGTTTTGCTGCCAAACATCCAACAATGTCACTGTAACCTGATACATTGAAATAAGCATTCGTAATGGGTTTAAAACTGACAGGTAGCCTATTGGGACAGACAGGCTCCCTCGGACACAGGTTGCCCATAGACTTTCACAGTGGCTTGAGCCATTCCAACTACACACATCCATAAAAAAGGGTGTGTGTCTGTGAAGATCCTGTACATGTCACTTTAATGGAAGACAAATCCTTCTCTTAGGTTGCCACATTTAAAACATACACACCTCATCTTCTTCATTGATTTTTGCTGCAAGAACCAAGCAAGCTGTTGCAATGCATTGGAGGTATTTTAACTGTGCCTGAAAGAGAAGGGTAGTAGTTTAAAGAAAAAGAATGGAGGAAAAATACCCAACTGGATATATATATACACACACACACACACGCATATTCATGCTTCTGAGTTGCCTCACTGTGGTGCACCAAGCAGTAAGAGGAGTCTATCTGAGTAACTGGAACATGGCAATTTAGCAGCAGTACTCTTCAAAGCTATACAGTGGTACCTCGTTTTGAGACCGCCCTGTTTAGGGTCCTTTTTGTCCAATGTCAGCGGCAAACCTGGAAGTACCGGAACGGGTTACTTCCAGGTTTTGCTGCACGCACAGAAGCACTAAATCGTGCTTCACACATGCGCAGAGCACTGCTTTGTCGAGCGTCCTTTTCGTCAAGCATCTGGGGCTCTGGAACAGATCCCAGACGCAAAAGGAGGTACAATTGTATATGGTCTAAGATGGAATCACTTCAAGTAATTAATACAAGACAGAAAGGGCCTGGCATGAAATGTTTAACAGCCACTGCTTTTTTAAATATCAGAATTAGGACAGGGAAGCGAGATCAGTGTTATTCATGCAGAATGTACCTATTCCATATATTCCCTTTATTTACATTTTAATCAAAGCACTTGGATGTGTTTCTGCCCTAGCTCATGCTAACACTGATGGAGAAACTCGGGTCACACTTGGAGCTGTGGTATACAAACAGCTTACAATTTAAAGCAGCCTTCATGGGGTACCAGTAGGACTGCACTGCACATCTGGATCCAGCTCTCTAATATTAGATGAGTGCATGCTGCAGCCCAGCGAAATCCCCATTATGTTTTCCATTGATAATAAAAGAAATAGGGTGAGGTTGAAGCTCTTTACCTTCACTGATGCCAACAACCGATTAAAAAAGCTGACAGCCAGAGCAAACGTTTCGGAGCAAAACTGGAAGAGCAAACTCGATTCCCTGATCCACAAAACAGCTTTCTCATAATAAAATGGAGATATGTCTGTGCCCTAAAATGGAATAATGGGGTTGGTTAAAACAAACACAATAATTTGGGATCTGCTGAAGTTTAAAGAACATAACTGAGAGAGAGGCTAGAAATATATTCCAAAAAATTTTAGGCACACATAACAGAGATTTTGCTTTAGTTTCTCATTGCTCACTGTAATCAGGATTGGTTATTAATGTCTAGATGGAAGAGTTTTTGTTAAAGACAAACAGTCTCCTACCCAAGTGTAAGAGGGTGGTTCACAGGTGCAACTACTGAACATGAGAGCAGAGCTCTTTGTTTTTACCCAGGCACAGTCTTTTTACTTGTTTGGAAGGATTCTGTTGCTAAGTAAAAATCACTAAATGTATCCCAGACTACAAAATGCCCATCTGTATAATACAAAGTGCATGGTGGTAGACTGTATGGGTGCATGTGATGGGACTGGTTCCCTACCCACTAGAGCAAACCAATTTATATTCATTTTATATGAAGGAATTATAATCAATTTTTGAGGAACTCTTCTTTATCTCCCTACCCCACTCAAACTGACTAAATAAGGTTGCCAATCTAAGGAAATTACTGGTCAAAGGTTGAAAAATGCATGCCATGTGGCTCTCCAACTTCATGAATCACAGTCCTTTTCTATGAAGAGCATACCTTCAGTGTGAAACCATGGAAGACTGGCACCTTCCAAGTCTCTGTCTCTCTTGCTAGAGCATGCTCCATTGCCAAGGCAAGTTTCTGGCTCTCTGGAGGTCCTGTGCACTTCATAGCGGTTACTGAATAGACCTGCTTCCTGGTGAGGAACCACTACCTTACAACCAGAAAACAAAATAAAACTATTACCATTATTTCTTACAGAACTACAGTCTAGTGTGTAAATGGGTCTGCACGTAGACTATATAAGTTGAGGCTCTAAAACCATTTTGCCATGTACATTACAGGTGTGTTATGATGACCAAACTCTTGGCAGGCAGAAAATATTATCTAGACAGGTCACTATATTTACTAGACATGGTGACTAATAATTCTGGCTAGTTCTAACTTCAAATGCAATGTGTCATGATTAAGCAACTGAACAGAAGGCTACTCTTTTGTTTTTTGTTTTAATCACCTTCTGTTCTGGCTTCTTTTTTTAACCTTCTTTTTTCATGCTTCCTGGATGAAGCCTATCCTTGGTGGGGACTAAAGAATGTGATATACCCACTATAAGGAAGGCACTTTAAATTACTTCATATGAAACTATTTCCATGTGTCAAGCTGTGTGCATTTAGCAGCTCACACTCCAAAATGGACCATTTCCTCTATTGTCAACACAAAGCCTCTCCCACAAATAGGGGTGGTGACATGGAGAGAAGTGCTCTGTTCACACAGGGACCTGTGGCAGATAGAGAGCTCGCCATTTAAAGCAGCATTCATGGGGTACCAATCATAATGTCTACTGGCTCAGGCACACAGGGAAACACAGCCACCTAACACCCTTTTCCACCATTGCACGTGGAGAACTTCAAATCTCTTCTTTGGTTAGGGAGACCCACGACTTATGTATTCTACAATTTATATCTTGCACCTTCAACACTAGCATGATCCCAGAGCGGATTACAGAAATGTAATAAAAGCAATAAAGAAGGCAATACTTAAAACAGAAAAAGCATACAAAAACTAAAAGCGGACTCATTTTGTGAGCCCTTGCCATAGAGGCAAAGACATTTGTTCTTAAAAAGAAACAACAACAACCCTGAGCAAACTAAATCTTTAGAGAATGGTTTTTAGGATTATGTATATGAAGCACTACAGAAGAAAATTAATTCTCATGGGTGTGAACAAAAATGCCTGTGAACTTGTGCTTCTCTATAACTTTGATTTCAGTACATTTGTTTTTACATGTGCACACGCATATAAACTGGCATGCATTCCCATGGCCAACCACACCCCAGTCTTGCATGCCAATTTGAGAGCTGGCCAGAATGGTAAACATGGTTCAATGCAAATGTCTGACATCTCAGAAAAGTGACATATCAGAATGAAGGGCATGGTGCTAATCAAGATTGGACAATACATTTGAATGACATGTGTCTGGCACACACAAAATTATGGATGTACATTCAAACTTGCAAAGAACAAAAAAATGAAATGATGACAAAGGAGGCTAAGTGTACAAAATCATGTTGGATGTCTCACTCAAAGTGATCTAGCAGCTGTCCTGGATGGGTGAGAACTGACCCGCGGTAGTGTGTTTAATTATCTGATCAAGTCACATCTTCTGGGATTTTTCTCTCCTCCCCTTGTGAAATTCTAATGTATACACACAGGGGGCACTTTTTCCTATTAAATTCTAAACCAACAAGATCCTTCACACAGCAGGGTAATGAGAGATCAGATGATGTCGCACATGTCAGGACTCCCTTCAAAACAACAGCTCTGCAACTTTTTGTCTAGACAGATGAAAATGGACAAACAAGCAGTGATTACGTCACACACAGAGTCACATGCCCTATGGTACCCTACCTGACCTTGCAAGTTCTGGATCAGGAGACAACAGAGACAAGGTATGTTTCCCCTTCCCTCGAAAGATAGAAGAAGCAAGGGCTGGTGAGGGTGTCCACAGGAGAAAGGCCTGTGGGCAGCTAAAGCAATGGAATGAAGCATTATGAATGGCACAGACTTATATGAGAATGGACTGGAGTCCATTTGTACAACACTGCATTTACAGGGCCAGAGGATCCCTGTGACTATTTGATTGAGGTGTGACTAGAAATTGTGTTAACTCATACAGAGGTTGTTGGGCTCCTGACCAGGCTTCTCAACAATGGAGAGTTTCCAATTTTCCAGTTAGAACCCCTCTTCAGACCTTCATGCCAAATGCACTAAAGCAAGGGATGGAATGGGATAGGGTGGAGTTGCTCACATATCCATCCCTTCAACCTCAACCAAATAATTGTGCAACAGGATTTTCCGCTCTCTCCTCATGTACCCCCAACTTTTTGGACAAGATTTGGGGACAGTGCATGGCACACATATGGGGCATGGAGGAATTACATTGCATATGTGGAAATCATACTGCTTGCACAACCGTTCCGTTGACTGTCACCAAAATGAGTTCTAATAATTGTTAGGGCTTAAGCCCTGTTCTGTGAAAACAACCAACCCTGTATTTTTGCCCAAGGGGTATTTTATATGCATTTCTCTTCACTGGATTACATGCAGGCTCAAACTGTGGATGGAGCAGGGGCACAAATGCAATCACTAGTGTGGGGCAGGAAATTTTATAGTGCTTCATTCACTTTCTAAGCCACTCTAATTGGCATTGGAAAGTTTTTGGGGAGGGGGGGATCCCTATAATCACAGGCAAGCCCCATCCTCAACACCTCTGTCTTCATGCATTTAGTGTGAACACCTGTAGTGAATTTGTAATCATGTTCATTTGAACACACTTATAAATCCTCCCACATCCTCCCAGTTGAGAGGTTCCAAGAGTTCAACAGAACATGCTTAGAAACCCTATTCAGACCTTCACACTGGGGACAAGGCTTGCATCGGCCCCCATTCACATTTTGAGCCCTGCAATGTTCAGCTGAATGCCTGAACATGGCTTTAATTGCCAGGTTTTGTACTGCACCTCTCTCCTACTGTACAATCAGTACAGTACGATTTTATGTTGCTGTTTTAGATGGTGGTGTTTTAATGTGCGTCCCCCTCCTAGATTTATTGTAAACTTAATTTCATTTAAGCTGGCCGGATGACTTCGTTGAAGGGTACGGGATGAATATCCTCAAAAGATAATCCCATCTAAGTGCGCCACTGCAAAAAGTTTGCACTTCTCATAACTTAGAAGCCTTTGTTTACAAATACGGATGCGTTTCCTAAGTAAAAGGCCACAAACTGTGGTTCTCCTCCATGTAGCACTGACATCGGGCACATCCTGTCTAAAATCTCAAAAAAACAGCCTTATACAACAGGGAGAGAAGAGACAGGAAAACAAAAAAGGCAGGAAAACAGACGGCTGATAACCACACGACTGGCCTCCTTCCGTTTGCACGGAAGGAAACAAAACAGGCGACGCTCGGATCACATGACTGGCTGGCACTTTAAAACAAAACACACACAAAGGTGCCCAGCTTTCGGAAAGCAAAACTCGAGGCGAACGAAAGTCAAGGGAAGAGATCGACATGGCTAGAGGTGCCTACCAGAGTGCCAGCCCCAGATCGGGACTTGGGGGAGGGGGGCACATCTGTCGGTCTCCAGAGAACGAGCCTCTCCCTTCCCCTCCCTTCTGGTCCGATGGGCTCTTACCTCTCTGCCCGGGGCTCTGCCCTTGGCGCTGGGGGCGCTTCTCTCATGCTGTTCGGCTCCGCGTCGCAAGCAAAGGCTCGATCCGATGGGAAGAGGAGGAGGACGAGACGCCTCCTCCGACCATAGTTGCGGCTGGTGAAGTTAATGGGCCCTGCTAAGTTCCAGAAGTTCGGGTGGAAGGAGCAGCGTCCTCCTGCTTCTAAACCCAGGGTGGAAAATAATAATACAATAATAATAAAGCAGCTTTAAAATATCTTTGTTGGCTCGCCGATGCGCCGTTTGTAAGGCTCCCCTCTCCGAAAGCGCAACAAAACGGCTGGGAGAGTCCTTTCTTTGTGGGCGGATTCAAACCGCGGCAGGCTCCGCCTCTGGGCTTGGGGGTTGCTCACAGCGACAGCGCCTTTCCCCCGGATGGGTCTTGTGGGGGGTGGATGGGGAGAACTGTCTCAGGACGTGACGCCGTGCATGAACCTCCAAGGTGGGGGCGGGTGGGGATCACTGGGCCAGGCGGATTCAACCCGCGTGCGCCTCCTGGCTGACTCTGGAGCAGGATCACCAGCAACAGCTGAGCGTCGGCTCCTCTGCTGCCCCAGCCTCCTGGGGGATCGCTGGCCCGCCCCCAACAGTAACAATATGGCCTTTGTTTGGACTGTTCTTGGAAGAGAAAATTCCCAGTGATCTCTCCTCTAGGAAGAAGGGGGAAAAGGCAAGCAGTCTGGCAAATTCTTCTCCCTCTCTCATGAGACTAGAACTCAGGGCTAAGCAAAAGCACCATGAACAAAAGTACTTCTTTACAGAGGAAATTTGTTCCCCACAAAATCCACCAACTTGGAAGGTTTTAAAAGAAGATAAGTTCATGGAGGGCAATGGCCATGTTCTACCTCCCCTGGTGGAGGCAGAGTGCCTCTGGATGGTAGTTGCTGGGAACCGAAGTGGGGAAAGCACTCTTGTGCTCAGGTCCTTATTGCAGGCTTCTCTGGGGCATCTGGGCTGGCCAGTGTGAGAACAGGATGCTGGACGAGATGGATCTTCGGCCTGATTTAGCAGGACACTTCCTAGGTTCTTAAGCAAATCACTATGAAAATTCATTGGAATGGCATACTTGCCCAAGCCCAAGACTGAGTTCTTATTCATACTGCAATTCTGGTGGCGAGATAGGAATCCTTTCCATAGGCAAAACAATTAAATGTATAGTGTAGATGGGGTCTACTATTGTGTCAATAACAAAAAAAATCATACTTTTTTTTGGGGGGGGTGTCCCCAAAGTGTTCCCAGAAAAATAATCAAAATCATATATAAAGAAAATGCAAATCTTGAGAAAATTTGGTAGATTTCCGTTTAAAGGGTGAGAGATAAAGTAGTTTTACAGTAGTAATCATCTTAATAGCTAAAGTAACTTAAGTGCATAAGCAGAGTGCTGCTGAATTGGACCAAATGCCTATTAAGTCCAGCATTCTGTTCTGACAGTGGCCAATCTTGGGAAGCCCCAAGCAGAACATGAGTGCAGAACATCTAGTGTAGACCACTAGGAGTCTTAAAGGGGTAGCAGGTGTTTGTTTGACATAATCAGGTCTCACCAAATTCCAGAATACTTTCATTTGGTGATTAACTTGTCCATAAACAAATGGCCCCACATATTTGGCCAAGCTATTTCTGCTGGAAGTATGTTCTTTGAGCATGTGAAGATTCTTGTTCCAAACGCCAATAACAAGATGGGGCATGAGACCTGCATGAAGAATCTTTGTTAGACAATTTGTGAATTTGTCAAGTAGCACTCTACCTGGATCCATAGCAATGGGTTGCAGCGCTTAAGGCCATCACATATGCAAGAACATTCTCACGCTCCAACAGTGGCACTCAGTAGAAAGTGCTGAAATAGAGCATTCCAGAAGCAGGGAAGGTGAGAGATTGCATTAGATCCTGACTAAACGGGTCTCACTGCCATGGCAGTGCATTTGCAATAATAATATGTGAGGGGGAGGTAGGTATTGTTTTTGTTTGTTATTATGCTGTATGTTCTTTTATTGTAAACCACCCTGTGATCTTCAAATGAATTATTATTAATAATAATACCTGCATGATGGCATCTGGCCCAGCCTCCACACCAATTCCGTGCTGGCTCAGCAATCTCGCTGCAGTGGGTGACCCCACCACTCCACAAAGTCATGCCGGTGGAAGGAAGTCTGGATTGCAGCCTAAGTTCTCACAAGTTATGTGGCAATGGGTGCAACTTTCACTGACGTCATGCATTTAGCATGTTGTGCACAACCAGGATCCACTGTTCAGACTCTGTTTGGGAGTGTGAAACCTGGGTGAGGGTGCGAGTTTTGGAAGGCAATTGTTGTAGGTAGATTACACATACACACACAAAAGGAAGGGGGTAGCAGGACACATGCACTGCAGGAAGGTTCAATCACAGGCATCTCCAGGTAGGACTGTAAAAGACCCTGGAGAGCTGCCAATCTGTGCAACAGACTGCTAGCTTGAATGATTGAGACCCAACAACGTGACCCGAGCGCATCCACACATTCTCCTCCCCGACGCCCCTTTTCCTCCTGGTCTCCCGCGTACTGCGCCGCCGCCGCCGCTCTGCCTTCCTTTCCTCCCATTGGCTGCATTCCCACTCCAATAGCCGCCGGCCGCCGGAGGGGCAGCTTCCTTATTGGCTGACAGGCCTCTGCATGACGCAGGCTGAGGACCGGAGGCGGGGAGGAGCGGGGAAGGGTGGGCTGCTCCCGCTGTCATCCAGTCGGCGCAGGCGCACTGGGGCCGGCTATTGTGTTAACCATTATTGTAGCGAAGCGGACGGGCTGCTGCCGGCCTCCTGTTCCCTCAACGCCCCGCAGTCCCGGGCCGGAGCCCCTCCAGCCCCGCTGAGTCCAGCGCAGGCAGGCAGGCAGGCAGGCAGGCAAGATGCCGGTGAGAGACCGCGCTCCCCCTTTCCCTTCCCCGCCGCCTCGGCCCCTTCCCCGCCCTCCCTGCTTCCCTGCGCGCTGCGGGTCCGTTGCTAGGGGCGGCGCTGGCGGAGAGCGAGGCTGGGCGCCGGCGGGTGAAGGGCCGGTAGGGCGGCGGGCTGCAGGGCTTCTGCGGGGGGCGGGCGGTTCTGCAGGCTTATGGGTCGGGGGCGGCGGCTTCGCATGCATTAAACGTGTAGTTGTTGCTGCTGCTGCTGCTGTTAATAATGTGCACCTTACAGGAGTCAATAACATCTACCTCACCTATTCTATTATTATCTACCTTATGTGTAATATCTACCTTACAGCGGATTTTTTAAAAAGAAAAAGCCACCTACAGAACCGATTGGAAAATTCTCTGTAAAAGCATGTGGGCTGTTGTGAATATTATATATGTATGTGTGTTTGTGTATACATGCATACATATACAGTGCTTTTTTCTGGGGGGACGCAGGAGGACGCATACCCTTAAACATTTTGTGAATCTTTGTACTTTTGTCCGTTTACTGTATTTATTTTCCCCGATGTGAACGATGAAATGGGGATATTCTTGAATCAAAATGAGAGTACCCCTAAACATTTTTTAAGGAAAAAAACCACCACACACACAAATATATATATATAGCGCCCTGGGGAGATGACTTAGATGCTGCTAACGCAGCCGTTTGACATCACATTATTGATGTCTCTCAAGACAGATGGATACCAACCATGTATGTATGTATGTATGTATACTGGTCATTGGGCCTGGGCCCTGAAGGCAGCTCTCAAAAGTGAGATCCCTGCAGTATGAAGCCGAATGAAAATCCAGAATGAAATCATCATGCGATTACTTGTTGTGATGCTGTGGATAGATGTACCTCGCTGAGCAGGGCCTTCCCTGAAGGCAGTTTTCAATACAAGGCTTTTGCGGATTGTGGCCATGTTTAAATATGCAATAAAATCATGTGATTATTTATTGTGATGTTGTGGGTATATGCCATACTGGGCAGGGACCCTTGAAAGGCAGCTTTCAAAATGAAATCCACAATAAAATTGTGTGATGTCATATGGTGATCACTGTCAATGCCTTCAGCCTTAAGGCAGAGTAAGTTTTGGTATTTACATTGGTGACTGGGTTGTTATCCTGTGTTGAATGGTAAGCCCTGACTCAGTTTTGTATGTTGGGGATGTCTGTGGAATAAGTGTTTTCTGGGAAATGTGATTGCAAAAATAAAAGTAAAATATATTTAAAAGATAATCCCAGAAATCAAATTTAGCCTGTAAAAGTCATTGAAATCTCCTCAGGTCGACTTAGTATGGCATATGTTAATATTGCTTGCAAAATATGTTTGCATGCATAAGGATATCATGCCTTATACCTACCTCAGTGCTGTGAACCTTCACTGAGGCTGTTTATTTGCTTTTTTTTTTGAAGCAAAACCAACATTTTTTCCTGTTGTTACAGATGTCACAATGTATGTGTAGTTGAACTTAGCGCTGAGTCAGAGCCTTTTAATGCATTCTGTTGTATCTATGTAAAAGCCTTTGGATGTGTTTGTGATTTCCTTGCTGTGAAGTCATATGCATCCTCTGTAAAGCTGTAGCAACTTTATTAAACGTGTATGCTGTTCTACAGCAAGACTTCCTAGGCAATTTAGCGTGAAAGTCTAGACATCAGAGTTGTCTCAAAATTGGTTAAACTGTGGCTCTCCAGGTGTTGCTGTCTTTTAATCCCCCATCATCCAATGGGGGTTATCACCATCCTAACAATAGTGACTGGATTTGATGTGAATTGTATTTAGCAACATTTGGGTGGAGTGTGGGTTTCGACTGCTGATAAGTAGGAGTGGTCAAAGGGTTTACGAATGCACACACACACACACACACGGAATTTTGCAGGACCCTCCCAGATGGCACCCACCAAAGGAGCAGATGAAAAACCTTGCCAAAAGCTGCTATTGCTTTTCATAGAAGAACCATTTGCCTATGTCTTTGCTGAGATTTATGATTCTGAGATATGTAATACAGAGAACCAGGCCTTTGGCTGGTTGACATCTGATGCCCTTTTGAAGGGGGGGGGTGTTATTGGATTGTCTTTGTTTTTGTTTTTATTATGTATTTTGTGTTTTTTATATTGTAATTTTTTGTTGTGAGCCACCTGAGATCTACAGGTATAGGGTGGTATACAATTAATAATTTAAACAATACATCTTGGTGGAGGATGACATGGAGGCTAAGGCTTCAGTCTTAAGTCCACTTACATGGGAGTAAACCCTATTGAATCAATAGGACTGACTTCTAAGTAGATATGGTTAGGATTGTACTGTTGGTGCTTAAATTGTCCACATAAAGGTAAAGGGACCCCTGACCATTAGGTCCAGTCGTGACCGACTCTGGGGCTGCGGCGCTCATCTCGCTCTATAGGTCGAGGGAGCCGGTGTACAGCTTCCAGTTCATGTGGCCAGCATGACTAAGCTGCTTCTGGCGAACCAGAGCAGCGCACAGAAACGCCGTTTTCCTTCCTGCCGGAGCAGTACCTATTTATCTACTTGCACTTTGATGTGCTTTTGAACTGTTAGGTTGGCAGGAGCAGGGACTGAGCAATGGGAGCTCACCCCGTTGCGGGGATTCGAACCGCCAACCTTCTGATCAGCAAGTCCTAGGCTTTGTGGTTTAACCCACAGCGCCACCTGTGTCCCAAATTGCCCATATACCACCTTGTGTAAATGCATCTCTGACTTCGAATTGTAGAATTGAAAGGAGTGTTGCAGGTTATCTAGCCCAACCACTAAGCTTGCTGCAAGAAATCCAGAACTAGGTCATCCCCAACAAGTTGCTGTTCAGCCTCTTGCTTGAAAAGGCAAGCAAGCAAGACCCCAACCCTATTCTGGGCAATTGGTGCTAATGTCAAATTGTTCAAGCAGTTCTGCTAGTGTTCAACTATAAGCCCATTTGAGCTAGTGTCTGTGGCAGCAGATAACAAGTCTTTGCCCTCTTCTGTGTGATAGCCCTTCAGTTTTTTGAAGAGTATATAGTCCCCATCAGTTTTTCTTTTCTTTTCCAGGCTAAATATACCCAGTTCCTTCAGTCTTTCCTCATAAGACCATCTTTGTTGTTCAGTCTTTCCTCCTGACCGTCTTTGTTGCCTTGCTTTGAACCCATATTTCAGTTTGTGCCCTTCTTTAAGCATAGCACTCAGAACTGGACATGGTACAGTATTCCAAATGAAGTTGGACCAATTAATGGAGTTTAAAATCACATTTGCCTTGTTTGCAGCTACATTACACTACTGACTCATGTTCAGTTTGTAACCAGCTACAGTCCTGAGATCATTTTCACCTGAACTGCTGCCAGCGCAAATATCTTTCATCTGAGACCTGTGTATTCGATTTTTTAATTTTCTTTTCACTTTTGCATAAATGCAGAACTTCACAGTTTTATTTTGTTAGCTTTTTGTTTTAAATTGTTTTGTTTTACAAACATGTATATCAAAGAATATTGATACTGACAATGTTCTTTCAGTGCATGGTATTTATAATACGGTTCACCTAGAACAAAACATCTCAGTGTAAATCTTTTACTTGGCAAATGTAACACATTTAAATATGGTGTAAACCCTTTTGAAATTTGGGGATTTTACAAAAAAATCTGCAGTGCAGTTTGACTTACTTTTGAAACATGTATGCTGCAATCCAAAGAGATATTGGTGCGCCAATATTCTGACGTCACCCTCTTTTTTTAGTCTGTTGATGTTTTCTTTCTCTTTGGAGAATCTGGGGAAACATCTTTGAACTCAGGGAAGTTTGGGAAAGGGCCTATAGTCCCGCTCACCATGGCAAGTACAATAAGTTCCAGCCTTCCCCCTAACTTAGCTGGAAATGATCCCTAACGTTGTGCTTTGAAGGTGCTTGGAAGGCTTTGGAGATACTGTGCAAGTGCGCAACAAGTGTGGGGATGATGATCCTCTGCCTCAATTCCAAGGTTGGGACAAAGGTTCAGGCCCTGATCTTGGAGCACTGAAACAAGCCCCAGACCAGGAGAGGGATGAATAATTTCTTCCAGTGGTACAGGGTACCTCTTAATCTGCTGGGTAAATGCAGAGGTAATCCCTCCTCCCTCCCCTGCCTTTTTTTTTATTTTAATCTTATATCTCGAGAATAAAAGTCTACAAGCATCTAAAACAAGCATCTACAATAAATTTAAGCAAAGGTCAGTTTTTCAGTTTCTTGTAGACCTTTCTCCAAGCTTAGAGCTGATACGGGAAGCATGGGAGAGCCTTTGAAGGTGTGGTGAAGTCAGGGTCAAGTCCTTTCCTCACAACCACTTTGGGTACAGGGCAGAGGCAGCCATAAATTTTGAGCAGGTACCAAGGCACACAAAAAAGTTGAAGGGCCTTGAATTTGAGGGTTCAGTGTAACAGTATGCCGTTTCTCTGCCATCAGAAGTAGTTGTTATCTAGTAGGTGGTGATTACAGATCACTTCTTTGCTTTACAGCTTTGCTTCTTTCATGAATTATAATTGGTTATTTTCTTTCTTTATGTAGATTAACAAATCTGAGAAGTCGGACAATTCTGATAATGTTAAGGTTGTTGTTCGCTGCCGGCCTTTCAATGAACGGGAGAAAGCAATGTGTTACAAGATGGCAGTTAATGTCGACGAAATGCGAGGCACTATTACTGTCCATAAAACAGATTCTTCCAATGAACCTCCCAAGACATTTACATTTGATACCGTTTTTGGACCAGAGAGCAAACAACTTGATGTTTATAATTTAACGGCAAGGCCAATTATTGACTCTGTTCTAGAAGGTTATAATGGTAAGTGCTTCTTTGTTGCATAAAAATGATGGTATGAGCTGACCCTTGCTTTATTAAGAATTGCAAATATCCCGTGTTGTTTGCACCTACTGTTCTGCTTAATTACAGAACGCCAACTGTTCATAAAGTGTTCTGCTTCTGAAAAGTGCCTCTGTTTTTCTAATTGCTAACATAATCATCAACAACATTTTACTGTGATTAAGGCCTGTTCACACACTTACATAATATTCATCCTTCTGCATTATAATCTCCCAAGTCCTCTTAGAATCATATCTGGTCCCCATCAGACAACATGTAGAGTTCCTCTCCTTGTTGCAGAGGCAACTTTTGTTTAGAGAAATAGTTGTGTCCAGGGATAGCCAACATGGTACCTTCCAGATACAGTTGGACTACCAACACCCACCAGCCAGTTCAGACCTTGGGCTCTATTGCACTCCTCTTTCCCCTTTCTTCTTTCAGTGATGCTGCAAGGAGGAGACTGGCAGGGTCTGCTTCCTGTTAACAGCAACTGCATCCCGCTCACAGTAAAAAGTCAGGATCATGAAACACAGGTCCTAGCTTTGTCCAATAAGCCATAGTTTAAACGAAACTACTAATATTCCCGCAGCTGCATTAAAGGAAGAGATGGGCAAGGTCAAAGTTTTAGCAAGCTCATTGACATAGCACTGAACCATAGTTTAGCATTGTGTCCATGCTAGGACACGACACCATCCCTGACTTTTCACTTGCTGTTTCCCCAATTCCTGTTATAGACCTGTTCTCACATTATGTATATATGTATGTATGTATGAATGAATTTGGATACATATACTCAAGTCCCCCACCACCTTCTGGTGCGTAAGTTGCATTCATATAGAAACCTTGAAGTTTTGTTTTGTTTTTAAGGCAAGAGAGAGAGACCTAATTATGGGACCATGCACCCTTCATAGTAAATGGGGAAGGCGTGTATTTTGCACTTAGTACTGTAATGTGTATCCTGCTATGACAAGTAAGGTGAATTTTGGGCCTGTGTTAGAATTAGAGGAGGGTGTTACTGAACTTGTACATGAAGGCTGCTAGCTAATACTGCTGAGAAAAAAATCCATTACAAATCAGTTTTAATGGGTTTCCCCTTCTGTGCTTGTCCTAGTGATACATGCTTTCTTGATAAGTAACAATTTTCTTCCACAGTCTAGTGAAACTAACCAGAGGTAATGTTAAATGTCAATCCTCAATTTAAATGAAATATGAAGAGATGGTTTAGTGAAGGCAAAACTAAGGAGGTGGGAGTGTGTTAGGTTCGCTGTGGCTGGTGCACGTCGTGCTAAGCTAAACCATGATTATTATTATTTCATACCCAACCATTGCTATTTACATTGTATTGTCTTAATAGTGCTGGTGGTGTCCAAGAAAGGATTAACAACTTCTCTGCCCTATATTGCAGGCACCATTTTTGCTTATGGACAAACTGGAACAGGGAAAACATTTACTATGGAAGGTGTCCGGGCTGTTCCAGAACTCAGGGGGATCATTCCAAATTCTTTTGCTCATATTTTTGGCCACATTGCAAAGGCAGAAGGTGATACAAGGTAAATCACTTAATTGCTTTCCTCACCCCCAAACCCTAAAACACCAGTGCTGGGTGAGGCCAATGGCCAAAACTAATCCAGCAACCTGTTTCAACACATTCTCAGCTGGATGCTTCCTGGAAGCCCACAATCAAGGCAGTCTGTTGCATTTCCCCTTCATCTGGTATTTAGGGTGTTAGGTTAGACTGAGGTTTGGATTACTTGTGAACATGGAGGTTGCAGTTTAGCTATTTGTGCTATTATGTCTACCCAAAACCATCCTCCATGAATTTGTCTGATTTCCTACTAAAGCCACTGGTCATGGTCACATCCTGTGACGGTGAATTTCACCAGTATGTGTTATACAAAGAAATATCCTTTGTATGTGCTGGATCTACTGTTTCTCAGTTTCATTACATGATCACATTCTAATGTGAGGATGATCATTTTCTCTCTCTGTGACATCATTGTTTTGTAATCTTGCATCATGTTCCCACTTTGGCTGCATCTTGTCCCCCAAAGTCAAAAGTCAAAAATGCTTTCACATTTTCTTACAAGAAACATGCTCCAACCTCCTGATTGAAATAAGATCCCTTCATTATTAGTTTTACATCAATCTGGTGTTTTGTATATTTGCTTGTAAGATCAAATTAATTCTGAATATGTTCTTTTTTCTGGGTGCATTAAACTTCAGGTTTTTGGTCAGAGTCTCTTACTTGGAAATCTACAATGAGGAAGTGCGAGACCTGCTGGGGAAGGATCAGACACAGAGGCTGGAAGTAAGCACCAATAACTTTTAAACTAGTGAGCAAAGGGAATAGTATAACAAAATTACTAATGGGCAAATACAAAGTGTTGTATCCAAATGTCACTCCATTCATCAGAAAACTCTTCACCCCAGCAACAGCTTCTGTGAATGAAAGAGTGAAGGAAATTATGTTTTGCAAATTCTCACTTTCTTCTTCACCCTCTCTCATGGTGTTCCAAAAATTCCTTAACCCTCTGGAATTTATTTGGTGAAAAGTAAGTGAAAATTGCCTCCCCCCCCCCTCCACCTTCCATTCACAGAAGCTTCCACTCAGAGTCTCTTCTGTGAGCAGAGGGACACAGAGCAGTATTTCTTTAAAGGCTGTTTTTAGGCACTTTCCCAAAATGGCTGCCTGATTTGTCTTATAGGTTAAAGAACGACCTGATGTGGGAGTCTATATCAAAGATCTTTCAGCTTATGTTGTAAACAATGCGGATGACATGGACAGAATTATGACACTTGGTCACAAAAACCGTAAGTTGCACATAGCCACCTAGCTGTTCTTGCCTCCGTTATGTGTGGTCGACACATTATGTCTCTGAGGTGGGCAGGGCTGCAAGTTCCATTGCACAGTCAGAAATCCTTGGGCTGACCGAAAGAATTAGTTGGATACCATCCAATTATTGTAGCTTTTCTAAATTATTAATTTGCATACCAACCACTATCCAAGTAGTTCACAGTGGATGCTTTTATTTTTGTAACTACCCTATACAACAGGTTAAACTGAGAGATAGGTTGACTTGCCTAAGTCTGGTAAGGCTACTGGAAAAGAAGAGACATGCCAGCCAATTTAGGAAAATACACAATACCTTAATGGAAGTTGGATGCCGACCGCTCAGGGGTCACATAACTAGTTAGCATGCCAGAGTCTCGATAACGAACGAGACTCTGGCATGCTAACTAGTTATGCGACCCCCGAGCGGTTGGCATCCAACTTCTTAGAGGGACAAGTGTTCAGCCACCCAAGATTAAGCAATACCTGAATTAGGTAACTGAAACCTTAAAAAATTATGTATTTGCTGCATGTGGTTGGTTGGTAACCAGCTGAAAGAAACCTAAGCTGCATAATACCAATTAAATGTCACTAAAGTTCCTGATGTTTCACGTTGGCTTATTTTTCTTCATTACCTATGCAAAAAATGCTTGCAGACTGAAGACAACTGGGATGCAGATTCTTGATACCTGAGTTGTTAAAAAATAATTATCATTCAGCTCTCAAAGTGAGAACTAAATCTAAATGAATTTCTGTCTTTCCCTATGACTGCATTTGCAGCTGAATCAAAGCTGTAAATTTGGAGCACCAGAAAACATTGCTGCTGTTCACCCTGGGCAGTGTTTTCTTTGACTATCACAGCTAATGTGATAAACGGATGCATTGTAGATGTATATTTGCTTTTAGCAGTAAGAAGCTGTGATTATTATGCATTAATTTGATAAATAAGGGCCAAAGACAACATGTGTGCCTCGTTATTACAGGCTTTGAAACAATAATCTGTGCAAAGTGTTGCAGTTTCTCTGGTAGTGTCAAAACAGTGTTATTTCAATTCAGGTGTTGTTATTGTTTCATATGTTACTATTGTTATGCATCTTTGTGCATTTATATTGTAAACTGCCCTTTGAGCTTCAGATGAAGGGCAGTATAGAAATTAAAAAAAAATTAAATGGAATTGTTAACATGAACCTGTACTTGTACCTAGGTTCTGTTGGTGCCACCAATATGAATGAGCACAGTTCCCGTTCTCATGCTATCTTTACAATTACAATTGAGTGCAGTGAGAAGGGTGTTGATGGGAATATACATGTGCGCATGGGCAAACTGCACTTAGTAGATCTTGCGGTAAGTTGTTACATTCATTTCTTGTGGAGAAGTTGTTGCCTGCATTTCTGATGCAGCTGTCTTGGGCTATCTTAACACGAGGGCTGAGATACCATCACAGGCATCACAGGAGACCCTTCTTTCAGAGCCATCTTGTGCAGGTACTCAAAAGCAAGTGTCTCTGTATTAAGTGGTGCTTACCCACAAAGGATTGCTGGCTCAAAGCATTGGGACAACTTGGGCAAATTCACCCAAGCTCAGTTGCAAGGAAGAAGAAGACCATAACTTTGCAGGAAGAGTCTTAAAAGCTTTCACTATGTAACTATCATTAAAACTGTGGAGGATGAGAATCTGTGGCATGTTTTCTTCTGGGAATTGATTCTTGGTTTGTTGGGAAAATGTAGTAGGTTCCCTTAGATCAGTTGAAACTTCTGTGCACTAGCTGGACTTTTTCTGCCTACCAGTGTTTAAAATACAGTGTTTGTTTCTGAAAATCCTCAAATACAAAAACAGTATATCTGGAACTTTATTTGCCTTTTAGCTTGTGTGCCTTTTATAACCCACAGCAATCATGATCTGCCCCTCTGACTCTGCAATAATGAGGGCTAGGAATGTTTTATTTAATAAAAATGATCCCACTGTTCCCTCTTCCTGCAGTGCAGTAGCTTTGTAATACTTCTTTTTCTTCTTGTTTTCAAGTCTGGACCCCAAGGCATTGCTTGTAGCAGTTGATATTTTAGGGATGTCATCTGCCCTGGGGTTCCTTGCAGTGTTTCTGGGGTACAGCTTTTGAGTCAGACACCAAGTATGAACTTCTTGATTAACTGAAGTTTCCCCTTTCCTCATTTTATTCAAATGGGCAACCCTAGTCTTTCCTTTTCTAGCTGCTTTGCAGTGTTCTGTTCTTGTTTGCAGAAAATGCTTGTGCTGGAATTTTCCATCCCTTCTAAATTTCTCCTCTCTCTTTTTCAAGGGATCAGAGAGGCAAGCAAAAACTGGAGCCACTGGACAACGACTAAAGGAAGCTACCAAAATCAACCTTTCCCTCTCTACCCTTGGGAATGTCATTTCTGCATTAGTGGATGGAAAGAGCACTCATGTGCCTTACCGGAACTCTAAACTGACTCGACTGCTACAGGATTCCCTTGGAGGCAACTCTAAAACTATGATGGTAATGACGAGAATGTCACATTCAGTTCCATAATGCTCTAGTGAGCCGACGCAACAGCTTGTTGTAATAGCTGCTATTGCTACTTTTCCTTTATGCTGCATTCTCCCATGCTCCTTCCCAAGGAGTTTCCACACAGCACTTTCTCCCTGCTTCCCATTTTGTCCTCACTAAGCAGGGATTTCAGTTGGACAGCTTGTACAATATGCCACACCAGCCCTTAATGGGAATTTTTTTAAGTATGTGTTTGTTTTGCTGCAAGATTGTGTGTGGGATTCAGTTAAGTTGTTGTATACATGGAGCAATGTCCGCTAGTACAGCTGGAATCCCCCCCCCCTTATGTGCTCCCATATACCTTAAATCTACTCTGGCTCAGGTTTGGGGGGCATGTGGGGGAAGGAAAGGGGGAAGGAAAGTCTTGTTGCACAAGTAAGCCTCTGTCTGCATGCATGCCCTACTTAGCGCTACGTTGAATTCCACCCTCTATTTATAAGTAATATATACAATATGGGGTGTGTGTGTGAAGTTTTAGCTTTCCACGTTTGGGGTTTGGGTTAGCATAATTCTTGAAAGCATGATAAAGCAGGCAAATACATACAGAAACATTTTTTTTTTAGCCTGGTGTGTTTAGTATAATGTAGGAAGTGTTACCAATTGGTGAAGCAGACACGAACCACATTGATAAATAACTTTATATATTTCTATGCATTAAAGGAAAGGTGCTAGTTCAGGCGGTAGAGCATGAAACTCTTAATCTCAGGACCATGGGTTCGAGCCCCATGTTGGCAAAAGATTCCTGCCTGTCTCTAACAGCCGGACAACAGATAATTTGGCCTTCTGTTATGCTTTAGGCCGAGATCTGTAGAGCAGCCCCAAGGCCAACAGACGACAAAACTTTCCCCTAAATGTGATCACTGTGCTGTGCAGTCCGTAGAATTGACTTTGTTTTTCATTGAACTGTAGTTTTCTAGGCTCTTGCTTCCACCCTGCTTCTTGTACATAGCTTTATTCTTCTTTCTTAGTGTGCCAACATTGGTCCAGCAGACTACAATTATGACGAGACTATCAGCACTCTGCGATATGCCAACCGTGCCAAGAACATCAAGAATAAGGCTAGAATTAATGAAGATCCAAAGGATGCTTTGCTTCGCCAATTTCAAAAAGAAATTGAAGAACTTAAGAAAAAGTTGGAGGAAGGTAACCTGCCAACTCTTTCCTACCAGTTCTATTTCAATAGAGATTACAAGCAGGTAGTAGAAATAGCACTGAGTGTCCAAATTACCTTAATAACTTTCCAAAATGGCAGAGAAATTCTGATTGTTAAAATGCTTAAAGATTTTGAACCTGTCCTCATAGGAGAGGAGTGGGGAACCTTTGGCCCTCCAGGTGTTGCTGAACTACAACTCCCATCTGCCCTAGCGAGCATGGACAATGGCCAGGGGTGATGGGAATTGTAGTTTGGCAACATGGAGGGCCAAAGGTTCCCCACACCTGCTGTGGGGTGTACAGAATGACACCCCCTTTAATTCTCACAACCTTTTGAGGTGGGTTAGTGAGAGTGAGCAACTGACCCCAAAGTCATTGTATTAGAACCCGAATATTCCCAAATCTCAGTCAAGTACGTGAACCACTACATCATACTTGCTCTGAACTTCAAATTAGTGCTTAATTCCTTTCAGTAAAATATTACATCTGCCCACTAGATGGTACCTGGAGCTAAGAGTAGATTGCCGGTCACTTGTTTTTCTTTGTTTAGGCTTGCCTGCAATTAGTGTTTTACTTATTTAACAAAATTTATACGCTGCTTGATTGTAAATAGAACCTATAAGTGATTTACACACAAAAAACCATTAAAATTGTTAATAAAAAGTGTTTAAAAAGTATTTTTTATAATTAAAATTGACAGTTAAGCTAAAAGCAGATAAAAGCACATGTCAACTATCACATGTCTGGATACATTTGCCTAAACAAAAATACTTTACCAGGCACTAAAAATAATAATACAGAGGCTCCCAAACTGGTCTACAGACAACCAGTAGTCTATGAGTTTCATTCAAGTGGTCTAGTGAGCAGTAGCTGAAAATGTAGCACACTAATACTGATTTCTAATTATATTTTTATTGCTTCTCTTATATTGTATTTTATATTTTATTAGTTCTAGGAAATTCTAATTGTAATACAGTAAGAAACAATGTAATAAATAAAAAGCAATAGAAATCACACAGCATCTAGCACAGTTCAGTACAATTGCTACAATAGGTAGAAAAATCATTAAGTGGCTTGCCAAGATTCTTTGATATTTTCACGTGGTCCACCCGGAGGAAAAGTCTGGAAACTACTGGAGGCACAGCAAAGGCACCTGCCTGATGTCAAAGGATACAGCAAAATCAATTTGATAAAGACCAGGCCCACATCCAGCTGCTAATGGTAGTCTGTTTGGCAAAGTTTGCCAGGCTCCCTTGCAGTCTGATTTTCTAGGAAGGGTGGGAAAGGAAAATGGACAGAACTAGGGTGAGTTTTAAATTAAGATAATGAAGTGTATGGGTGCCTCGCTGATGTAACAATAAGCTGTAGCTGAGCGCTGACTGAAGAGTGTCTTTTTCCTGGATAAGCCACTAAAAAAACACAATAATACTATAGGGGAAGAGATCTCTGGTTCTGAGACGAGTGGCTCTGAAGATGATGATGAAGATGATGATGGGGAGATTGGAGAAGATGGAGAAAAGCGGAAGAAGCGAAGAGGTAAGGTGCTGAAAAAATAGCTGCAGTTCGCCTTTTAATTATCTGTATTTTGCTGTAATTATCATGGCTCTTTTAGAAGTGTTGGAATTGCTTATTTAAAAGATAAATGCTGTTTCTGCTTGCACAACACACTTGTGCTAGTTCTCTTGGATAACATGGCTCTTAAGTGACAGTATGTTCATAGTTCAGGAATTCACAGGTATTTGAGTTCTTGGTTGATTTTTTTCTCAGCGATTGTAACAGGGAGGGTGCATGGGTAGTTAGATAATCTGGGTTGTATGAAATGCTATAAACTGTCAAGGGTTGTGCATATCAAGGTGGTCACTGTCTTGTCTCAATACTTTGGTGTGCTTAGTACAGGCTTTTTTATTTTAGGATATACACTTGACTCTTGAAAATACTACTGGAAAGCAAGCTCCACTGAACCAACATGTTAGTGCCTGGATTTTGATTGTGTAGCTGGAGAGATCTAGCTGTGAACATATTTGATGTTCAGCCACAGTTGCTAAGGAGTTTGCTATATGGGCCTCTCTGTGTTTATGGCATGCTCATTCCTAAAAAAAACCTTGCCACATCTGCAGATCTGTTGCATCCTCCTGTTATCTTCCTTTTGGGAATGAGGGAGCCGTGGTGACGGGTCTTTTAATCATTTCTTTCTAAAGACAGTTGCCTTATACTGAGAGACCCATTGGGCCATCTAGCTCAGCATTGTGTGCACTGACTTGCAGCAGCTCTCCAGGGTGTGACTGAGGTCTATCCCAAGCCTACTTGAACATGCTAGGGATTGAACCAGGGACCATTGGTGTGCAAAGAAGATGCTCTGCCAGATTCTGTTTTCTCTGTAAATAGAAATCCATATATTTTATCCACCAAGAGAAACAACATAATCATAAACCTGAAATAATTTCATCCATTCAAACCACATGCAAAATCATGATTTTAACACTGAGCCCCTACAGCACATTTTTAAATTAGTGTGAAAAGAAAATTGAAGTTCAATCCCAAGTTATCAGCATAACTTGATGCATTCTGTAAACTAATTTCAGGCTTACATGCAAGCAGATTAGGCTAAAGTGATGCTCCCATCTATACTTTTTACCTTTGGGCCAAAGAAGTAAATAATTAAATTGATTTAAACATGAATCAACTGAGTACTTTGAAGTTTTTCCAAACTTTTTCTTCTTGTTAAGTAAGCCTCTTGTAGCACCAAGGATATTGACCAGATCCTCACGCTCATGTGTTTCCTCACTGTGACACCCCATGCTGGGAGGTCTTGCACTTATTTGAACATATTTAAAACATATACAGCTGCATATTGGACCTGCCAGAGAACAGGGCAAGGAGATTCTGTGGCTAACTGAATGCAGAATCTCTTGGTTGGAATGTTGTTGTCTTCATCAGTGTTGGGGAACCTATGGTCCACAGGCCTAGTAGGGCATGACAGTGGTCCTAATTAAGACTTTAAAACTGTTTTCCCCAAGCCGCATCCACCTGCCCAACACTTGACATCAAGTGTGACATCAGGTGTGGGACAGCTAAAGACATGCTTGAATTGGGGTACGCTAGGCAGTTTCCCATTAGTAGTTTTCTAGTGCAGCCAATGGGGCTGTGCTTAATGCCCATCAGCTGATGGGTTTCTTCACCTTTGAAGGAGATGATCTCAGTGCCAGCTGGGAGGGCCCTGCCAGCATTGAGCCATGGAGGGTGGGGGAAGTAAAGATCCACTTCACTTCCCAGCACCCAATCTATATGTATGAGCCTAAATTTTCTTTATCTTTACCATGCATGGCGGAGGGAGAGAATGCCTGAACAGGCCTTGTGTTATGTCTGTTTAAATCATGAGTGGCTCAATGGGTCTAAACCCTTCCTGCATTAAAAAAATAAATAGGTGTCTGCTCTGTTGACATTCCTTCAGTGGGTTTCTGTTTTCTGCTTAGATTGGTGTGTGTTTTTGTGCAACTAGTGTTCGTTTATGGGTCTGAAAAGCTAGTATTGCTAGATGGTCTGTCTGATCTGTGCTCTCATTCTGAAACAGTGGGTATTTAATAAAAATCCTGACAATTTCCTTGATCACAGTAAAGAGGAGCAGGCTTATTTATGGTCATGCTGCCTCCAGATTTGTTCCGGTTTCAGAGCAGTGTGCAGGCTTGTTGCAAGATCTCTGATCCTATTCAGTTCTGAGCGGAAGAGTCACTCTCATTTAGTAATAACAACTGCTGGCTTTATTCTTATCCAAGCTGGTTTCTTATTGTTGGGCAGCTAAGATGAAACTAAAATGTTTCTGAGGGTGAAGCTACCTGCCTATGGCATCATAACAGTAATTTTGAAGCTAGTTTTTCAAAAACTGCTTCATTGCCCATCCGTCACCCTGCTCCACTCAGCTGCCAGAGTTTTGTGGGAACAAAAAGGTTCTAAAGTAAGTGCTGGTGCTGTTTGAACCAAATTAAGCACACAGCTTACCAGTTATCCCTGTACATGTGAAAACATGCACAGCAATTCATGACAGGGATTGGCATGGGGAAGATGGATGTGAGGCTCAAAATAATGGTCCGAAGGAGGAAATTATTTAACCTGTTGGATGGGATATGGTCCCTATTACATTCTTTCACATTCTCATGATATGTAATTCAGAAGTGCAGTCCCCCTCCACATGCTCAATTCTTGACTTGAGGTTAAATGTAAATCTTGGCTGCATCCCTTTGAGCCATAGACCACGGGGTGCTACCACTCAGATGTCTTTGATCCAATATTAAAGGTCTGTGTCCTTTTCCTTCTTCCAGATTGCTTCCTTGTTCAGTTTCCCATTTATCCATTGCTAGTCACAGTTAATAAGTGACCCAACACCAAAACTGTTTTATTGAAAAACACCACGTTGACTGCCAGAAGAAGTGAGAGAGGCACACATTCCCTGAGACCAAGGCAACTGTCAATTGCCTCAGTTGATTATTATTTTTTATTTAAGCCACTAAGATGACTTGGGTCAATCAGTCATGTGTAACACTGCAGCTGTACATAGGAAGACGATGAAAATGGGATTGTGCAACATGAAACCAGTCTCTCTGAGCTTCTTGTCCTTTAGAGCTAATGCTTAGCATGTGTTCCTTTCATCTTGTTTCTTCTTTCTTGGGTTTTCCATGGGGCCTGCTTCTCTGTTTTCCAGGCAGTAGCAGCAGCAGTAGTTCAGACTCTACATGCTCTGTCATAGAGAAACCTCTGGATAAATCCTTCACTAGTGAGTGGGAGCTCTTTGGTCATCCAGTGAAGTTTTGGCCTTTCCATAACCTTTGCACTCTTTGTTTTGATGCTGCATTTTGCTCCCTGTCCACAACATTGGTTTTGTTCAGAGTGAAATGTGGATTCTTCCCCACCCACCTACCCAAGTTAAAGCATGTTTTTTTATTCCCCTTTGCTGCTTCAAACTTCTTGTGGAGGGTGGTGGTGGGGAGAGAACTGTTTGAGATTAATCTTTGGCTAAATAGCCGAGGACCGCAAGAATGCATGTTAGTACTGGTCATATAAGGTGGCAGGAAACGAGTGGATTTTTTGGCATTGGGTGATGTTCTCTTAAATCATAGCTTTATACTGATATACAGTCGTATATATTTCAGTAGGATGTTAACAATCTTTCTCTAGATATATATATTTTGGAAAAGTTGCTAAGCAAGTGTGCATAGTTCTGTAATCTTCCAGAAAACTGGCTAAACAAGGAAAAACTTCACACTCCTTTCCTGGGCCAAAAAGCTCTGCTTGCGCAGAGGCCACTTCCCATCAGCCTCTACAATATGTGTTGGCATTTCTCCTTCTGCACATCAGAAGGAGTGACTGGGAAATCCCTGCACCTGTAGGACTTACTGTGTATCTTGGAGCTGCTAAGTTGCAGCATTTAACTGTTGTGGGTAGACATGTCAATTTTGGTGCTGATGAGGTAGAACAAGGTTCAAGGGGTTTTTATTAGGCACTTTTCATTAACAGCTGGAAACAAATGAGCTGCATCTTCTGCTTCTAACCACTGCTCTTAATGACAACAGGATGTTCTCATTTGAAGAACACTTTCGGTCCGCAAAATAACCTTGAGCTTGAAAGGAGCGTGTGGCATAGATTGGGTTTTCAGGTTTTAACAAAAACTATTCTTCCCATTCTGTGACTTCTTTCCCCCTTTCCTGTTCTTTGCATGTTGCATGTTTTCATTGCATTTGTTCCTTCTCCCCCAATGCTACTACTTCTCTTTGATGGCACCAGCTAAAATTTGCCACTTTACCTCTGTGGAAGCACCTGAGTTTCTAGAAACAAAACTATGCAACTCCCAGCTGAAATTAACATTGAAATCTTATGAACTCTCCTACATGTGTGATTGGTCATGTGAGATGCAACAGCCGATTGGCAATTTGCTCAAACGCCAAGTAAGCTTAACTGGACATTTATGGCAATTGGCTACGTCAACATGCTCTGGTTTTAACTGAGGGTAGTAGATCACCCTCTTGGATGTTTCTTAGAGCATGATCTTTGTGAGAGGCTTGCAGCTTGAACAGCAGAATTTAGCATAATATTGTTGAGAGAAACAATGTTATCCTCCAGTGTACTGAAGATTAATGATACTCTTCAGTATAATTGGGGGCAGCGATGATCACATTTAATCTTGCATTTTGGAGTTTTAATTTGCTGGTTTTTCTTTTCTTTTTGTCTATGGAAGCATATTTTGATGAATGCTTTTACTTAAGATCTTGTTTCTTTTTTTCTTTTTGTAAAACAAATCAAGCCAATAATGTGTTTCTTTTTTCCCTCCCCACCCACTTCCTTTGTGCGTGTGCTGCCTCTCTGCGATTTGTTTGCCTCTTCCTCTTAAAATGCAAGATCAATCAGGTTGGTGTGTTTGATTTGCACTCCATCTAATACAGTTGAAACTGCTTAATATTTTGTTAAGAATGCCTAGCTTTTTCTCTCAGACCTCCATTCAAGATGCCCCCAAAATATCTTAGACAGTGTTAATGGATCCAATGCAGTTCTACGCTGACCTGTCACCACTTGAGCAAAGCTTTTCTGTGTGTGACATTATCCAAATGTAGCTGTGGGAAAGAGCAAGGATAGTCTAAGGGGTTTCCCCTTACAGCAGCAATAAAACTGTTGCTCCTTTTCAAGATATAATCAGTCTAGATGTATCCAGATAGCCTAAGATGTGGGGGCAAGAGAGGGGAGAGCAAAATGGGGCAAACAAAGTAATGATTCTTTCCCCCCACCCTTCTTTTTCTTCCCTCGAATCGCAGTGCAAAGAGTTTTCTTTTGGTTTTGCAAACCTGCTTTTAGCTTTTGTACCCCTTCTGTCATGTTAATTTTGTTCCTTCATACATATATCTTTTATTTTTCTGTTATTCTGACTATATACATTCTAATTATTAGTTTTAAAGTGCTGGCCTCTTTAGGTACATGTGGCTGTTGTGTGTCTTTTAAAGTAACTTCCAAATTGATTGAGTTACAGAAAACATTCTGCAGTTAATTTGATATACAACTGTCCTTTTCTAAATCAGCAATTTATTCCCTATGTTACAATTCTTCATTCCAGTCACTGATTCTCAGCAGATGATTGTTATGATAATTATTTGGGTTTTTTAAAATCACTCACGCCTCTAAATAAATTAGAATTCTGTTATATGGCTGGAGGACATTTTTGAGGGCAAATGCTCCAGGGCAAATATTTTGATAAAACTTTCAGCTCCTAGTAAATAATTAAAAAACAATCACTAAGATGGAGCAGGGCTATCACCAGAGGGTTGTTCTTTCTCTCTCTTACAGTTGTGCATTCCTGTAGCTTCTGAGTTAATAGTAGCAGCTGTAGGCTCTTTAATTCTTGTTATAACTAATCTATTTTTTTTAATGATAATTCACATATTGGGACTATGTATGTATGTATGTACAGTATGTGCTTGATTTATTTAAACCTGCACTTGGCTCTCCTGAAAGGAAAGAAGAAAGTTTCTCCTGACAAGATGATAGAGATGCAAGCGAAGATTGATGAAGAAAGGAAGGCTCTTGAAACAAAGCTTGATATGGAAGAGGAAGAAAGAAACAAGGCCCGGGCAGAGCTGGAGAAGCGGGAGAAAGACCTGCTTAAAGCACAGTGAGCAATGCTGAAATTGGAATAGAATCACGTTTGCCGTTTGTATAGAATTACATGGTTGTAATCCTGTGAAGCAAATCGGTATGATTGTCGGGCTCAGGCTGAGAGAAAGTGGCCTGCCTAAGGCTCCATCGTGATTTTATGGCAGGAGTGACATTCATATCCAGGACTTCCTCTTCATAGCTCAGTCTCTTAGGTGGCACAGCTCATTGGTGATAAGGGCATGTTGAGATTTGGTTTGAGATGTGGTTGGGGGCATTTCAAGTGCATTTGGGATCTTGGCAAGGTCCCCAAAGTGGGAGGATTTGAACTGTATGTACACGTGTGTACACACACACACACACACACACACACACTGCTTGCCTGGCAAGGTATAGAAGTTAACTTATGAAGCATCTTGCTCACAGTGGCAATAGACCAGGCATGGCCAAACTCGGCCCTCCAGATGTTTTGGGACTACAGCTCCCATCATCCCTAGCTAACGGGACCAGTGGTGAGGGATGATGGGAATTGTAGTCCCAAAACATCTGGAGGGCTGAGTTTGGCCATACCTGCAATAGACCCTGCCTTGCAACAGCTCATTGACACTTTTGGCATGCGTACTTTATCATGCACTCTGAAAACACCCCTTCTTTGGGAGACTTGCATACTCCAAAGACCCCAAATGTAACTGGAATGCTCATGCATACACCCCACACATACAGTTGCATTTTTCATATTCCCCTTTTGTGATTGTTCACAGGCTAAAGAAAGCTTTCTCTCTTCTTCTCCATCCCACCCTCTACAGACTTTCAGGCCACGCATTCCAAACATGCATTCCTTGCCTACATGCAGTTCTCCAATATGTACAACTTCCCCCGCACCACACATATACTGTGGGGCTGTTCAGATGTTAGTCTGTACCAAGGAGAGTTGACAGGGTTTAATAATGCCTCTGTTGTCTAATGCTCTCCCCTGCCCCCACAGTTTGCACAGTTCTACAGAAGATGCTAAATAAATAAAGAGAACTGGGAGTGGGGACAAGATCTAGAACCTTCTGTCTTGCCCTCTTTGCAAACATCTTGAGAGCACAGCAGGACAGTAAACTAACAGAGATTTTTGAGAGAACAGGCTGAGACTCGTCTCCTTCTAGCAGCCCCTAGTGGATTGAAAAGTAGGCCCTGTTCAGCCCAGCTAAATTTAAGCAAACACGAGGAAACAGGCTTAAGTCTTCCTACAGTGGTTGCTTGTTTTCTTACATTTATTTATTAGATTTAAAGGAAACTGTTTGAGATTTCGGGCATGCAGTGTGTGGGCCCCGCAACTGAAGTTGGACATCTGTATGTAGCTTTAGAATCTTTACGATTCCCCCTCCCTTCCTGTTTTTATCCAGGCAAGAACATCAGTCTCTGCTGGAGAAGTTGTCAGCCTTGGAAAAGAAAGTGATCGTGGGAGGTGTGGACTTACTGGCAAAAGCAGAGGAGCAGGAAAAGCTTCTAGAAGAATCCAACATGGAGCTGGAAGAGCGTAGGAAAAGAGCAGAGCAGCTCCGGAGGGAGCTTGAGGAGAAAGAGGTTGGATCAAGCTCTTTGCTGCCCTGTTTGATTGCTGTGTTTTGAAAAGGCATTCACAGTACTTTTCTTTACCTGCATGTTGTGCATGTGCAGGCAAGACGAAGGCACATTTGAAATGAGAGGCAGTAGATGGTATCTCCGTTTGTAGAACATGGTGATCCCTGAAAGATTAGATATCTTCCGCTTTAGTGTGCTATCACACTTGCTCAAGATATGTGTTTCTGTTTGGTGTCTGAAAGATTCCTGTCCATGTTGAGGGAATAAGCTTGTCCAGATTACAAATGATTAGAGAGAATTTGGCTCTAGGCCAGGGGAAGCTTTTCCCTCTACACGCCCTGGCTGTAGAACTGGGCCCAGAAACTAAAATGTGCAGGAGCTCAGCATGCATCACTGCAAGAACTTCCGTATAGGTAGCAGATGCACTTGAGTGGGAGCCACAGAAATGGCATCAGAACTTTACAAAGGAAAAAAAGAATAGTGGGTTAACTTCCATAAAGGCCATCCCAGTGAAGGGAAGGATAGAGAGGAATGGGAGTAAGAGAACAGCAAGCTGAAAGAAGGCTGCACAGGGCTTGAGGAGGTAGAAGCTGGAAACCTGGCAATAAAGAAAGAGTGACACCTTTTTCTCTCCTTGGCTGCTTAAACATCCTATGGTCTTTTAAATGGGTTTGTGGAAGGTGGTTATTTGTTTGTTTTTGTTATGCATTTTGTGTTCTCATTTTGTATTTTTATGCTATAAACTGCTCTATGATGAAGAGCAGTATACAAATTTAATAAATAATAATAACAACAACTTGCCAGTAGAGACTTTTGAACCAAAGTGATGGTGTGGGGACAAAATGGAGGTGAGATGGGGCTGTGAGGCAGCCGTTTACATAGGATCCCTACATACACTTGTTATGTGAATCATCCCCAAAAGCCAGGACTGAATAGCACCCTCCCACCAGCACATCAGTTTGGACAATTCTGGCTAACTTGTGGCATTTTTAATAATTTGCAAACAGCAAGAGCGTTTGGACATTGAGGAAAAGTACACCAGTCTTCAGGAGGAAGCCCAAGGGAAGACCAAGAAGCTGAAAAAAGTCTGGACAATGCTAATGGCAGCCAAGTCAGAGGTCAGTGTCATAAAGTCTTCACGCTTGTTCCCACGTAAAAGAACAGTACAACCCTGTTCCTGAGCCATGTTGAAGGCAGATATGAACATGCAAATAGCCCTTGACCCTTGTACAAAGAAAAGGTGGTGTTGCTCACGTTGGGAGTAAGAAAGAACCACAGAAGGAAATAGCATGGAGTGTGTGAGAGTCATATGGCTGTTCCGGAATATTTGGTTATTTAGTAAGTGGACACATATACTGTTAGTATATGCTAACAATGCACACGTATACAGGGTCATCAGTGTGCAGTGTGCCTTACATGATAACGTAAGCATTAAAAAAAATCTTGGAAAGAGCTCACTTGATTTTCCTTGCCAGCTGAGATGAGGTTGGTGGGAACTGGGGAGAGGCCCTTCTCAGTGGTTATGTCTCATCTGTGGAATGCTTTCCCCTGACTGGTACAAGAGTTACCACCCATCTTTTTGTTTTAGAAGTCAAGTAAAACTTTTTTCTTCTCTCGGGTTTTTGATGGTTTCATTGACTTATTTAATGTTTTGTTAGCTTTTAATTGTTTTTATAAGTCTTATGCTATTACATTGATTTTATTTCAGTTTATTCTTCTTCTGCTTAAGTTTTATTATCCTCTGAGTGCCCCTTTAGTGAAAGTGCGCAGCACAACAAAATGCTCTGCCATTTGTAAGCCTCAATAATCAATAGCTTATAAAAATGGCACCTGTTGAGCTAATAACTTGAAAATTGGCATACATGATCAGCCTGATGAGGTCTGTGAATGAGCTGAATTTCAAATTGATTCAATAAAAATTTCCACAGGAAAGCCAGCTTAAGCAAGCTGAAGATGAACATTTTTTATTGCCATGTTTATTATACCCATATATCATTTTTTATTTTATTTTTTACAATTTTGATTAAAACTACTGGTGGACTTTATTCAGACTTGTCAAAGAAGATGCACTTTCATTGGTTTGGTGAAGTTCTGAGAAGCAGTTCAAAAGTAATCTTTTTTTTTTTTAAGCCTAAGGCAGTAACTAAATTTTGAAGTGAAAATTTACCAGGGCTTCAGTGTTTGCTAAGGGAGCCACCTGGTGGATAATGTAAGCAATGCCTGATTCTCTAGCTATGAGATATACAGCGGTACCTCCGGTTGCGGACGGGATCCATTCTGGAGCTCCAGTTGGATCCTGAGGTTTCCACAAGTGGAGGGACCACTTCCGCGTGTGTGGCGAAACATTTCCAGATTTGTCAGTTTCACAACCCGATGTTTACATTACCCGAGGGTAACGTAAGCCAAGGTGCTACTGTAACAGAATGGTGCAATGGTTAGGTAAGGGATTGTCAATCTTTTTAGGCTTCTAGACACATTTTGGAAATGAGAAACTGTTGTGGGGGGTCACAACGCACAACCATGTGTGTACGTCCCCCCATGCCCCACTTAACACTGCAGCACCCTCCTACACACACTGACACAAATGTACATACACCTTGTGCTTACACCTCAGGATGGCAAAGGGTGCTAGACGAGGGTCCCTCTGCATAGTTCCTTCTCAAAATTTCTCTAGCAATACAGTAAGCTTGGATGCTTTATAAGACCATATGAGATCCAGACAACATGGGAAATCTTCGTTGGTCCCTTCATCCTCCCAATCTGGCATTGGGCCTGAAAGACCAAGGAAGTGAGCACTATTTCTGTTGATTTTGAAGAACATTACCGTTTATAGAGCACATCTGTCAAGACATCAGCATAAGCTTCCACGCTTGGGTCAATATGAAAGAGCCTTAATGCTGGTGCTAAACTGGCATGCTTTTTGTTGATCAAGTCATTCCTGTTGGCTTCATCATTGTTTTCCTTATTATTCTGTGAGCTAATTTGAATGTCCTTTTAATTGAAAGTGGCCAAGAAATAAATAAAAAGTAGGTTTCCTTAACTTCCCTAACCAGTAATTTTCATTTGCTGGAACTACCTTCCACCAAATGGTTAGAATGTGAAGAAAGAATAATGGAGAAGATGAAAACAAATTAATGCTGGGTTGGGGCCTGTTCGTTTTTAAAACCACCAGATGGAAGGGGCTTTGACAGGTAGAAGTTCATTCTCTTAGAATGAACTGAGCATGAAAACACTCTTCAAGTATGATGCCAGGTTTGGCATGGGATGATCACGATTATCTTTACACCGCAAGCTTTATGTCTCTGGTTGAATATTCCATTTCTTAGTGGATGATCCTGGTTGTAGCTTCCTGATGGCTTGCTTTATAATTGGTATTCATAGATGGCAGATTTGCAACAAGAACATCAGAGAGAAATTGAAGGCTTATTGGAGAACATTCGACAGCTCAGCAGGGAGCTTCGTCTTCAAATGCTTATCATTGACAACTTTATACCTCAGGATTATCAGGTACAATAATTGAAGGAGCCTTGTATTTGTTTTGAGAGATTCAGCAATAATGACCCTGGAAGCGGCCTTTTTCACCCTCGGGACCAGTTGTTATGTTAACAGAAGCTGTATACTTGCACCTCCCTTAGCATAGTTTCCCAAGCTGCCCTTGTTGTGTCTGAATCTCAGACAGGGCCGGCTTACCCATAGGTGCTAGGGGTGCAGAGCACCCGGGTGCCAGGCTCTCGGGGGCGTCAGAGTCCAGGGCCGAGATTTGGAGTCCGGGGATTGAAGAGCCAGGCCAGTCAACAGCCACTGCCGAGCGGAGCAGAGCCCTTCAGAGTGCCGCAGGCTTTTATGTTGCGGACGCTGAGGCAGCTGGCCAGCTACGCCCTCCTGCGCGCCTGGGATTGGCGGCCTGTCGAGAGGCCCGCCCAGCGCATGCACGCATGCTGCTCACATGAGGCACACGGCTTCTCTCCCAAGCCTCTGTGGGGATTGCTCTCCTCCCTTCACCCGCTGTGACATGGGAGAGAGTTGCGTGCCCCCCAAAAAAGCTCAACAACTTGGGGGTGCTGGGCAGTTTTTTGCACCCCTGCGCCGCTAAAGATGGCCCTGATCTCAGAGGTCATGCACCTGTGTTACTTTCCCCCCTTCTCTTCTGATTTTTCTTTCAAGGAAATGATTGAAAACTACGTTCACTGGAATGAAGATATTGGAGAATGGCAGCTGGTACGTAAGCATAGCTGCAATGCATGGGAACCCAGTGGTGGTCACCAGGGTGGTGGCAGCACATACCTAGCCATCTGTCACTGCACCTGTTGGTGTGGCTTACTGGGAAGTGGAAGGTCAGCAAGGTCCGTACAGTGCTAAACCACAGGCACAGCTACTCAGGGCTTCCATCAATGCATTGGACTGCACCAACTTCATCCCTTTCCAGTAAGCCACAGCAGCACTGGTGATGGGAGGTCAGGTCAGCTCTATTGCCTTGCCAGCTGCTACTGGGGCAACAATAGGACAACCTGAAGGACCTTGATCTTTTATGTTATACCCCCTTTATTATCAGGACTTCCCATATTGTGTTGCTAGACACAAAAGCAGTAACCTACCTGAGTCGATTTTTCATTATCCAGTTTAGAATACGCGGTCCGCTCTTTCCATTAGATGGAATATCTGTGTCTTATATCCGCTTGTGGAATGCTTTCGTCAGGGAAGCTCACCTGGCGCCTTCGTTACATATCTTTAGGCACCAGGCAAAAACTCTTCTCTTCTCCCAGGCCTTTCCAATCTATGGCCTATTTAAACAAATTATCTGTGTGGGGTGGGTGTTTTTATATTGTAAACGGCCCTATGAACCTCAGATGAAGGTTGGTATAAAAATGTAATTAATAAAATAAAATGAATAAGCCCTGTCAACACTGACTTCACTGATTTTGGTGCATGGCCAGGATTGCACCCTTAAAATGCTTCTGGGCAAATTGAGGACAAAACCTGCCTCTTTTCAAATTGCCGAGATTGCCCTCCTTGCGACAAAGGAAGCAAAAGACCCCTCCCAGCAGTGTGGTTACTTGGTGCAATATCTATTTTCCTTCCTTATCTTCTTTTTTCTTTTAAGAAATGTGTGGCATATACCGGAAATAATATGAGAAAACAGACTCCCGTGCCAGATAAAAAGGAAAAAGATGTAAGTGATCCTTTGCAAATGTAGGCTGCTGCAGTCCACACTTTTCCAGCTTTCTGCATTTGCATTTTTTTGTATAATTTCCTTCAACTTTGATGCTGTACTTTGGTATGACCCACAAATGTCCACTCACAGTGTCTGTTTTACCCTCCTCAGCCCTTTGAGGTGGACCTTTCCCATGTATATCTAGCTTATACAGAAGAAAGCCTGAGACAGTCTTTGTTGAAACTAGAGAGACCAAGAACTTCCAAAGGCCGATCAAGACCCAAAACTGGCAGAAGGTAAGGACTGCCATAGGATATTGTGTTTTGCACCATCTTGAAACTTTGTCATCACCCTCTTTCTGTTCAATGCCAAATAAAAACTCAATGAATGCCCATGTTGCATGTCTGAAGCTGTCCTAAAATTGCAAATTTGGGTGTGTCCTTGCTGTGTGCATACCAGGGCCAAAGGATTCTGTTTGTGTATGTTGTCAACATTCACTCTGCTTGGGGAACCAGTGAAAGATTATAGAAGTGAAATAAATAAAAGTAGCTCTCAAATGGAATGTGGTTGCAATTAGGAGAATTGAAGCCACTGGCCACCCACAAGTTTACAAGTGGGCAAGCATCTTTTCTCTCCCAAGAGGATATATTTTTAGCCCAGGGCCATACTGAACTTAAAGCTGTATTTAGGGACATTGCTTCCCTAAAAGTATATTAGATTAATCTACAACAAATTATACTCCCTGCCCCCAAACTCTCTGCTCTCCTTGCCATTGAATCCATGGTTGCTATTGATTACCACAAAATTTAGACATGTTTAACATGTTTTAAACATTTTTAAAAACATGTCAGTGTAAGCACCTTTTAAATGTTTCGTTGTGACCATGCACATACCTTAAATGAGGGCATCTTAGCTTCCTCCTGAAATCAGCCTGGTTTCTTGATTTTGTTGTCTGTTATGTGCACTTTGATTTGACAGCATTAATTTCTCTTCATATAACTTTCTTTCTCCTCTCCCAACAGAAAACGTTCTGCCAAATCAGGCGCTGTGATCGAGTCATTGCTTCAGTAGACTCTGACAGTGGTGGGACTGCAATAAAGATTAGCATGTGGCTTAATACTTGGCCCAAATATGCAGATTCTCGTTTCTGGAGATCGCAGAAGAGTTTTGATGTTTGGTTGACACAGAAGTAGCTATAAAGGGCTACACTTGTGTCTTGGAGACAACAAGAAATACATTTGTTTCCCTTGATTTGCTTTTATGTCATCTGTTACATGTATATTATGTTCAATCTAAACTAGATTGTGACTGTAAATTTGTCAATGTTACTAATCCTGCTTCGGGCAGTATGCAGGTGAAGCTGTTGAGGATATGTGGTGTGTTTAAAATGAACTGAATTGACTGGAAAAGGTTTTGTGTGTGACTGAATTATAACCAGGATTCCACATCCTGATAGACCTGTTTTGCTTCCATTTGCCTCTTGTGTTGTTCTGCCTTTGCGCCACTGCAGACTTATTCTGGTAGCTGCAAGTTCTTGGGATGCTCTGAATCCCCTTCTGTCTTAAGTATCCCCTACCACATATGTGCAAATAACTTATTAATTTCTTCAGCATGTACTTCATGTGCATAGACTTTTCTCCCTATTGTTATACAAAGATGGACTGTTGTAGACCTTAGGTGGTGATGGGACGTGTTTTGGTTCAGAGAGTAAAGACTGAGAAATCCTTTAGACTGAAGTTGCAGCATGCATTCTACATCAAGTGCCCACCACCTGATTATTTCCCCCAGCACTTGCATCAGTTACTAACACTACTCGTTCTCCCTACCTGACGCCATTTCTAGTCTGAATGGACATTGTCATCTCTCACTCTTTTTACTGTTGAATCTTTCATCCCCCTTAAATTAGGTTGTGATGACTTTCAGTGAGAACAGTTGCTGTTGGATAGCTGTGGCAGTCTGAACTGAAAAATGAAATCCTGTGACATTATTATAGAAGGGGCTCTCATAAATAGTCTTAAATGTAGTATCGTGAACAAAACATACTAGGTTTTTCTTGCATTCGTGAACCTAAATCATCTGGCCAAACTGGTTTTTGGATAAAGCAGCTGAGTCTGGGAACGTTTTAGAAAGCCACCTTGGGCTTCATCCCTTCAGTGTTTCAGTGGAGGAACAATAAATGTTGTGAAGAATGTCATGAACTGCTCCATTGCCAGTTACCAAGTGATGATTTACAGGGTGTTTACGCAATGGTAGTGTCAGCAGGTTGGTGCATTCTTACCCTCTCTTTAGTTGTACAGTGGTACTTCGTTTAGGGTCCATTTTGTCCACAGCAAACCCGGAAGTACCGGAACAGGTTACTTCTGGGTTTGCCGCACGCGCAGAAGCGCTAAATTGCGCTTTGTGCATGCGCAGAGTGGCGCTTTGTCGAGCGTCCCTTTCGTCAAGCATCCGGGGCTCCGGAACAGATCCTGGACACAAAAGGAGGTACGACTGTACTTGTTTTGAGTTTAAAAGAAAAGTTTTTCCTTGTTCATCATTCCAGATATTTAGTTGGCACCAGGTTATTTTTCCAATCTCTTATTTATGAAGTGGTGCCACTACCATACACAATATTATGTGTTAATATTGTTTCTTTTGTAACTATATTGTGTGACAACTGCTGGAGATGTCTGTTACTGTATGTATTTTGTAAGTCTTTAAATTAAACATGACACTAACTGTGCGACTTGTATTCTGAAAAATGTGTTGGTTGTTGTGAAATACTCTGATGCTCAAAATAATAATAATAATTTGTCATAACAGGATTTGCGATTGGACACTCTTGAGTCTTACTGATTGTGCTAAATTGCTATAGGCTGTATTGCTCACACACACATGAAAACTACTGACAATTTCAGCTAAATGTCAGCTGTAGGAAAAATTTAGTATGAATATGGAACGCAAACTTGGATTAAAAAAAATGGAAATGGGGAAAGACGAGTTTTTTGTTCATAGTTTGGTTCAACCCACTTATATAGGCATAAGGATTGGAGCTGATTTGATTCTTTTCGTACATAATGTATTCCTAACTCTCTGCTGGATTAGGAATAGATCAGTGGTTTCATTTCTAATCCATACATTGTTGTAATGGTCATTGCCAAAGGAAGGAATCTCCACTCAAATGCTCACCTGTCTGATAGCCCACAGGTGAGTGACTCCACAATTGTGGTGTTATCAGAAGACGCACATTGGGCATGCAAATTGTGTCTGAAATACAGTGTGATTGCATCATCTAATGAAGAAATGTGATAGTTACAATCAACCAATTGGAACGCCAATGCATACATTGACCTTTGATTACTACTGAAACATTTGTCTTTCTCTTGACTAGCTTTAGTTTTGGAGATTTAAAATTCCTGCTTGTCAAGAGGTAGGCAAATTTCAAATGTTGTCCCTTAAAAGTAAGTTTTAGGAGGATCCTAGCAGACTTGACTCTTCAGTTTTTAAAATAACATTTTGTCGTAGTTGTGGGCACTGTTTTTATATAGCTTGGGCCAGTTCTTTAGTCTTAAAATGCTAACAAATCTAAAATAGCACACAGGTTTTGTTTTGTTTTTCTCAAAAGTGGCATTCCAGGTTAGACACAGCCTTAGGACCGTTTTGAACAAAGGAGCAAGAGACTCTTAACAGGAACTTCAGTGAAAGTTCACAGCACCACAGTACAGCGCTTCATAGTCCTTTGTTGACTCACGCAATGCAAGTCCAACCTTGCTTGTGCACACACAGATGCCTCTCCAGCAGAGCAATCGTCTTAATTTAGGAAAATTGGCCCAAAGCCTTTAATTTTTTCCTTAGCTTCAGTTTCAGCATCTGAAATGGTGTCTGCATGGGTTTTGTGGAGTCGTTTTCTTTAATGACTTAACCGGTTCCTGGACTACAAGAACAGAAGGAGATGTCTCGCTCCATGCCTTTGGAATTAGTTACCCTGTGTTCTTTACCATTCTAGGAACTGCTTATTAGTCAATGCCATCAAGTCTGTATATAAGGGCGTAAATACCAGATGTAAAATTGGTCCCTATTTATTGTTTTGCTAACTTTTTTGAGAGTTAAAATTTCTGGTTGCATTGTGTACAAAGTGTGTTCCTTATGTTGTATATAGTGACACAATGTCTTGACATTGAGCATGTTGATGCCTAGAAATAAAAGAATTGGATTCCCGACATATTTTTGCAGTCTCTCTCTCTGCCAATTCACACATCACAGTGAGCCATAGCTAATTTCTTACAATGAATGAGCAGAATGCTATCATTTCCCTGCTCCCCTAGCAAGAGTGGAAGCAACAAGTTTTGGTTTAGCATTATATCCAGATTGGGTATTGTGGTCTGGAAGCCAAAAACAAACCTTTGATTCAGAGAATGATGATGATGTATTATTTATATGCCACCAATCTGACTGGGTTGTGATTTTGTTGAAGTTTTAAATTCATCAGTTTTGTGGGGAAATGCTTCAGTAGATAAACACATATAGGACAGTAGGCTCTCAAAGGCACAGGGAAAGGTTATATACATGTTGTCCAAATCCCTTATTATTATCTTCCAATGCAACTATTCTATTCTCAACTTAAGAATGGAAAGCGAAATACTGGTGGACAACAAAAGAGGTTTAAAGATGCCTCGAGGCAAATCTTTACAAATGTAGTATGAGCACTGACAACTGGGAAACACTGGCCTGCAAGCGCTTCAATTGGAGAACAGCATTTACCTAAGATGTCATGGACTTTGAAGAAACATGAATCCACAGTCACGGACTCACTGTTAAGACCGTTTTCATGGAAGACAATCTTACTCTATGAGTGATCGCCAAAGATAAGAGAGATATACCATATACATGGGGGAAAGTTACAAAAAGCAGGGGAACTACCCCTTAGTGAAAGGCAGCTTCTTAAGGATTGTGCTTTGCTGGGAAGGAACAAGGTGGTAGTGATCAACACATTCACAGTAACCCATTAATCACACACCTACATCAGCACAACCGGATGCCTTCATCTGTCCCAGCTGCAACAATGCGTGTCTCTCCTGTATCAGTTTCTACAGCCACAGCAGGTGCTGTGACTCCAATGATTTGATGCTACTCCCAAAGTCACACTTTTCCAGATGGATGTGATCTTCCCAGGACCTGCTGAGAAAGGGCAGGTAATGAATTAATTATTATTATTATTATTAAACCAAATTACTCTATTTCTATCTTTTCTCCTTTATTCTTATATATTGGATTACCTGACTTAATGGTATGTATTTGTGTGCCTGTTTTATAGTAGTAAGCCACTTTGAGGGTTTGGTCAGACATAAATGATGATTTAGAAAATTTAAACACAAAGATATAATCAGTATGGATTTCTCTCATGCTAATATTGCTTTTTCATCTCTACAATAAAAAGCAAAAACTGGAGTAAGTGTGTGCATGAACCGTATGAGGTTTAGTATTTCTGTTTCCGTCATAGAAATGAAAATGGCCAAACGTGGGGAAGCAGAGATGCAGACTATGATTTGGGACACAAATAGGGGTAAAGGTGTCTGTAATTTTATTTCTTATTTGATCTTGGTGTTATCAAGAAAAAGGGTTAAGGGGTAGAAGTGCCACTTCAGAAAGAGGGAGAGATAACAGATTTTTATCACCGTGACGGTACCAAAACTGCTAACATGAAGCAGAGGAAATGGTTATGATTATGTGAGTGGAGCAAATTCATAGGAACCATTGGAGAGGCATTCTCAGAATTTGCACCAAACTGCAGTGGGGGTGTAGCAGCCCTGTCAAAGGAAGAATTGAAGAATCATCTGCTAGTTTACAGGGGGTGGAAAATCAAAGAAAAGATGAATTCATTCCAAAATGGTATTTCATTATTCAGCAACATAGTATAACTCCACAACCACTGTGGTGAAAGGACGGAAGAGGCATAAAGGAGAAGAGAACAGTGCCAGAACACAAATGAGTAAAAATATTAATAATAATGGGGGGGAGGGCAAAGCCTCAAAACAATGCTGAGGTATGAAGTACTATGTGCACCCCATTTCTCTGAACAATGAGACTTAGGACTCATCCACACTGTCATTTAATTAGGATAGGGAGCTAATAATTAATAATAACAACAACAACAACAACAACAACAACAACAACAACAACAACAACAATAATAATAATAAGTTTATTATTTATACCCCGCCCATCTGACTGGGTTTCCCCAGCCACTCTGGGTGGCTCCCAACATAATATTAAAAAGAGGATAAAACATTAAAAGCTTCCTGTACCTCCATTAATTCACCACTGTCCATTTGATGTTCCCCTTCAATCGCTGCCTTCCCATACTCTGCCTTCCCTCAATGTAGATTTTCTCAATCAGGGATACTCTGTAAAGGGGAAATTAGGAGAAAATTGGGATTGAGCAAGGGGAAAGTGTAGGAAGGCAGAGATTGGGAGAACATCATATGGACAATGGAGAATTACGGTAATGGAGGTACAGGAAGCTTTGTAACCACATTAAACAACAGCAGGAATGAACCATCAAACTATTCCTCTGAAATGTGGTTTATTTACAAAAGTACAAGTAGATTGTAAGTAAAGGTAAAGGACCCCTGGATGGTTAAGTCCAGTCAAAGGCGACTATGGGGTTGCGGCGCTCATCTAAGGCAGAGGGAGCTGGCGTTTGTTCAAAGACAGCTTTCCGGGTCATGTGGCCAATATGACTAAACCGCTTCTGGCGCAATGGAACAACGTGATGGAAACCAAAGCACATGGAAACACTGTTTACCTTCCTGCCGCAGCAGTACCTATTTATCTACTTGCACCGGTGTGCTTTCAAACTGCTAGGTTGGCAGGAGCAGGGACAGAGCAACAGGGGCTCACCACCGTCGTGTGGATTCAAACCACTGACCTTCTGATCACTGACCTTAACACTCAGCATTACCAGAGGATAGGTACATTGGAGAATTCTGATGAAAACGGGACCAGAAATTGCTAATGTTCACACATTCATCCAACATCCAGAATGGAATGGAAATCAATCCAGCAAATACAGTTTGTATGATTATGTACCATTCCCCCTCCATTTGCATTGCATTTCCTTGGCAATGAAATGAATGGGGTGCAATAATGTAATGCAATTTTAATTTATGTGATATACGTAGGTTATATAGTTTCACCACAGCAGATGGCAGAATAAATAATGTAGGTTTTGGTGGGAGTCAAACTGCAGCATAATGGAAACTGTGTTGCATGAATACAGGGCAGAATGGAAAACGACATTACATCCCGGGGTGATGGAAATATTTCATCCCAGGGGTGATCATGAAATCACTCTCTAAGAGTTAAAGAGATGCATCTACCATCTATCCTGGACCATTTACAGTAATTTCCCTTTTCAAAAGAAAAAAGAGGGGAAGAGATGTTAGGTCTTGCTTGGCCAATGGAAGCCACATTCCATCCTCAGCACATTTCATTTTACACCTTCTGCAGGTATAAACAAATGTAACTTCTTGGAGTGCTTCATTCTTGAGTCATGCCAGTTGAAGTCGTCCAACACAGGATCAGACCATACATCCACAAACAGTTTTTAGAAGCCAGCCAGGGCACCAGTGAGGTTAACTGAATAATGCCTTTTGCGGACATTGTCGTATGCCCGGTCTCCAATCAGAGGGAAGATTGTAAGCATGTTCAGCTGCATGTGATTGCAGTCCTCCTTCAGGTCTCCCTATTCGTTGTGGAGATGGTGGGAGCCAGGCTTGTGTGACTCTGTTGCCTTCTTCGTGGGCAGTGGTTGTGTTTGCAGCTAGCATCTGAACAGAAGTTGGATGTTTACCCATTTCATAAAAATATATATAGTGTTTGATTGTAGAAAGGCAATCAAAGCAGTTTACACTGATTGCTCATTGCAATCAATCACCTACAGAGGACATTTAGACAGGCACCTACAATCCTGAGAGTTTGCCACCTGCTGAAAACAGATTTGTTTCACCAAGCGTGTTCAGAGAATTACTGTATTTTTTGCACCATAACACTCACTTTTTTCCTCCTAAAAAGTAAGGGGAAATGTCTGTGCGTGTTATGGAGGAAATGCCTACGGGTGGCATGCCTACGGATTTTCCTCCTCTAAAAACTACGTGCGTGTTATGGTCGAGTGCGTGTTATAGAGCGAAAAATACGGTAATTTGATTTCATGCTGGTCATCCGTTCCTTAACTTATGATGTCAGAGTTTTATGATATTTTAATGATTTTATTGTACAACACCTTGATAGTTCTTTAAAAAGAGCTGGAAGTTTTAATAATTTTTTTTTTTAATAATGAGAATAAATTAATATTCTCTTTGTGGAAGGCATTCTTTCACTTTGTTGGTTCTTTTGAGATAATTAGTGTGGTTAATGGAGATGCTCTTGATTCAGAGGGTTGAACTATAGAGAATGTTTCTTTTGGAGTGTTTTGAATGTCAAATATTAAAAAGGAAAGAGAATTTCTGAATCAATGTAATTTTAAGCCCTGAATTTAGCGGTTTTATAGATGCTCCCCTTTTAACAGGCAATGTTTTACTTCTGTTGTGAAAGTGAAACACATAATTAAGATTTCTCCCCCTATACTCCCACCCCCCAAATTTAATACTTTACAATTGCTTCTATATTCCTGACATGGCAGCTCCAGGTGGGCACCCCAGTTGCTATGTCTAGCAGGTCTGGGAATGTGGTTCCACGTTTCTGTAAAGGCCTGTCAGGCTGGGGGGTGGGGGAGAGAGCTTACAAGTGCCGCCCACATTTTTATCGAGTATTTTCTTTTTCTTTAGAACAGCTCTCTTCTATATGCTTCTAATTCTTTAGAATACGTTCATCCTGAGTGTTTTTAAAATTCTCAGCTTGGCTCATGCCATGTTACCAAGGAAGGAGGAAGCCGAACATTCAACTAACTCTCTTTCGTCATTCACTTAGCAGTTGTTACAGCTATTGTCACATTTCCCCACTAAAAATAAGTGTCTATTAATTTTTCAGCATCTGATTAGTATTTACCCTGACATCACTAGAGGTATGCAATGCCTTTTAGATTGGCGTAGGATTGTTGAGAGGCTGGAGGCTGACAGCAACTATGATTCTATTCTGAGCTAAAAATCACTATTTAATCCACACAATGTCATTGTGGTTACTGGTAGCTTCCAGTTTGCATCATCCAACCACAGTCTAGACCCA